GGGGGGGGGGGGGGAACGCGCATACAAAACGACTACGCGAACACCGCGACGGGACGTTGGAAAATTCGACGGTTTGTGCGGAATGAAAACGCGGCCGACGTTATTGCGCGGATACTTCTGTCCGGCCGTTCACTGGAACGCCGTCTGTTTCGTCCGGCTGTCCATGCAAATCATACAAACGGTTTCCAATCCGTCCGCGGGCACGCACTCCGCGTGAAACACGTGCTGACAGTAAAACACCAGCGCGTTGCCTACGCGATTCTGGCCGATAACGCATTTCTGACAGGCGCCGCACACGTTTTGTTCGTCCACGCTGCACCCTTTCCGCCGCACGTTGTAGAGTTTTTCGTGCAAGTCGAAACAATCGGACACTACAATTTTGGAACACCCCTCCTCCACGGACACCTGTAAATTGTAATCGGTCATCATTTTGACCAGCGCGGTTTTCAGCCCGGGTATCTTGGTGTATTTACCGATCCTGCGGATCAGAATTCTCGGGTCGACGTACGTGCCGATTTTTTGCAAAAGCACTTTGAGGAACTGGGGCTGGTCCAGCGACAGACCGATTAGATCGTGCCACAATTCGATGTCGTTCTGGTCCTTGCAGAACTCAATGGCCTGTTCGATGTCGCCCAGTTGGGACATCACGAGATTCAACGCGTCCTTAGTGTTTCCCATCCGTCCCAGTAGGTACACCATTTCGGGATAGTATTCGAGGCGTTTGCACACGTCCAACGCTTTCGTAATGGAATAATTGTCACTTCGTTTCAACAGCGGTAAAAGTTTTTCGCGGGCAAATTCTGCATACAACAATACCAAATCTTTATGCAAGTTCCGTTTCGCCAACGATCTCGTGTCTTTTTTTTCCACGGCGTCCATATACGTGTACAAGTAGAGTTTATTGTTCTGCAATTTTTCCACTGCTACGTCGATGGGTATCGTATCTTTATCCAAAAGAATTTTTATGGTTTGCTCAGAATCCAACTGCATCAGATTTTCAATCATATTATGTATTAACGGGTACAAATTGTGTTTACGAATCAATTGAAATATCCCCTTGTGATTAAGTTTTAAATAAGCTCCTAGAGCTTTGTCAAACTTACCAGAATGAGTGTACAAAATGGCTAAAGCTTCTAAAAGTTCCGAATTAGAGTCCGCAATTAAATGCTCGATTAATGCGTTTGTTACAGCGGATACATTATACAACGATGGTGACCATTGTTTTACAATTTTTAAAAATCCTTCGGGCTCTAATTTTAAATATTCGTACAATACCATTTCATAAATGTGAGGATCAAGAGTTATTTCACCTCTAGGTATATAAGCACTTACCTGACGAAGTTGATGTACTTGTGCAAATTTAAATATTTCTTCCTGCCAAAGTTTTTTGTCATTACCAAAAAGTACAGCAGTCAGTTGTCCAGCCTCTAGATATTCTTCCATAAACAATAAATGGTCTAAAAATTTTTTTCCGACAGATATTCTTGAATTCCTATTTAAAACTATGTTTTTGGAATTCACTATTTCCATTGCTTCGGCATATTTGTCATGTTCCATAAGCCATTCAATTCTATCATCCGCATCACATGGATTTGCTACAACTATATCTTTTGGACTAACAATAACAAACAGATTTTCCACGACTAAACTTTCAAGTGTGTAATCGTTACAGCCAAAATCTTGAAAACCACGTAGAGACAAGTTATCAGTACACAACTCAACATATTTTGATTCTTTAGCTTCAACTACGTAGAGTTGAGGTCTCATTGATTTTTCATTTTTGTCCTTTTCTTTTGAATAGCATAATATTACTAATTGATTATGATTCAATGGTCCAATACCAGATATAAAGTAATCTATATGAAACATGGAAAGCGGTTCAACTATATACTCGGGAACGTCTTTGAGTCTATGCACACGGCGTTTAACCTCGCAAATTCTTATAGTATCAACCCAACCAACTAGTAACGTTCCGCTATCCTTCCATGTTAAGTTACATCTATGAGTACTAGGTAATATGTTATTTCGTTTATCCCATTTAATAAGTCCCAGTGAACACCTGGAAATAATGTCATATACTCTTAGACCTATATTTGAAGCCCAAGCCACAAAACGGCTATGCCACCTTATATTATGTACTACTCCTTCCACATCGCACAAAACAATAGACTTTGTACGTCCAAGAAAAGTTCGCTCGTGAAGCATAAGACGATCGTCACCAGTAATGAAACGCCGGTAATTGCCAGATTTATGGTATAACGGGTCTATGGCAACAGACTTCACACAACGGCCTAAGGATATCTCTTGAGCATCTTCTGTTGTATAAAGACCATAAACAAATACATTGCCATCGTCTGAACACGTAGCAATGAATTCACCGCGACTGTCTATACTTATCTGATTAACTGCTACTGTATGTGGACGTAGTTGCCGGTTATTAACAATATTACCTTCAAAATCGAGCAAATGAATAGAGCCCCAATTTGTACCAATGCACAAGAACTTTGGATGGGCAGCGAGGTAACTAACACCGTCTTTGGTTAAAATAGTTTGGACATCATTAGTGAGACGTACATATTTTAGCTTAGGTTCAACTTCTTCAATTATATCTGTGTCGGATTTTTCATCTGACATATTTGTCATTTTTGTTAATTCACCTGAAAAAAAAATTCATAAATTAAATAAAAATTCAAATTCAAATAAAAAATTCACTTGAAATATTTGTGTATGACATACATAACATTAATGTATTAATATAAAATTTACATAAGGAAGATTTTGTCAAACTTATTCAATCCTTGTACATAGTAAAATATAGTTTTATAGTTAATACAATTAATGTATTTAAGGGATCTTGTCACTAACATTTGTTTTCTCTAATAACAAAGGCATTTTGCATTCTCACAATTTTTGTGACTTAAAAGCAAAACACTAATCAGTTTTATTATGTAAAAAAAATAAATCCATAATAAATGCAAATGTACACATGAAAATAAAAATAATTTTTTTAAATTTCCGTAACAAGTATTAAATAGTTTAAAACCATATAATGATAGAATGTGCACTTATGTAAAACTGAAAATAATTTGCTATTTAATTCAATGATAAAATACATATTAGAGCTAATTTATAGTGTACAACATAATACAATATTTGAGTAGCCCTCATTAAGAATACCACCATGAGGGATAGAGAAAGTTTTTAATTAATTCAGTTAATCGATTACTTTTTTAATGCTGACTATACTGAAATACAATTCAGTAGATCTAAACCATTCCAAACCAATTTTCGTTATTAAAAAGTGTTCATATACAAAAATGGGATTACTGATTTGTTCAGTTTATTTAGTAAGTATACATAAAAAAGATATAGAATTATTTCTTTAATAATTGTAGTAATAATATAGTAAATAACTACAAATATAAAATAGGCAATACAATTTACTTAAAAGATAACTGTAAAATATTTTTCATTAAAAGAGGTTTAATAATAAAACCTATAATTAAAAAAATTTATACAGTTAAAATGTATTTAATATTAAATTATGTTTGAAATAAGGAAACTAAATTTAAAAATTGAAGAAAAAAACACTTAGTACCAAAAAAATTAGGAAAAAGCCCTGTTGTAAATAAATATTAAACATAATAATAAATCTGTTAAAAAAATTATTTATTTCCATCAATCCGATGACAATAAATTCCGCTTTAAAGTTTTGGTTGGGGAAAGTAGTGGTGCATTATTAAAATACTGCGCGTCTTGTCACCACACAAATTATGTTTTACTACTCTGCCCCTTTACTGATATAATTACAGAAAAATAGTATAATAACCTAATATTTTAAATTGTATGAGTACCTAATAAGATTAAAAATAATCAATAAAGTTGGTACCAATAATAGTATACTGTTTTACAGAGATTAAATATGAATTCATTTTAACTTAAAAATTATGCTATAAGCACAAAAATCAATAGAAATCATAAAAAACCCTAACCTAACCTTTGAAAGGAAATTATACAATACAAAAATTGTAAACTTTATTTATACTATATACACTATTGAATTTATAATTAATATTTTTTTTTTTTCCAAACAGATATTAATAACAAAAATTATTAACATCACTGGAAACAATATAAATCAAGAAGATGAATCAAGTAGATCAGCAAAATCTATTTTAGAAAAAGTATTTTACCCTAGAACCAAAACTCAATCGACAGTAAACCATCATTCATTTGGACTGCATAATTCATTTGGAGTTTCTGGAAATGTTGGAATTGGATTTCATTATGGTAGTGGTTACAGAATTAAAAATGGCGATGGAAATGACGAACAGCAAATTGTACACAAAAAAATGTATGATAAGTATTTAGGTACTAGTTTTGGTTTTGGATCATTAGGCAATGTCAACAACGGGCATATAAGTGACATCAAAGAATCAAATTCCGCAGACCAACAATATATTCATAATGATGAAAATAATTTAGTAGAGCAAGACAGTGATAATGATACAATTCCAGTAACAGAAAAACCAAAGTCGGGAGTCTTTAGAAAAATCAGTGATTATTGGGCTGGTGAACACTCAGAACCCAAAAGTGACTACACTAATAATGGAATTTTCAAATGGAGTATGCAAAAAATCAAAAATAAGAATAACATTGGAACACCCAGATAATAAATATATTCATAAGTAAATACTTACTAGCTTTTATATAAATTTGAATAGCGCCGTGATTTTTGAAGTACTAAAGAATGCATAGTTAACAATATATTTCAAAAATACTGTTTGTTTATACAGCTTTATTATGAATAATATTAATAATTATTAATTTATTAATACACTAATATAGTTTTATAGTTATGAATACATATTTGTTAACATAATAAAATACATTTTTATCATTGAATTTGATAACAGAGATAACAATAACCAATTTTTTTTTTTATTTGATAGCCAGTTATTTTTGTGTAATTTTTCAAATTATTTATCACAACCATAGATAGGCAATAGTACACACATTCGCATAGTACATGTCTAGCCCTACAGAGTGAAGTCAAGAAATGTGGAAGCATATTCAGGAATCTATTTTTCCTCTGCAAACCATGGTTATATTATTCTAGATTATAATCAACGAGACCGCTACATTTTCATAATAAACAGTGTATAAAATCATAAATATTAAAGAAATCTTTGTCTTATTCAAAGCGGTTTAAGAAAAGTATTGGTTTTATTACAATAATACATCTATTTTTTTTCTATGAACAACTTTTCTAATAAAATTTTCAGATTTTCAAGTGAAACACTTTTACTGAAAGAGAATCTGACTGGAGTGGTACTTTAGGGAGTACTTTTTTTTTTGATTTTCTCAGGGATTTCCATAGTATATAAGAAAAAACTTAGGAAAAGTGGGAATATTTATGAAATGTATTTTCAAATTGGTAAATATTACGGCCTTTCGAAATATTTATAACCAAATTCACCTCAGAATCGTTTTTCGTTAACAATACGTAAAACTTTTCACCTACAACTCATCTATTTGTTTTTAGTTTTATTACAGTAACATCGAAAAATTTTAAATCAATTTTCATTTTTTTATGTACATAATATTATCCCAATTGTTCATGTTTTTCTTTTTCTAAAACAATACCAATTGTTCTCTTAGACTAAATAATGCTATATTTATCATTAATAACTAAAGTAGACAAATATATATTATATTATATAAAGAAAACTTAAGGCAATAATAAATTATTAGAATTTTTTTATTTATTGAAAATAAAAATAAATATTAGTAATAGATTTTATATTAATTTGCAAACAAATCAAACATACAAGTGTAAATAAAATGTAACCAGATTTGGATGACAAGGCAGTGATAAGTAGGTATAAAGATAAATATTAATAATACTATTAAAATAAATTTAATACAATAATTAAGTTTAACATTGAACACCCTGTAATAATTAACAATAAAAATTAGTTATAAAAAACAAGTCAATGTATAACCTCAGGAAATACATTTTTAAGTACCGTGTTATTGTATTAGAATTTTGATCATAAAACAAATAGGGCAAAGACACCAATGTATAAACAATGAAAAACATTCTAAAGTTCATTAAATGTCTAAAAATAAAGCTACAGTGTAATATTTTATCTTAATTAAAAAAATATTTTCTTCTTTATTTAATGGTGGTATTTTAGATTAAAAATAATTCCTAATGAAATCATAATAAACTTATTGGAAGAAAAAAATTGATCAGTTATGTCACAAACAAAATGTTAAGAATTTTTATGTTAAAATCGAGTTAGGACAACTTATACAATTTATGATTCCTTTATATACATTAGTGATTACTTATACTAATAACATTCACTGGTATCTTTACCCTTGAGGTTTCCATAATTTAACATCATAAATGGGAAAAATAAAAAGACAAAATAACATCAACATTTCAATAATACTAACAACACAACACAATATAAATAAATAATGGATATTTGCCACCCAAACAAATTTAAATATAAACCAACATCCGCAAATATTTATGTTTTTATAAAAAAAATAATAGAATAGTATAGGTAGCAATTTCTCATTTTATTTGCTTCCTATTATATACAAATTAATCAGCAACAAATCCGAGTTTTTGCCAAGACTTCACTATCAGATGATACATAACTTGATTATAATATACAGTATAAAAGTATACTAGAGTAGTTAATTATAAATACCATATTTTGGCCAAAATTCAATTTAATGCTAATTGATATAATTATAAAATAATCTTTGAAATCATACTAAAATTAAACACAATTTCTGAAAAACCTTATGGTTTAAAAATTATTTAATAACTATAACAAAAAAATCATTATAGTTATATAATTGGAAGGTATTAAAACATTTAATTTAAAGTTATTGGGAAACAAACATCCATTTTTCAAAAATAATAAAAATAGCTTATGATTGATCAGATTTCATAGATAATAAAATTTTTTAAAATACATTGCACTAGAACTAATCTCATTAATATATTTGTACCTATTCTGTATTGGCTTTTTTAATTAATTTCAAACTTTCGGCTAGTATTAAACATTTTTCAGCCATTTCTCTAATATCTTTTTTGGTCTCATCTTTCAATATTGACAGCGCCATTAATACTTCCATAATATCAGTAGCAAAAACTCTTTCTGCAATTTCTTTGTCTGATTCTATTAAACTATGAGCAATTACCAAAGCTCTGTGCTGCATTGCATTATCAGGATGTGCTAATAATGCCTTCAAAGATTCTTCCCAATTGTTAAATGTCATTAGCTTTTTACAACATTTGTCACTATTTGATACAGCTATTGCGACTGCTCCAGTAGCGGCCAATGCTGTATCTTCATCTTCTTCTTCACACAGTAAAAATAATAATTTTAATTTATCATTCTCACCCTCAAAAATTTGTATGACTTCGTGAGACATCATAAGGTTAGTAAAACACTGGGCAGATGCTCTCCTAAGCATTATATGTTCTTCAAATAGATAATTCTCAATAAGCTGTAATCCACCAGTGTCTAATATCTTTTTCCGGACTCTTTCATTTACACCAGCCATGTTACAAAGAGCCATCATTGACTCAAAGTTCTCTAAAGCAGAACAGTCTGGATGTAAAAGGCCAAGAAATGGCCGTATAGATTCTAGACAACGTTGTTCTTTGAATGAGACTTCTGGATTAATTGAAATTCCTATTCTTGCAAGAGCTTGGGCCGCTAATCTTTTCCCTTTCGGTGACCCTGAATGAGCCAGTTCTAAGAGAGCTTTTATGCCACCCAATTTAGCTACTTCGCCCCTGTTCTCAGGTAAAGCACAAATAGCATTAAATAAACGTGAAATAAGTTCTTTAATGTTTATACTTTCGGTTTTTGATAATTGTACAAGTACTGTAACAATCCCATATTTACATAATAATACAATTCTCTTATTAACAAAATCTGTATCATCCAGCTCATGGTCTTCAGGTACATGACACTTGGAAAATTTAGCAAGTTCAATCATTTCAGGTATTACTTCTTGCTTTTCATATGCATTACATAAGTTTACAAATATTGATACCAGAGCATACATCGCAGATGTTTTCTCTGACTTAGCTAATCCCATAATAGCTTGTAATGCTGCTCCGTCTTCAATAAGCTTTTCTTTAACTTCAGCATCTAATGTCAAGTAAGATAATCCTTCTACAGCCCATCGTTTTGTATCTGGATTGGTATTAGGATGTATTAAAAATCTACGACAAGCTTCAGCTAATTTAAGTGTAGAACCTTCTGAAAAGGGGCGTATAGAAGCATCAGTTCCACCACTACTGCCGAGCTTGCACAACCCAACTAAAGCACGGATGCGAATATCATCATCGCCACTTTTGTAAAGATTCTTTAAAATTTGGGTACCTTGTTTTACAATTGGTGTAATCTTACTTTTCTTCGATGTAGCTGCAATAATACACTCGCATGCAATTCTTTGCTGCACTTTATCATCAGTTGTAGCCATAGCAAGAATCATTTCTATAATACCTATAATACAAACATATATTAAGTATTTATAGATAAGTATCAAATAGGGATATAATAAAAATATATTAGTAAGTCAATTTTAAATTTACCGTCTCTTGATATAATTGAATTTCCTACATCTATTGGCCCCAAAAGTAGTACTGATATAGTAGACACAGCTCGAACTTTTGATTCTATATCTGGGTCTAGAAGCATTCTTTTAAGAAACTCATCAACAGCAGACATATATTTTTCTCGAGATTTGTCACAAGTCATGTTATCATAAATTGTTGACAAGCAAACAGAGACGTTTGTATGCGAATACTCAGTTATATCCATTTTTGATTCGTATCTGGTTTCAATAAGTTCAGCAGCTACTTCTAATAATCTTTGTAATCCCTTCATATCGATTAAACGTTCAGCCCAGTTGATATTGTTATAATGAACATTTCTTGTCAAAATTTCAATAATAGAATCTCTTGCAAACTTATTAATTGAATGCCGATCTACAGAACAAACTAAACATGTCAAAATAGCATCAATTTCTTTAGAGTTTTTTTTACATTTTTCTTCATTCGGCGAACTATCCAATGTGTTAGACATGCCTGTTAAACTGTTCAGTGCTTCTTGTATAATAAATGTAACACCATTAATTTCGTTTTGAATTTCTGTATTTAATGAGTCTATAAACCAAGGAACACCTAAATCAACTAAGACTTGTTTAGTACGAGTTTCATCATTTTTGCAAAGTTGACCAATTATTCTCAAAGCATTTATACGCACTTCATTATGATTATCATTCTTCAAAAGACTTTTAATTTTACTAATTATACCAGACTTTAATAAACCATTACATCCACTACTAGACTCTTTAGATAAAACCAGTAGATTTTTAATTGCTGTAATTCGTTTTTCTATATTTTCTTCAATAGTAAAAGCATATTTAAACATACTGTCAATTTTGTTTGATAGTTGAGCATTGTCTCTTAACTTTGCTTGTACAATTGGATGCAATCTTGACAAAATGGGTTGTATCTCTTTATTCATTGGATCAGATAACAGACATTGTTTACCGTCCACATACGCTTCTTCGTGTTTTCCAAGTTGTTCGTAAGCACAACAGCGTCGAAACAATGCTTTTGGATCATTAGCTACAATATCCAATGATGCACTACAATCACGAATTGCATTTTCAAATTCACATAGTTTATTATACACAGCAGCTCGATTTTTGTATAATATTGATTTTTCACGATTATTTTCTTTAAGTAAGTTCAACGCAGAAGTATAGCATTGTAAAGCTTTTAGCCAATCTCCAGATTTGAATGCTTCATTACCTTGTTCTTTAAATATATTTGATTCTTCTACAATACTTTCACTGCATTCAGGCATCGTCGCAATAATAAGAAACTAGGTAATTAGAAGACTTCAACAAAAATGAAATTATAACCAACTTACTTTAAAAAATTATTAAAAATCAGAAGACATAATAGACACACGAGCTTTTATAAATTAAAATATTGGATGGTTGCCAAAATCAAACAGAACTACCTAGAAAATTCTATAACTTGAAACAATATATTTTTAAACGCCAGTACGCCACTAAACTCCACTCCAATCATGAGTGTGAATTGTGCGACACTATCAGTTATCAACGAATATAATAATAATAATCATAGATTATTTTAATATGATAATAATAAGAAGAAACTAGATAATAAACTTGATTTTTAATCTCATTGCAGCACCAAACCGTCTGACTCATACACGCGCGACTGTATGCCTCGCCACGGCGATACGAGCGGAACCGCAGTTAATCGACAATAATTCAACATTACGGGCGATTTAAAAAATATACTATAGTCTACAAGTATACATATTATTTCATACATTATTATTTTTGTATCGATTTTATTCTTCGATAGTTTTATAATTTCTTCTGAGCTGATTAAATTCTTACTCGAAACTTTCGGAAATAGTTAGATCATATAATATATGATGTGCTAATAATATTAACGATTGGCATATTCATATTAATAATTTGCAAAAAAAAACCTAACAATAGCATTGCAATAATAATAAAAACAATAGAAAAATTTTATTAATTATAAACAGTGGTCGAAGTAGTGGATATCCCACCACTTATTATAACCTACATTTTTCATCATTCCACTTATTTTGTCCAAAATAATACATACCCCATATAATTATGTACAAAGATTATCGAGTTACATTGGTGTTTTTATATCATAATATGTCATTATAATCTATAGACTATGGTAATGACTAATGTATAAATAGTTTAGTTTTTTTTTTATTTGTTTTTATACCTACTGTTTAATGATATAATGCATAATGTTAGAACCTATTAATAAACTATATGCCCATAAATTATATATTTATGTAAATATGTTTACGTTTTAATAAAAATATAATTATTTGTTTACACAAATTTAAATATATCGACAAATAAAACACTAAACTGAAAAATAAAAATATATTAGGTACTGCATATAAGTGTATTATAAAAATAAGGTATAGAGCCATAGGGATTCAACTCATCTCCAACTCCAATCACCCTCATTTGTATAAGCTATATTATAATATAAATATAGAAATTACGGCTTTGGATCGTAATAATTTTCGAATAACTGTACCTATGGACTTTGTACAGTCCTTACATAAGACCCTAACTGTTCATTCAATATTATCAAAATACCTACTGGATTGTTCATTTAAATTACTTCTAATGGATATTAGAGTGCGCCAGCTGACAATTTAATTAGTATACACTTGTACAGTAAGTATAAGCACGGCCATGTAGATCTATATGGCCGTGGGTATAAGTAAAGGCATGGATAATGAGTAAAGGTGGGAACCATACTTCCATAGAGTAATAATAGATACACTGATGGGAACTGTCGTGTCACGTCGTCAACTCGTGTGCTCAGCTCACATCACGTTACATTTTTCAATCTTTATCATGATCTCACGTATAGAAATACTCACTATACTAGCTGTAATCTATATCAATGTTAGTAGGTAAACTTAGATGTGTATATTATATTTTTTCACAGTATTTAGTCAGTTACACGAATTAAGATATATTATATAGGTATATCTTAATTCGTGGTCAGTTGTATACATGAGAAAATGTACTTGCATATTATAATTGTCAAAATTACTTTTGAGTAAGTACTCAATCATCTCTCTTTCTGTTCTGCTGCCAAATCTTAAATTTTTTTTATTAGGTATGTAATTATTATAGCTCTTTAAACTTCCTCGTCCCACCACCAAGTTCCTTTGTTCTTTGTCATAATCTCACCGATATCCTTTGTAATACCTACTTTGAATACAAGTGGCCATCCTTTCCCACACCTCGTTTATGCTTCCCTTAATATTCTATACAACCTTCTCTTTCACTTTATTTATACTCTTTTCCTTTGTCTCCCATTAATTTCTACCTTGGAATGTTCGACTCTATTCTTCTTTTATTATTTATACTTTTGTGCACTTGCTTCCTGCAACATCAAAACTCCATGAGCATTACCCTATGTTATTTTGTAACATTAGGCTTTCAGTAAGTAGGAATATTTTTTAATTGTATTGTAAAAATTATTATTTAGGGTAGGTACTTCTTTCTTCTACTGGCATACCTACCTACTCTAAGAGTTTTTGCTTCCATTCCCAGTTGTTTTGTCAATGATAGATCCATATATTTTCCTCCATACTCTGCTTTCCAAAGTCTTCAAGTTTTTCTCTGTTTGCTTAATGTTAAGAATTTTGTCAGTGCGTAGCACGCTTTTTAGACATTATCTATTCAAATAATTATTTCCTTTGACTGTTCATTGGGCACTAATTTATGATATGGGTTAGGAGTACTCGAGCTTTGAACTCACCTGGGTTGATTCATAAAACTAACTACACCTAAACCTCGGACAAGATTACATGGATTTAATTCTGGTTTTTGGAAACAGAATGCTGATTTTAAGATTGCAACATGGATACAAATAAACATTAAATCACCCTCTATACCTCTGCTACCTTTCTAACTTCTCATCTACAACATTGATCCACCTGTAGTTTGAAGTATGTCTTAGTATATTTTCTTAAAATAATTTGCATAAATAATTTATTAATTATACCATGAGATTAGGTACTTTACCAGATGATTTTATATTAATAAAGTGTAACAGAGACAAGAGATTGCTTGTACATAAATCAAATATTAAATAAACATACACTATTATTTGATATCAACTCTGCAAGAAAAAAAAACTTTTGAAGATTCTTCATGTTTTATTTTTCCACAAGTGCCAGATAAAAGTGGCATTACTAAATTACAAATTAACAGTTCAAAGTAAGAAAAGAGAACATAATTTTTAATTTTAAAATTTATATTTGTATTATTTATTTATTTAATTTTTTTTTTTAATAACCATTTTTATTATTATTATTTATTGTATTGATAAAATATAATGTTTGTTTTCTATAAGGATATTTAAAACTTCTTAAATACATACCCAATTATGTTCAAATTATTATTTTTGTTAGTTAAGTTATGAAACACAATATATAAAGTGTAAAAAAGCATTATAATGATTTTTAACTAAAATAATAACTCATTAATTAAAAAGTTGCACAATTTTTAATAATCCAAAGTATAATCCAGTGTCAATAGTGTTGGTGTAAAATGGATAACATGAAATAATCTCCTTAAGTGAGGGACTTCAAATAAAAAGTTGCCAATGTAAATACCAAACAATTATTTAATTAATCAAGATTTTTATAGAATTGTAGGTCTTCTTTTCTTATTTTATTTGGCAAATAATAACCAGTTATTCAAGACAAACTGTCTGGAGAAAAATTACCCACAGATCAAATTTAAATTTCATCTAAATAGTACATCTAGATATTTCTTAAAACAGTAATTAATTTGATTATCAATAAAGCAGTCTGTATAGAATCTTAAATATATTACAAATGTTAACAAAATAATCATATGTTTTGTTTTTGTTTTAGTTATAAATATTAAATTTATTTCTATTTAATAATGACAAATAATAGCCAGATAATAATTACCAGATTTGTTTTCTTAAACCGTTAATTTTATTAGGTTACACCAATTACTAGTACAATTTATGAAAATATTATAATAGGTAGTAATTAAAAAAAAAAGAAAACACAAGATAAGGTTTTTTTGTCGTTCATTAGGAATAAAATTAAAAAATATTTATAATTACGGTACCATCCGATCATTGTTGAGGTAACTATATAAATCATAACAAGACACATTGACCTTGAATTAAAAGGGAAATACTATAGGATTACATAAATTTCTTCTTCAAACTAACTTAAAAAGTTATATACAATATAACGCATAATTATCCTTAACAATAATATCGAACTAACTTAATGCTATTGAGATAATATACTTTAAAATTTATGATCTAATTTCAGTAACAAAAAATATATAAAATCAGAGAATATTTTCCAGAATTTGTATTAATTTAAATTCCAGAGAAAATCTAATTTAAAAATAATTTAATTCTAATGATGAATAAATTTAAGTCTTATTGAATAGATTTTTTTTCTAATTAACAAATTATAAAAACTCGACAATTTATCCATAATTTATTGTTATCAAATAGATGTGCGTGTAATTAATGTATAGTTTATACTGAGAACCAAATCTGCATTTAGTCAACAGTAAAAACTAATAATAAATAATTATAGTAATAAATTAATTTACTTTACTTAGCACTCAGCTTACAAATAAAATTAAATGAAACTAAATTAGTATTAATACAAACACAATATTAAAAAAAATCAATAATGTACCAATCTACCACACTAGAGAAATACAAAAACATTATATTTTCCAAGCATAATGATAGAAAATACTGTCAATAAATTATTATCATAAATGATTTTAACCCCAAAATAAAAGTTTGTTCTGTTCATTAAGTGTAATTCAGAAAATAATTTTTTTTTATTATGCACTAAAGTAGTAGTCATTTAAGTAGTACATTTAAATGCTAAGAAATAGACACAAAACAAGACTAGGGGTTAAGGAAAATATGAACTACAAAAGAAAATATAGGTGGGCTTATAAATATTCATAATTTAAACAGAACAAAATTAAACATATAAATATAAAAAATGTAAAGCGTATCTTGGCAAGGATGACTATTAAATTAAGGTTTTTTTAAAAATAAAGGTTCATAAACAAAATTTTGTCAGTTTTGCCGAATAATGGTGTCAACTTCAAAAAAAAATATTAATAAATCACCAGAATCAATTTCAATAAATTAAGAAGGATTAAATTCCTGGGACTTTTAATGGTATTGGTACAGGAATGTTAAATAACCTTTATATTTAGATCTTCATATTTCCATTAAAAGTTTTTGAATTTAATTTATAAATTAGAAACTAATTCTTCTGTCTTCTCAGCATCTGAACCTAGATCTTGTTTCAATGCTTCAACACAAGATTTTGGTATTAATGTACCTAAATATAACAATTAATTTATGTATCATAAAGATTTTAAAATTATAAAGTCAAATCAAATCAATATAACTAACCAACAATTTTTATTCCTTCAGCAGTCTTTAGTCTAACCACTTGCATCTTATGATGTGAACCTGTACGAGCTAATAACACATTTTCAATTCTACTCCACACACTTAACACTGATCCAGATAAAACATTATATGTACGGCGCCTCAATCCTACTTCACAGTCTTGACCGACTGTAACAAGTTTACAGTTTCCACGCCTAAACAAAAAAAAATGTATTTTTAAAATTGCCAATTCAATTGAAATATTTGTGATTCTTAAATGTATCTGTTACCAATAGGCATGTGAGCAAACAGTTTCAGAAGAACCATACTGTTCATTCCAATGTTTTTCTGCTTTATCTGTCTCCACTTTATAATATTTTTTTTCAAGTTCACTCAATGATTCTTGTCTTAACTAAAGAATTCATCATGCACATAAAGTTAAACAATTGATATAAAAATTAAGCCATTTTAGGTATTATAATAATAATACATTCAAATATGAAGTAATCTAACCTGTAAACCAGTATTTGGACGGAATATGGTAAACATAATGTCTTTTTTGGATGTTGATTTTGTGGTTTCACCTTTTTTATTTGCATTATTATCAGCCATTAAAGCAAGTATTGCTGTACTTTTATTGTTTCTTATCTAAAAATAATAGTAATATAAACAATAAATTAAAGCACAAGCTACTCTTAACACTTATAAAATATATTTACTTTATAAGAATAAAATGTAATTAATAAAATAAAATAAAAATAAATTTGTACTTGATGCGATAAATAAAATCCTTCATTAGTTGATTTGACTTCAGCTGACCTTTCTACAGCTTCGTCCCAGCTCATACCTCTTTCAACATGTACAATATGAAGTTCAGTTGTTGCTTGACCAGTTGCATGTTTTCTAAGGAACGTATACAATTTTACCCTTTTTACATTTTCACCAGCTGTACCCAAATCTAAACAAAGAAAAATATTATAATTTATGACTGTAAAGTAATTAATTTAACAATTATAAAATTAAGTATTTACCCATAATTCCTAAATCAAAGCGACCGGATTTCTTTGCTTGTGTAATAATATGATGTAGTACATCGGTGAAATATTGAAATAGTCGGTTTTGAAGATCAACTGGCATACCAAGGATACGATTTAGGAACTTGCTTATGTTGTTGTAATCCTTGTCTAAGGTGAGGTTACCAGGACTAGCTTCATTATTAATTATCATACCAACACCTACAAGAGCGCCACCAACATCTAAAACATTTAATTAAATTTAAATTTATTATATTTTAGTTAAATAACATAATATTACTTATGATAATGTGCAATTCATAGAACTTTACTAACAAGATACTCCAGAACCATGGTCTTAGATAATATCTTCTAAGATAGTGTCCAGAATAATTATTATGAGAGGTAACTTTTAAAACTGTCTTTTAATTTTCTATAAAAGTACAAAATAGCTCTAATAATAAAATATTTAAAATTCAAATTATGTTTTTCTATTAACTTGCTCAAATGATTAATAAAATTGACTAATCAAAGTTTTAACACAGGACATAATATCTAGTAAATATAACCTTAATAATACCCTTAGTAACAACCACAATTTAAGATATAGGACAAGCAAGAAATTCTGTTATCGTCAAACTTGTTCCTAAAAGTTCTTCATCCAATAGACATAAGAATACTAAAACCAAATCTGCAGAACATTTTTTTTAACTAATTCAGTCATCAATATTTTTGAGCTTTTAATTGTTAAAATTATCAGAGTAATAAATTATACTTTAATACTTAAAAAATGAACTAAATATCAAGTCTGTTAAATGTACCAAATTTATATTCATTGGCATAATCAATATTTAGTAGTATTAGTAGTTTTAGTATTAAGTATCTTAAGTGATAACATTTTTCAAACACATATTTGTACTTAATAAATGTATTTATTAATTTTGAGGTTTGAACTATAATGTATGAAAAGGACCATGAGCAGTCTAGAGTTGGATTTTGAATACTTATATCACATACAAGAGTGTGGAAGCTAAACATACCAATGGTAAAAATAACTACCTAGAGGCCAAGCCTCTAAGAAAATCTACGTCTCTGATGAATTAAAATAATTTCTGATACAATTGTTATTTTATGTTAATAACGTATATATAGTATTTGAATACTTTTATAAATTAAACCTGTATGGTGATTATTTATTAAAAATAAATAAAATATAAAAAATTACCTTCAAAGAAGTTTCCTTTATAATCTTCTGGAGGTGGTACTGTAGGATGATCATAACCAATAATAGTCTTCATTGTTGTTTCTAGAGCAGCACGGCCATACTTATTATCAATATTGAATTTTGATAAATCTCGAGTTTCTGTGGCTCTTCTATCACCATGAGTAAGTGCACCCTACAAATTAAGTAATTTAATAAGTATACAAAGAAATTATTGTTTAATAGGAGCACAGACTAAGTAAATATTTAAAACTTACAAGACTTTCCAATCTTTTAGCTACAATGGATGCAAATCGCCTTTCTCCAGCTAAATCTGATATAAGAAAAATATATTCTGGAGCATTAACTTGATTAGAACGATGAGATCGACCAAACTGCTGAATAGCCCTATCAGCACTCCAAGGTAATTCTAAAGTAATATGTACTCTACGGCGCTGATTTCGTGCCCTTCTGTCACTTTGTAGAGATATACCAGAACTAGCAGCTTCTGATATAATAGCTACATCCTTTTCTCCATCCATAAATCTCTGTTTTTCTGTTTAAAGTTTAAATAGACACAAGATATTTTATTAAACAATACTCTATTTATAAAATGTATATTTTAATTAACGATAGGCATGACCAAATAGTTTAGTTACTATCAAACTATTTCATAACGACTAGGATGTAGTCATTACATTAGAATTATGGATATTTAAAAAATGATAGTATAAACAATTTGGAAGTGCTTATCATAAGTTATAAAGTAAAATTATAATTTTAATTCAGTATATAAATCATGATTGATTTACCAATAACATTTAATGTTTCCAGAGGGGCATCAACTTCAGAACGAGATTCATATTGTATACCACCGTCAGTTTGAACAACTCTTCCTTTCCTTCCAGTCATCTAAAATAAATAAAACATCATAAAAATCAAGTAAAACTATGTTCCAATTAAATTAGACTTACTTCTGCAACATTTTCTGGTCCACCAAGTTCATCAATAAGTTGATCAAGAGTATTTGGTGGCAATTTATCACCCAATCGTTCAATTCTTTCCATTAATTCTTCTTTCATACTACAAGCGCGATCAATTGCATCTTTTTGGTGGCTGTTATTGGCCAAACTCGATTTTAATACAATTTGATGAATTTTGTCTTTTGCTGTTTGTTTCTTTTTGGCAGGAACTTTATTTTTCCGTTTTTTTCCTCTGCCTCCAGCCCATGGTTCTAAATAAGAAAAATTTCATTATTTTACAATAAAATTAATACATTAAAAAAACCTTTTTATTTTACCATCACTATCTGTTTCGTCTTCACCAAATGGATTAAAGTCACTACTCGCTTCAGAATCATCACTATGTTCTTCACTTATTTCAGATTCAGATTCTGACATTTTAAAATCTGAATCATCATTATCAGATTTTGAATCGGAATCACTTGAATCTTTGATACGTTTTACATTTCTTGAAGTTGCTTGTCGACCTGGTATAATTACAAACAAATTAAAAGATGAGTTAAATAAAGATTATGAAATCTATATACTATTAAAAAATATATACCAGATTTTCTTTTTTCTCGACTTCCCCCCGAGCTACTAGGTCCTTGAGTGTCACCATTGTGTGTTTTGGAATGCTTTAATTCAATACCAACATTCCCAAGTAGTTTTTTTATTCTATTACGATCTGGTGCAGGAAAATGTTTTTCAACCAAAGATTGCAATACACCCCTATAGAAAAAATTGAATTTTAAATTACATGTTTCCTTTTCCTTACCCAAACACCCAAACTTAGACTCATTTGAACAGCATTGTAGTATACATTTAGGATGCAAAATAAATGTTTATCATAATATATAAAATATAAATAGGTTACTTGGCAGTGGACACAAAATCTGTCAATTCCCCATCATCTTTTTCAAGTTGTTCAAGAGTTCGTGCTTCTCCAGTAGATTGTAAACCAATAATTACACACTTTCCGTGTTTAATTGCTTCTCTAAATAGTTAAAATTGCAAAATGAGAACGAATTAACAATATTATAATCTTAAACAAAATTTACCTTGCTACATCAACTGCGTGCTTAACTTTAGCTGCAATACACAAGTATTTAAAAAATCTTTGATGGGAAGACCAAAACTGTCCCCACATAGTTTTTCTCATACGATTTTCTGCATCAATCAATTCTGCTGCTTCTTGGAACATGTGCATAGCATCCACCCACTAAAATAAACAAAACTTTTTTAATATGTATACACAAAATCAAAAATTATTTAAAACATTTTGATATACCAATTTGACTGCATCATCATATACATTGGTAAAGGCCGGTGATAATGGTACTTCTTCTATTTTAAAAGATACCCCATGGAAACTTAACTGTCTTGCAATATACATGCCTCTAAGTTTCATGTCCATGGCTACTATTTCCATAGCACCAACACCGCTAAACAAAAAAATAAATTTAATATTGCTCTATGCTGTCAATAAAGGTGTATTACCGTTTTTCAACTGCATTAATAAAATCAAGAAACTCTGGAAATGTTGTCCCTTGTCCCCACATACCAAGGCGAACCATGTAAGCCATATTTCGAGGTTCTGAAGCACCAGTAGCTGATGCATAAACAACTCTAGCGTTAGGTAGCTTATTTTGTAATTCAAGTACTGTTAATCCAGTTTTTGTCGGTTTTGTAGAGCCAACTGGGCAAAGATTTTTAGCACGATGACATTCATCAAAAACAATCTAATATTTACAATTAAAGAATAATACTATGCATTTTTGAAAATATATTTTGTTTGATAAAACCAATGAATGATATACATTAATTAATAAAATATTTAAAGGATACAACTCCATCAAAATCATCACCACACCAGTTCAGTAGTTGTTTTAAACGACTTTTATATTTACCACCACCGCTAGATTCACCGATAAGAGCTGAATAGGTAGAAAATATAACTCCTCTTGATACATTTCCGTTTGTTGGAGAATTAATTTTAGCATATTTAAACTGCAAAGCCAAATATTTGTATAAAAATCAAAAATTGTTAGTATAATTAATAGTTATACCTTATTCAGAGAATACACTTTAATATTAGATGTTCCGATATCTTCTAAATCACGTTCAGCATCAAATTTCAAATCATTAGAAACTGAAACCCAAATAGCTTTCTTGCGGCCTTTTAAATAATTTTCAAATATCAAACCAGCTATAGTTCGACCTTTACCAACACCAGCTCCATCACCAATTAAAAAACCAGCTCTAGAACCATCTGGTAATACATGATCGTGTTGTTGGCATGTATAAGTAATAGCTTCTAATTGAAGAGCAGAAAGTGATCCAGAATTTATTGTTTCCATGGGAAGTGATAATTCATAATTCACATCAGCTGGTTCAACACTTGACAGTGATGCAGTTTCCACTACTGGATCAGGATGCTTCTTACCAAGTTTCACTAAGTTAAGACATTAAAAACAATTATTTGTTATGGACAAAATTAATTATATTATTTACATTTGGCAGGCATATAATCAGCATATGTTTCAGCTACTCCCATATCCTCGTCTTCATTTTCTTCTTCCTCAGCTTCTCCAGAACGTCCAGCTGCAGACATCTAGATGAATTACCATTTTAATTAATATATTATAATATTCAATAATGATATTCTCTTAATTAAATGTTAAGATTACCAACATTTAAACTCCCTATCCATATAAAACTTATATTGCATATTGATAATAATTAAAAGTAATACTTATTTCTAATAAGGGAATTTTTGACAGTTGTTCAAAATTATAGAAAACACAATTGTGTTTTGAAAGATTTAAATTTTGAAAAAGTATTATAATTCTTTAGATATTTTATTAGAATACATTGTCATAACTACTCATGAGTAAAAGTAAAAAATCTAATATAATTATGAAATTGTTTCAATTTTTTTTTCAAGATTTCCAACAAAATAATTTATATTTGTATGATATCCTAGTAAAGAACATAATCAGTTTTCAAAAATTTAACGCATCAAACACAATTTTGTATAGCTTTCAATAAAGCTGGTGAAATTTTCAGTATACCGGTCAGTCACTGGTATTTGAAAAGACCAGTATATCATTTATTGAGTAAATATTATTGTGCTGTAATATCAGTAATTATCAATAAACTAAAAATATATGTAAGAAAATTACTCTTGGATTTTGTAAAAACAATTATTAAAAAAATATTTAATAAAATCAAAGTTATTGCATTTGTCAAATCTTTGTAAGACATTCTGTGGTGTCCAACAAATATTGCAATTTAGTCAAAAACTTTAAACTCAATTTTGAAATTGTAACTCTTTCATAGCATTTTTCTTTATTTTCGGTAATTTTTTTTTTAGTACGTTCTTCTTTTTTTAGAAATAAGAATTAGATTAGATTCATTTTAACCAATCGTGTAATTGTAATAATCACTTGAATTTGTAATTGTTACACAATATGAAAAAAATAATATTATATACAAATTTGTGATATGAACTAAGGCAGAAAACAAAATAAGTACAAACTTTATGAATGGCAACAAAGATAACATACTTCTTACACTAAACGAAATAGTTTTATCAATTCGGGAAATCCCAGGATAATAATAAATCATAATATTTATTTGCTGTTCCAACATTGATTATAAATACCTATAATCAATGTTAATATATAGTGTTATTGTTTTATATTTATAATTTAATTTTAAAAATTTAAGGGCAACCAATATAGGTAATTATACCTAATCAATGCTCCAAAATATTCAATAAAGGTACACAGGTGTCAATGATCCGACACTTTTATCCTAATCAATATTTATTTTAAAAATAATTAATATGAATTCGTGCTACAGTTAATATCAGAGCACATCAAATGACAAGAAATTTCTTTTTATTGAATTAATATCATACAATAATAGCTTTGACTACTGATTAAATATTATAATAGATTATAAATTACATTGATTGATTGATTCACATTAATTGCTAAACCTTTAAAAATTATCGAAATAAATGTTTCAAATCGCAAAAATATTCTAAAACACTATTTTACGAAAATGGATATATTTAAATATTTTAAAAAAATTATAGTCAAATTTAAATTTTTTATTTAGTTCCCCCACCTTGTCAGGTTATGATCTTTTCGATTACATATACATTTATCAATGAAATGATGTTCATTTCTTGGGAGCGTCTGGCTAATTTTCAACTTTTTTGATTTTTATGTATAAATTTATAAGTAATATACTAATATACAGGATGATACCTATCAAAAGACAATCATTATCTTGAAAAGTATTCACTTTTTTGGCAATTTAAAAATCAAATCAAGCAGTTCTAAAATGTTACATTGCTATTAACATTGTCACCCTTTTTTGGTGGGGGTTAACAACTTCCTACTTTTGGTTTTCAAATGGCAACCTATATTAAAACGTCCATAAATAGATGGAGTATTACTTTAAATAAATGTTGGTGTTAGAATTTTTGGTTTCTGTCAACGAGATATTCCAGTTTTAAGTTTTGGTAGGGGGGGGGGAATTATAGTGGAACACAAATAAAAAGGCTACGGCGTTAGTTTGATGACTTGCCAAAAATATGAAAAAATCTTTTATTTAAATTAATATAATAGATTAATATTAATCAAATATTTGTCAATTTTAAAAAATTAAATGGTCACAATTTATAAGTGGTAAAAAGTCAAAGATCTATACTAGAGTCTGATGCCACAGCACCAATTCTGTTATTTCGACAACTCATAATTTGTTATTACAATAGTGGAAACTTATAAAAATAAAACAAAATTTACATTTTTTTTAAATTTTTAATATTGTCTCATAATTAAAACCTTCCTAATTTAATGACTGTTTTTTGATTCATTGTCTTGAAAGTAAATCATATAAATATATTATAGGATCTAATAAATATTAAACCCTTTTAAAAAGTTAAAAATAAATTAATTTTTGGAAACATTTAAAGAGATATATAATCATTTTTAAATTGTGATCTTTCACTTATATCTAGCTTAAAAATTACAATATCAAAAAAACATCAACACTAGGACACAGATAATCTTCTTACCTTTAAGTTTGGTAATAGGTAAATTCATTTTAATATTAAATTTAATGATACAAAATTTATCCTACTGAACACAAATCTGTTATATTGCATGTTTATAAGAGTGAGATGGTAGATAGCAGTGTCCTCTTAATAAAATGTTATTCAGCTTCAAATCTTTAAAATTAAAGTAAGTTAATCTACATAACCTTTTTTGTACATATATAGACATAATTTTGAGGGGAGGGGATAAATTTCAAGTCACTTAGGAGTTAAACTAGAATTAATATTGTCATCAGAAAGTTTGCATTTTACATTCAATGCACCAAATATTAATTTAATAATACCTACCAAAAACTGTAGTTTAAAATACAATTTATTTACTAATCAAATATTATAAGTTCTAATACCTTTTTTAATAAACAATATTAATTACTTTGTTATTCATTGTCTGATTAAACCAATATGGAGCAACGTTTTTAGGACCCAATGGAAAACTTTGTTGGGGAAATGGTGGTTGCATAATATTCTGTAATAACATTGATGCAGCTGGACTTCCTGAACTCAATATTTGTGATATTAAGGCAGCATTATTGCCCCCATTACTCATTAATGCTTGTAAAAGAAAATTGGTAGCAGCATTACTATCCATCATTCCTGCTGATCCGCCACCACCACCCATGCCTAAATTAATAACATATATAAGTATGAATAATGTTTTACTTATAATTATTAGTAAAATGATCTAAACCTTGTAAAAATTGATTTTGATTTATATTGGGGGGCATCATTCCTGGATATGGCATATTTTGTGGAAACATCATATTTGAAGATCCTTGTGCCAAATTCATGAAAGGATTTCCCATCATTGTACCCATCCAATTGGGCATACCTCCCATGTTTTTTGCATAGCCTGCTGAATAATAATCAATTTAAATTTACACATGCAATTCACTTATAAATGTATAAACATAAATAATAAAAAATTTACATTAAAATTAAAAAAAAAAATTAATTATTTAAAAAGATATAAAAGTGATCAACATAATGTAAAATTATCATTATTTCAAAAAGTATTAATATGTTTGACTAGACTATTGTAGTTTTTTTTTGAAATTGTAACAAACCAAGTTAAAATAATAAATGACTGTTATTTTTTGTGACTTTATTTTCAAATGTGAAATCACTATCCATTTATGTTTTATAATATTAATCTATAAAAAAATTACACTATAAATGAATAAAGGTAAAATAAATGTTGGTATTGAAATTGTTTAATTCATGTCAACCTACTGACTAAATGTTCCATTTTTAAGTTTTTAGTTTTATTAGCAGGGGAAAGTGGTGGGTATCATTATTCAAATGCTGTGCTACCATACAACTGATGCTCTACTACTTTTCCCCTGTTAACAAAACCACAAACTTTAAAGTAGAATATTATACCAACGGGCTGACATAAATTAAGTTTCAATATCAAAATTAATTCAAACTAATACTTCATATATTTATGGAATTTTTATTATTTAAAATCAAAAGTAGTGGTTTACCTCCAAAAATAAGAGTGAAAAAAAGATAACTGCCATGAATTATTTTAGACCAGTTTGTTTCTTACAATTTCACCAAATGCGAAAAATATTAATACTTTCTAAGTTAATAAACATCCAACATTATAGACTATTCTTTATATACATATATACAAATATTAATAATATAATGCATATTTAAAAATGTCACATTATATAAGGTTAAGCGTGTAACACATTAATATAAATATATAAAAAAAAAAAATGGCAAAATTCCTATCTAAAAAATGAAAATATAATTTTTTTTTTAATTTTAAACAAAATATTAAATTTTCTAAAGGTAATAAATATAAAATAATTATTAAAAATTACCCATATTATTTGTGTTCATTTTTAAAGGTGGTTCTGAAGGTTTAACTAAATTAGGATTAATACTGGTACTGGGTGGTTTTTCATCTATAAATGGTGTCTTAATAGTAGCTGCTGTTGCTAAATCTTTTCCTCCACCTGATAAATAAATAAATTATTATTTTTGTTTGCAAAATTAAAAATATATCAGGAATTGATAAAATTGTATATTATGGTTAAACATACTAGAAAGCCTAGATAATAAAAGAGTGATAAAGCAATTATTTTGCCACCTTTGTTATGTTTGAAATTAAATTATTACAAAATTATAACACTGCAAATTATAAAATATACAATTTGATATGAAGCAAAATATAACAATAATTATGAAAATTAAATTGAAAACATAAAGACAAAAGGAAAAGTTTATATGAAAAATGGTATTGTAATTTTTTTATTATCCAAGCTCTCTAATTAATATCAATAAATAATTACAATTCATCGATACAAATATTTTACTTATCATAGTTAAAAATTAATTGCATATACATTTTAAATAAAATGAACCTGTTACAACAATGAATTTCAATTTTAATAAAACAATTAACGAACAATATCAAAAAAATGTAAGTATTTAGGAAATATCACACAATCTATTGGAACTTAAATTAAACTACATGGCAAATGATCTCATAGCAATTATAGACATAATAAATTATTTAGATAGGTGAATACATCATTTTATTTTCAAAAGAATGATATTTATATAGTTTATAGGTACCAATGAAATAAAAAAAAAAATATATATATAAATATGTAAGCATATTTTATAAATCAAAATTGCATTTTTAATTTCTATTTTTAACGACAAAAGTGCAGAGTGTATATTAACATAATATAATTTTGTATTGAGTGTTGTAAGTAAGTAGATTATACACTTACTACATAAAATAATAATAATTAATATGAAAATTTTTTATTTACATATTTATTGATTAAAAATAGTTTAACTTTTTATGTTATTTACCCTAACTCAAAATATAAAATAAAACAATATCTTTAAACTATAATTTTATACATTTTTTTCAATGAAAGATATATTTCTCAAAAGTGACTACATTCACAGTTTTCGAGATTTCACTTCGACTTTTGTGATTTAATAAGGTATATTATTATTAATACTTGAAATAGTCTTCATTCCTAACCTTAAGTAAGTACAGTAACTAATTAAGTATGATATAAACTAAAAGGCTTTAAAATAAAAACAAATAATTAAAGATAGGGAAACACAAAATAAACAAACCAATTATGATATAGCTAACGTTTTAAGTAGCTAGGACTGAATCTAGATAAAAACATCAAAAGGAAAAAACATTTTAAGTAGAACTAAATTCAAATACTTTTGATGTGAAAATTAAATCAAATAAATAATCATTTAAATCTATATGATTTATTTGTGTTCGACATTCTATACAATTATATTTTAACTATACACCTATATATTTGACATAAAGAAAGAAAATCATTACTTGATAATATTACCTTAAATAATACCTAATAGCATTATAATTTAATAAATTGTATTTTACAAAATGCCTACAACTGTGGAAGCTAATTTATACTGTAAGGTATATGCTATATGCATATCTGTTTAAACACAATTTTGATTCATTTATATGTAATTTAATTATTTCTGCGATTTTCAAAATTAAAAAATTAAAAAAGAAACAAAGAAACAAAGAACTAACAACACTCATGGCTAGAATGATTTAACTGAAAACTCACAGAAAATTATGTCAACATAAAGTAATAAACCGTAGGTATTATATACTGTTGAGTGCTGATAATGAATCACAGCCCATAAGGTACAAATTACCAAAAATCAAACCAGTATAAATTATAAATATATACAAATTGATACAAGTATCATGAAACAAATCATAATCAAATTTGATCTTTTTATGTAATCAATAGTAAACCCCATTCTTAAAAACACGTTGATTATTATTTTTGTTGTCTACCTACAGTTTACAAGCTGAACGTAAAATAATTGTTAGTAATTTTCTTCTTAAATTGTATTATTTCAATCAGAACAACTCAAAATTTAGACAATTTGGACATTTTGGTAGAATAATAAGAGGGTTATCTTACTATGATCTGTCTATTAAGAACAACTAACTAAAATTTATTTATTTAGTAAAAGTACTAAATACTATGTAGAAATATTAACAACTATTTATATAAATATAACAAGTAGGTATATTTTTTAGGAAAAATATACCTAATTGTAGCTAACAATTAATAAATTAAATTAAATCACAACTTGATGACTGAAAATATTGGTTTAATAACCTACAAAATTTAAAAAATGTTCAACTAAATAACTACAATGTTTTTTTAAACCAATTTTTAATTATTAACCTGCTTTCATAAACTATACAGGTTCTAACTATGGATAATGGGACCAAATTTCAAAATATTGAAAACAGTTGCAGAGGTTTCCTATTTATAAAGCCAACAATAACATAATCCATAAGAATTTCTATTTTTAAAACTTTAAAAATTTGCTGAGGCACTATAAGTAAACTACTGCAGGATTAAAAATTAAGAACTTTCTGTGGTAAAACAATTGGAAAAAAAACAGTTAATATGTATATAGAAAAATCTAAAATAATCAATAATTACAAATAAGTATATTATACATTTGAGCACAAATCTGTATGGTTTTAATTTAAAATATTATGATAGGTAGTTATTTTGAAAACAAACACCAATTGATAAGAAAATATTTAAAAATGCATCAGAATCTAATTGGTGAAAAAAAAATAATCTATAAACAAACAATATCTATTAGTATTAGTAGAAAAAGTATAGAACACAAAACAAAAATAGGTACAGGAGTTGATTATATAAGTATATTTCAATCTAATTACCTGGAACTTCCGTTTTGTCCGGATCATCATCATCATCGAAATCACTTCCAGAATCTGGATTCTTCTCCATTTTCACAACTGTTTCTTTGGACGCCTAAAAAACCCATTTACAATAATAATACATTTATTATTTAGAATAATCAGATAAAATCAAGAAATAAAAAATTGATACACTGCAAGAAAGTGGTTGTTGGTACTTGTGCAAGGAATTAGGAAAATAATGAATAAAATAACGTGGACATATACAAGTATACAACAATATTTATATAAACAATTATTGTCTACAAACCATTGAGTCAGAAGGGTCCATGCACGGAGCACAGCTAGTAACACTAAGGAGGGTGGCCAGAATACGAGATTTCAGCGAATTCGGCGTCGGTATTGATTAATCGCGGTGGATCATAATAAAAAAATCTGGCTGCAAGCTTATTGGTGGAACCGCCCAGAGAACTTAAGTCGTACCACTAGCCGCCTAAAACACTGTACTCGATAAACAACAATTCACGCCGTAATAATTACTGCATGTAGTAAAACTGAAAACTGTTGTTTATAAAATTCGGGGGCTCCCGGGAAAAAAATGTAAACTGAAACTTATTTGTTGGGACAAAAGAATACAGGTTAGAATCAATACAATAGTTTTGCCGGAAAGAGAAAAACAACGCAGGCTGCCAGATACTGTAGATAATTAAATGCCCGTCGCTACCATTGGCAGGCGGCAGTACACCTCCGAATTGTGATGATACAATATTCAGTATTCACACACGTTCCAAATTTCTAGTGTTAAAATAATTAACAAATATACTGGACACCTAAGAAAGGTTTATGGTGAGAAAAATATAGATAAATTGTGTTGGTTGAACATAACAAGGATTGTGAAGTACAGGCCCGACCGTCTCGCCATATTGATTTTGTTTCTCAATATTTAAAAAAAAAATTAAAAAAAAAAAACAACCAGATTGACGATTATCTGTGATATTCACCCTCGTTATTAATACATGATCGAAAAAATACCACACACATTATAATTGAAATTAGTAAATGTTTAAATAAAGAATAAAAGCCAATTTTTAAAAAAGTTAAATAGTAATTATGAAAAAAATATGGGAATATTTTTGATTTTCGAGTTACATGAGTACATTAATTATTTGAAGGTTGGTAACACGTTAAAATTAACCGAAAAAATGATAACATTATATCGACCAATGAGAGATCTCGTTATGGCGTTTGATTTGCATTAGATAATTTGTTTACTGCCATTTCTTCGGATGATTTTTAAAACAAAAAAAAAAATGTCCCAAAATGATTCAAATGGAAATTTTTTCCCTTCTAAACGTAAATTTATGTAGTCGTTGCTAACTTACGTAGTTAGGAGTGAATAACTCATTATAAGTTAAGTTTTTTTGTGTTAATGTCTTTTTATTGTTAATATTAGTATACAATGTCCAACCCCCTCAAAATGGTCAGAAGTAAGTGCACACACGTACTGATTAAATTTAACACATCGTTTATTATAATGTATTATTCTAGCAAAAATTAAACGAAGTAAAAGGTTAGCCAGTCAAAATGATATCAATACAAATCAAGAATCAATTAAAAAATATTGTACAGAAAAAGTTAGTTCCATTTTACCGTAAACTTCGATTTTAAAACCTAAAATGCCCATACAATTACAAATACTTTTAAATTTTAGTTAGAATTGTCTATCTGTTTATTTTTCGCTTTTTATACCTCAGCTTTGGTGTTGGTACCTAACATTTTAGTATTAGTTTATGTTCAATTGTCAATTATCTACCTAATTTATTGTATATTCTGTTATAAAATTATCATTTATATGATTTATTAGTTATGTTTTATGCTCGCTATATTGTTTTTGTTGATAAATAGAACTCTGAATATAATTTTATTTAGATTATTAATTAGAACCGCTTATGTTTGTCTATTTCATAAAATTAATAAGTAACTTGATATTTAATCTTAGAATTTTAAAATATTAACTTTAATTGTTCTGTTAAGCATTTGTTTTTATTATGAATAATACTTCTATATATTTTTATTTACAAATTATACATAAATTTTCTGATCACAAGAATTATCAACTAATAAGGATTAGGCATAGGCATAGGCAAATCACATATTTAATATCATAATTGGAAATACGGGGGTCGGTTGCAGGGTATACAACTGTATGCTCTAATTTTTAATTATGATTTTAATACTTTTAAAAACTGGTTGTGCAGTTTTTAGTTATAAACAATATTTATAATTAAAATGTCAAGCAACACATGAAAAAGTTATCTATTTAAGTTAAGAAATTAATGAAATACAGTGCCTGTTTAAAATTTTAACTAGATTGCCAGAATCTTTTTAATATCTTCATGGTCAATTGGTAACATTTAGCTGTTGGAAATTAATTTTTTTATAAACATCAATTGATGGGAGTGCAGATTTAGATACTGCATATCCAGAATACATTTTCTGGTTCCATTGAAATATAAATACAATCTTATTTAAATAACTTAAGTTTATTATTTCATGATGAGTTTTTTTTATTCAAAAATTATCAAATATTCATAATATTTTATTTATGTATAAATAATTTGAAAAACAATTTATTTTTTTTTTCTGGTTTAATATTCATTTTTAATAGCCTATGTCTGTATAATAATTTACTTTTTATTTATTTGTTTTACCATCATCCAACAATACAAATTTTACTATTTTAATTGACTATCAACGATAAAAGATAAAATAGTTAATATTAGAAATTTAAAGTAATGCCTGCGATGATTGTATCAACTGCGTAATTATTATTATTATCAGATATTACTAGAATACTTGCAAAATTAAATTGTTGCTTTAATGACCAATTATTCATCAATTAAATCAGAACTAGAAGTAGTATATTTGGAACAAGTCTTGTTCAAGCAATATTTTTAAATTTTTTTTTTCAAATGTGTGATTTTTAGTACTGAATATGATAGTATTTTTAAAAACAAATTCTCGTAGTTATTTTTCTAATTGTATTTTATAGTTTAGTGTTATTAAAGAATACCCATTAATATTAAAATGTAGATTGTATAACATGTCTAAACTGGTTAGGCAAGTTTACCAAAAACATTATTCTCACTAGATGCTCAATTAATTTTTTGACAGATATTGATATGTCAACAAATCAATTCTATTATCGTTTTGCAGGTTCACTGGCCATCTAACAAAATCTACTTTTATAAACTCATTCTAAGTATTATATAATTATAAGTTATGTATTTAAATTTTTAAAATAATGTATCATTAATGATTGAAAACATTGGATTTAATAAATATAAGAGTAAACAATAATATTTTAGAAACATTTATTCAATCGCAATTTAAAATCAAATACCTTACTATACATCCCTATTATTTTTTATTATTTTTAATGTTTGATAACCTTAAAACAAATACATCAAACATTTTATTTTCTAATAACTAATATAATATTAAATCTCTATACAAATCATACAACTTTATTACTTAATATTTATGAAGTAAATAATTTATACCTAGGTATATAGTTATAGCATAATTGCATGAGCTTTTAAACAAATCAACTATTCAGCATCTATATTAGTGTATTAATCAATACTAAAATAAATAAGTTAGTGTCTCATAAATATAAATTCTTTTAGAAAATCTACAAGAAAAAAAATCATCATGATAAAACGAAGAAAACTAAATGTTTAAAAACTAAAAACATACAAAATTCATTGAACTCCAGCCCAATTGTTTTAAATAATAGTAAATATATGAATATTATTATATTTTTTTTTATTATTATTATTATTATTATTAATATTTCTGTTGGTTATATCTACTAATTTATATATGTGGTTTTGTTATCTTTTTTAAAAAGTTATGTACTAATATTTTGAACTTTTAATTTTTTCTTAACTAGTCAATTTAGCATTGATTTTTATAATATTTTTGTCATCATTTATCAAAGACCACTTAATTAAATTAAAATGTGAGCTATGTGGACAAAGTATATTTTGAGGATAGGTCAGAGTACACTCTATAAAACATTAAAGTAGAAGTTAACAAAATTTGTATAATATTTGAGGTAATAATGTGTTTATGTAATAATATTTATGTCAACATTTTTTTTTCTGTTTGAATAAGGAACAAATGTTAGGTACTTTATAGCTATTTAGCTATTTTATAAATTTAATTTAGAGCCCATAGCTTTTATTGGGATAAATGTAAAAATTTTAGATATTTATGATAAATATAACCAACAAACTAATGTATACCAAATAAAATTAACACGTTGGTAGGTACTTAATTTATATTAATAAAAATGATTTTTTTATTTTAAGATGATGATAGAGAAAATCTCTTGATGGATCAAAATGTTCAAAATAACCATACATCATATAAAATCATCAAATTATTAAGTCCTACTAAAATTAGTGTTAAAACATTCTACAATTATGTAAGTACATTCACAATTCATACATATTGTGCATGCTACTACTGTAATATACATTTTTGGATAATAAATTAAATAATAACATTTTGTGTACTTATTCAGAATAATTTGAAACAGTATGAAGAAAGTTTGCGAGCTAAGAAAAAAATAAAAATTGATACAAATGAAAGTGAAGGTGTTTTTATTTTATTTTAATTTGGTGTATTTTATTTATTTAAAATAAATAATACTATTTTCAAATGTCCATACAATAGATACTAAATGTTTGTCAAAAAATGACACTATTTTGAACAATGAAAAACCTTACTGCAGAGCCAAAAAAAACCTTAGAGTTCATTATCAAAAACCATATAATTTGATTCCACAACTAAACAAAGGTATAATTTTCAAAAATATAAAAATAATATTATTATTAGTATTCAGGCCTTATTTTTTCATAATTTTTTTTTAACAGAACATAAAAAGAAATTAAAATCCCATAATGTAAACTCTAAGGATAAATATAGAAGGGAACATAATTCTGAGAATGATCAAATACATTTAAATACTTTACAATCAGAAAGTAGGTTTTCTTTATTAACAATTCACACTTTGATTATAATTACATTTACTATTGTTTTTATGAGATAGAAATAGTATCAAATGAATATCTTGTGGAAGAATATCAAGTAACACAATCTACAAATAACACTGTGTCAATATCTGTTAAACGTTTTTATAAAAGTGTAAGTTATATTTACTTATTTATTTATTGAAATGTAATTCTTTGGGTTACGGTATTCAACTATTAATTAAACATCCTTTGCTTTGTCTAATACCCTAAAATCATTTTTATCAGTGCTTGATTTATTTATTTTTAATCAAATTAACAATATTAAGTTATTGTTTAAATTTTGCTTTTATTTGGTTTGCAAAATTTGTTAATTACAATAAGCTTGTTGGTCACTTGTCACTTATTGGTTTTATACATTTCCAGGTGATTGTTATGTTTTAAAGTATTTTTAATTTCTTTGTTCTGACCTAAAATTGTAAATTATTATTTCTTACTTATAAAATAGTCATAATGTTCTACCTATGTATAATTTGTATTGCTTTAATTCAAAATTATTATTTTTAAGATTACATTGAGTAAAAACTTTCCATAGCTGAAGTTAGTATTATATTTTTTAAATCCACCTTTACTAACTTTCTTTTTTTTTTTACAGAAAAATCCATCTACTGCTCATGACAATGAAAAGGTTACCAAAGATATGCCACTTATTTCTGATACCACATTCAACTCCAGTAGGTTCCCTTTTACATTAAAATTTATAATTTCTTTATTATTATTATTATTTTTTTTTTTACTTATTTAGAAGCAGATTTCAATCAATCTCCATCATCAAAATTAAATAGTAGTCATAAAATAAGGTATTTGAATATAAATATAACTAATAATTAAATATATGTTTATAGAACTGTACTAACAAAAATATAATTAAATAAAAAATGTTATAGTTTAAATGTGAAATCACATATAAGCAATACAACCAATGATAACCAGCAAAAAGTGACATCGTTTTTTCCTATTCGAAGAAGTGCTCGCAAAACTAAAAACATAGTTAATGAAGAAAAACAAATTGCTCTAGAACAAGCTATTGCTTCACAAAATGAAGATGGATTAAAAGTAATATATATATATATATATATACTAATTAAAAGAATGTATAGGTTTATAATTTAGCCTATTTTATTAGGTAGCAGAATTTCCCAATAAAGGTCGTGGTATAATAGCTGATAAAGATTTTGCACGCGGGGAATATGTTGTTGAATATGCTGGTGAACTGGTTGGTTTGCAAGAAGCTCGTAAAAGAGAAGCCATTTATTCTCAAGATATTACTACTGGTTGTTATATGTATTACTTCAAATACGGTTCAACTCATTATTGGTAAGAAAAATAGATTATATATTGTATTTATTATTTGTGCAATTTTGAATTAGGTTGTGTTTCCAGTATTGATGCAACAGCTGAATGTTCAAGACTTGGTAGACTTGTTAACCATTCAAGATTTGGTAATCTAGGACCTAAAATTGTAGAAATATCAGGATTACCCAGAATTGTGTTGGTTGCAAAAACAGATATTAAAAAAGGTGAAGAGTTAACATATGATTATGGTGATCGCAGCAAAAAATCTCTCATATATCATCCATGGCTTGCTTATTGAAATGTATATAAAATCTGTAATAGTGTAACCCATGTAAACTTTTTTTTTGATTTATTATGTATTTATTTATTTATTTTATTACTTTTTTTTTTTTTATTATTATTTTTAATTATTATTTAACATTGATAAAACAATTTTAAAATATTCACTGCCAATAAGAATAATACATTTATTTAATTATTTCTAAAGATTCAATGTGACAAAGTTAAATTAAAACAAACAAAAAATATTGCAATTATATACTGTTTATATTTTATTTTTTTGATTTTTTTCTGTTAACAACTTTTCTATTGGAAATGTTGATCTGATCATCCAAGGTTTCTGGTAACATTTTTTTATTTAATTTTATTTGTGTGTCATTTCATTAAAATTTTATCATGTTTAACTACCATATATTCTCCTAGCCCAATTGAATTGTCTTGTAATAAATAATTTTGGTTAAGTAATTTTAATACATAATACTATGTGAAGGGTCAACATTAGTGTTTTTGCCTGTTTGGGGGGCAGATTATGTCTGATACGAATATTTTGACTTTTGACAGTAACAGAGTAATTCTGTCCTTCTCACCGGCAATATTACCTCGACAATTGATCCTTAGTCTATTCATTATGAAACTAGAGTTATTTGTGATAAAATTGTGTTCAACTCTCATTAGTTTCTCACATTAGATATATATGTATTATTATTCTTAATGCATGTTCTATTTATAGTTAATATTTACATTGTAAATTGCTCAGTATAAAACAAAATTCATAAATTATCATATTTTTTGGCCATGTTAAATAATTTGTTTGTTGTTTTCTTATAATTGTATTAATTTGTATGCATTTTTAAGTTAAAATTGTTATTATTTTTGATAGTGATAATGGTCATGTTTATGGAAAACCTGAGTAAGTATTTTTAACACAAAATTATCAATGAAACATGCATCATACGTTATTTATAAAATTGTGTTATTTTTTTACTTGTTATTTAATTATACTATATTAAATTTAAATATAAACTTTGGTATTTATTTAAATAATAAATATTTATTTTTATACATTCGTACTAAATATTCAACATTTTGAGTTTTACCAATATTGTTTTTTGTGCTGTATAAATTAAGTTTGTTAATTTTAATTTGGAAGCCAGAAAAAATTAATTACTGAAAATTCAAAATTTTTTTTTATGGACTGCTTCATATCTTCATATTAGTCTGTAATAATTAAAAATTCTTGTATTATAATAACTTATTTTTGACCTTTTGTTTTTTATACTTATTTTTTCTTTAATCGATAAGTTTTATTACTCAAATCTTATAACCAAACTGTCCCCGATTGTTATTTAGAAAGTTCTTTATGTTGATTTTTTAATTGCACTTATTTATATTATTATTTTTTTAAATTTCATTGTAATATTTTATTAATTTATTCCGTAGTAACTTATGATAAACAATAAACATAACATTTTCATACATTACTGCTCAGTTAGGTTAGGTCAAAACAATATTACCTCATAAAAATGAAAAAGTGACTAAAGTATCAAATACCTGTAAATAGCAATAAACTATATCTAGAAACTACCATTATTAGAAAATTTTTCTGATTCTTATAGAATATCTATTAAAAAAACAACCACCCAATGCATGAACTAGACAAAATCTTTAAAGAAAAAGTGATACTTATTCTTGAAATTCAAAATCAAAAATAATTAAAAATGTATGTATAGCCGTAAGTTTGTGTGGTTTTTCTTAATTGTTATAATACTTAACTGATTTTCTAATTTGAAAATCATAAGATAAGCAACATAACTTAACTTTAAAATTTTAAATGTTATTAAGTACTTACCTATCTATATAATATTAATTCTAAAAAACTAACTGACATATTTCACAGTTTGCACAATGGACATAAATACATTATAATTTCTACTATTGTAGGTGAGAAGTTAGGAAGGTAGAGTAGAAATTTAATGTACTTATATCTGTACACAAAGACTAATCATTGCCAACAAAAAACGATTCTGAGTTTCGTTATACATGTTTATTGTATTCAATTTAAAATGTATTCTCTAGCTTTAAATGCATAGGTAACCTTTTATTTTTAAGTCTTGAAAATATATCCATTGTTTCATCTAAATCTATTTTAACTACAATATCACATTCAACATCAAAAACAAGCAAATCACTCATTTGCAAATTCTTTATTCTTGTTTATGCCGTCCATTTCCTATTGAACTACAAACAAATGGTAATGGTTAAATAGTGAACAGTGTCAAACAGGCTTTTTAAATCATAAGGTATAGAGGAAAGTTCCCACCTTGTCGCTCCCTCCTCAAATAAAACAACATGAATTTAATAAAAATCACCCAATATCAGATTTGCCTGTTTATCGTGATTCAATTTCATATTGTAATTATAATGTTTAACAAGTAGGTAGGTATGATATTATTATTGTTGAACATTTGCTCAAATGAATTGTTTGGTGCGAATAATAATACAATTCAGTAAAACTACTGAATTTGAATACCTATTCATTATATTTTTTACAATCAAATAAATTAGTCGTATTTTTTTGATAAGATCATTAAATTGACACTAAATAATAAATGATATAATTAAAATCCGTCACAAATGTACATACAAATTCATGTAACATCAAAATTATTATTTTGGACATAATGAGCCCAAACATAGTGGTGATATTTTTAAAAAAAATCCGTTATTGAGAATGACCCCTCATTTTGTAAATGAGAATAGAGAGAATTTTGCAAGAAAGTCTCTGGTACGGTTTATTTTTACTTTGTATGGATATTTCACATAATATATTATATTATACATTATGAATATTTTAGTCATAGATGATATAAAAATTGATAGGTCATTCTTATATTAATATAAGGGGTCGCGTTTCGAAATATAAATGTGAGACAAACTTCTTTTACCGCTTTCTTTCACACAGCAAGGGGTTTTATCATTGATTATATTTCATAATGATAACAATAACCTCGATTTGTATTTGAATATTGTTTATTAAAACAATTTCAATAAAATTTGATATTATTATTATATTTTTCACAACATTAGAAAGATTAAAGATGGTATAAAGGAAAATCGTACTATGTGCTAAATTAACGAAACTTATCCATTCCAGACACGAATAAATTTAATTGAATACTTGTTATTATTATACCAAATTTTCATAAACCAGAATTTTGATATATATATTTTTTTTTCCTTATAGCGTATTATGTAAGTATATAATTATTAATTATAATGTAATTTGAATATTTTATGTCAAAATATTAATACATATTAAATAATGAATATAAAGCACTAATTAAATTTAACTAAATAGCTTAATGCATACTAAATAAAAGTAAAATAAATTATGAACTATTGATTATTTTTGATCAAGTTTACAATTTTATTGATAAAACCCCTTATAACCTAAAATTATGAAAATGTTCGTTCTTATGTGATAAACTCTCAAGACCTATCCATTCCATAGTCTGTAATACTCTATGATCCATTCATATATTATCTAATATTTTAGTCCGCGATTCCAATGTAAATTATTTCTATGAATATCAAATGATAACAAAATCTCATTTTGTGTTATCATAGATAAGCATTATCATATTATCATAATTGTTATAAATTTTTTTTTGTAATACCTGTAAGTAGTGTAAATTGTGAAAAATTTTTTAATCGTCATTCTGTTTTAAAATTTTTATCGTTTACACTTTTACAAAACGTGTATACCTTCAAGTTATATCTTTTCTACGCAAAATAAATAAGTATCCAAATTAACTTATTCTTACTAAGGCAAAGTTGTCCGTGTATTACACATATTAAATATAAAATATTGATAAAGAACATACATAAACATTTTAGATTTAAATTTACTATGGCTGCTCCAATGGAACGTATTCAAGCTTTGGAATTAATCGAAAAAGACATAATTACTTGTTTACAAAGTGCTGGTCAAGCACTTTTAGAACTCAGTAAAGAAAAGTCAAGTTTAAAGCAGGTAGAAAATCAATCACACCAATTCTTGAAGAGTTTAGGTAATGTTGAATCCAAACTCACTGAACAAATAAATTACTTGACTCAAGTATCTACAGGCCAACCATATGAGAACAGTGGATATGCATCTCAAAAAGTACTCCAAATGGCTTGGCACCGTTTAGAACATGCAAGAAGTCGGGTAAAAGAATTAGAACGATCAAAAAACAAGTATCTCCAAGATCAAGAACAGCTGAAAGGAAATATGTCTAATATATTATGATTAGTATTATCATTTATTGGTTGCACAATTATTTTAGTAATAAGTGAAAGTTACGAGGAGTTAATTATCTATTATTAATAACATTGCATTTAAAAGTTAAATTAATCTAATATTATTTAAGTTAATTATTTTTCATCATATCTTATGGGTATATGACATTGAAAATTAGGTATTTAAAAATTGTGTTATTAATAATATACTCGAAAGTATTAGTACTCGAAATCCAATATAAATATTAGTTATAACTAATAACTATTTATTTTTATTTTTAATTTAAACTACTATATAATGGATTATTTTTATAGTTTCATTAAGTTTAAATTTGTCTAATATTTTCAGGTAATTAAGATTAAATGGATTTGTAGGTAATGTTTTTGAATTAACTCTAAGAGCATTCAACACAGATATTCTACACTACTATTATAATGATAAACTATGTAAACTTATATTGTGTATTTAAATTCTTAAAAATATATTTGGTTTAATTTATTAAATTATTGTTATTATTTGTATTTTATATTTTAAAGTGTTTATGTAGTAAGATATATTTTAAAAAGTGTATTTTCTTTTTTTTGTTAATTTATTTATGTATAGAGTTATTGATGGTTTGTAATTAATTTTAATTACATATCTGAAAAATTTGTTAAAGTACTCCATCCCCCTGCATCCCTCCTCAATGCGAGCACTTAATGAAACTGTTATTGCCGTAAACTTTCCTGTTTTCTGGTGATCCAAAATTATTAAGAAAACGATAACGAAACTCACAAAGTTCTAATGAATCAACCAGTCAAATTTTTCTTTTAGAAAAGATACTGCTCATGAAATTCAGAACAAGATTTATGGGAGCCTTTTGGCTTCTATAGATAATTGTTAGTACAATATCTACAATACCTATATAGCTAATTTTACATTTTACATTTTACAATTTGTACAGATTCACAGTATTAATGATAATGTGTTTAATTGAAAGTCAAAAAAAGTTATCCTAGAATATTTGAGACAGGTGCAACTACTGTTGTTGGTGAGAAGTTGGGAAGGTAGAATATAGAAGGGATATTAATTTGTATCTGTAAGCAAGGATAAACCATTTTTTACTAAAACAATTCTGAGCGGATTTCAGTTGATTGTGATGCTTTGTCAACAATATATACCTAGGTATCTCATATTATGGTAAAATAATGGGCATTAGGTATATATTGTCTTTAATAATATTTGTTTAATATTGTACTGTTTTTATCAGTTTTCCCAAGTCTTTTTCGGGTTTTTTACATTTGCTAAGAATATCTTGAGAAAATCGAAAAATAATCCTCCTAAAGTACCTTCCCAGTCAAATTTTCGTTTAGAAAAAGTGCTATTGTTAAAAATCGGAGTAAAATTGCTGGTAGAAAAGTTGTCTGCAGAAAAAATCAAAAAAATCTTTTAAAACCATAAGCTTCTTTGCTCCACTCAGAATCTAAAAGATAAGAGGACCTCCTACAGTAATAAACAATGGTGTTTTATAGTTCCTACATATATAATAATTGCATATTGTTATGAGCTGTAATTTAGCAACAATTAAAAAAAAGGTAGGTAAGTATACAAAAGCGTCTCCCTGAGATTTATATCGATAAGTAGGTAAATTCCTATTATATATATACTCAGGTGTGTATTATATTCCTTGACTGAAAAAAAGTACCTATTTAACATTTGTAATAGGTAATTAATTTGGTTCACAACAAATATTCAGCTGGTACCTACGAACATATATCGCACAATGATTGGTCCACTGTTGTTGGTGAGAAGTTGGGAAGGTTGTGGGGAAATTTAATATATAGTTATTTAATGTATACATTAAACTGTACGCAACGATCAATCATTGCTAACGAAAGACAATTCTAAACGGAGGCGAAGTTCGTTTATACATGATTTGGAAGGATGTAATATTTACGATTTGAAAATAATACATTCCGTACATTTTCCCTTTTTTCCCATTTATTATGAAATAGCCTGAGGAATCAAAAAATAACCTCCTTGAAGAACAAGAAAATTTCCTTTCAGAAAAAGTATTAAATTTGAAAATCAGATTATGATTTCTGTTAGAAAAGTTGTTCACAGATAAAAAAAATAAATATCATTGTATAACCAATATATTTCCCTCTCCATTCAGAATTTAAAAGAAGTTTACACATAACACTATTTTTTTTTTGTCGACCACTAAGTATAACTTATGAACTTTCTGCTTACTTTTCAAGCATTTCTGTTTAGTCTAACAACTTCTCTATATATAGGTAGTGAATACCAAATAAAAACTACACAAAATACTCGCTGTGTCAATATTTAACGCCATTTATTGATTTCCAATGGACTAGAAGAAATAAGTAGGTACTTGAAACTTCAAGAGAACTTACTTAAATAGCTCGATGAAATCTATGTTAAAAATTTTACGATTTGGAAAAATATGAATATAATGTACTTTTCTGTTTTTTATTACATGATTTTTTCATTATCTTTATTGAAACTTTTCATTTAGAATTTAAAAACGATTAAAATATAATTTATTTATTAGTCTGCTAACTCTATAGGATTGTTTTAAACGAAAAAACCCTTGATTTGTTTTGCATAATCACGTCGGTTAGGTTACAGAGTAAAAATACATTTTGCATAAAAATCCTTTTTAATAATAATTATTGTGTGGTGTACCTACCAATTAAAACATCTAAAACAGTGTCTAGGACAATTTTTTATATTAGGAAAAAGTGTAAAAGTAATACTTTTAAGAAATGGTTTTGACCTAAGGACACCTATCAAGACAACAGGTATCCATCTGCACCACTAGACTACAACAACCATTACATATTATATCTAGTAGTAAGGCCGGAGTGATCGGTCTGTAAATGAAAATAGTCCAGATAGCTCGGGCCATTTTATCGTCTGGTTAACAATTTGTTGATTTATTTGTAATCTTCATCAATTTGCAATACATTGAAAAATTGATTCGTTAAAACATTAAATATATACCTATCTATTACGAATATTATCTGCACAATATTTGACACTAAATTTTATTCTAAAATTTAATTGTATTTCTTATAGTTTAGTTATTAAAATCTTGAACTCTTCATTGAATATGAATGTAAGAATCGAGCGTAACTAGAACAACTTTGTTGTTAATTTATTAGGGGGTACCTAGCTAACCCATCTGACGAAATATATAGGATGGCCTGGATATATTAAAATATCGCTGCCTGGATTTGGTTCTTAGTGTTCCCAATTCACCTCTGACTGATAGGTAGGTATTTAATATGAATACCTAATTAATTTGATACTTTTATGAACATTAAAATAGAAAGATCAAGTACATTGATTTAATCAAAGTATTCAAAATTGATATGTACCTACCCTACTTAACTGTAATAAATAAAAATCATTGTAGGTATATTATGTTCATTGTTATAAGCAAACCTACCTACCATTTAATTTTAACCATTAAATAAGTAATTTATCACAGTTCCACCTTGTTCTTGTTGTTCTATGATGCTAATAACAGTAATTATTAGTTGTTATACTGCAGTTAACTAAATTATAAAGTGTCAGGTTGGGCACGTGCCCTCGGTGCCCACGGCACTGACACCTGCGCAATATATATAACTATGTAAGTAATGCATAATCTTACCTAAATAAAATATAAAAAAAGGCCTTTAATATGATACTTCAAAAATTTAGAATAGGGTTATACGGTTGATTGATATTAAACATTACAATAAAATATTATACTTAATTCAAATTATTTTAAGTAATTATTGGTAATTTTTTTTCTTACATAGGTACGTAAGATATTATTGGCCATTTTAATTAAGTACATCTATTAAGTTTATTATTTTTCCCAATCTATTGGCGTGGTATATATATAATATATTTGTATATTTAAAGCACATGTCATCAAATTGAACGTATTTATATTATCATACATGCATACCCATCAGTTATGTAAATTCGATCTTATTGAATTTTATTAGGTATAATAAATCATTAATTATAATAAAATATATTCAATGTAATTTTAAAGTCATAAATCAGGTATATTATCAGTGTATTATTATTAGTAATAACATTGATTCATACCTAATCATTACCTGGTACCTACATGGCTACACATAATTTGCCTCGTAACTAATAAAGTACATTTCCATAATAATATATTATACGGTTGTACAAAGGTCTATAAAGTGCATTATTTTGTAATTTTGTAAAATATACCTATGTATATAAACATTGATTATATAATCAATGGTACTTATTACTTATTTTACAATGAAAACTTATTCATTTTTGAAGTTTAATTGAGTCACGAGATGTATTTGATAATTACAGAAAAAGCAATAAAAACATTAATTGTCATTTTAGATTCTGAACGGAGCGAACAATATATTGGTTTAGTAATGTTTATTTATTTATTATCTTGTTTTAATTTTCAGGTATAACAATACTTCTAAAGGAAAGTTTACTTGGGTTGTATTTTAGGAAGGTCATTTTTTGATTTTTTAAGCGGTTTTAAAATCATCGGACCATTTTTTTTTTTAATAAGCGTTTTGAAATCAAATTTAAACGAAAATCGCAAAAAAAAATTACGGCACTCCAAATTATGTATTATCGAACTCCGCTTGGAACCGTCTTTCGTCAAGCAATGGTTAATCGTTGCTTACAGATGTAAATGAAATAATCTTGTGTCCTACCTTCCCAACTTTCCTCCAACAGTGGCCGCTTCCATACCCAGTATCAGCTCTTTTTAGTATTATCATTGTCTATATATAGTATTTATAATCAATGTTTGTTTACCTATACTTCGGTGCATTTTCGATTTTTCATTGTTTATAATTAGATGACAATAATAAAATTAACTAATGTAGTATTTATACATCGTAATTCATACGTATAAAATACATTCGTGTTAAAAATAGGTCTATGCTATTGAATAAACATATTATATTCTATCCATTTGACAAAGATGACAAGATCGATCTCATAACATAATAATGTAGACTGGTAATGTACCTACAATTGATTTTTAACATTTAAGATGATAAATCACACATCGTGACATTCAATTTTGCTCCGGGTGATACACATACCGGCAGTATTATATGCGAGTACGTTATACCTATATTCGATGGTACCTACACGGCTTTTATAGTAATGCTTACGGTACCTACTTGTATAATAATATGTAAAATATTTAATTGACCGTACGACCGAAGTAGGTATATATTTTTCCCACAAAGGGGCAATCAAATAAAAAGTTAATTTCAATAAATTACACGTTGGTCAATCATAACGAATTGGCCGACTTTCATTTTTTTTCCTCTTGAATTACTATTAAATGTTTGAAATCAGAGTACACACACCGCAGAACGCATAATAAGCAGGTATCTACTCAACACTAGTTTACAATTAATAGGTAGGTAATATTATAATATTATGGTAAAACGACAGACCCGCCATTTTGCGGGACGCGGCCAATATTTGAAACCGAAATCACCAAACAGGATATTATTTTTATACACGTTCATTTAGTTTACCCACGAATCGCGTGTCCTTGAACAAAAGACATGTGCGGTATACAGGCCATATTATATACCATGAATTAGGTTGTTATTAGAAGTTTAGGAGGTTTCTCCTCCAATTGACTGTAAATCCGTTTAATGTATAGCTACCAACGTGAATTTGTTACTTATGATGACTGCAATACGAGTAGGTTAGGTAAGGTAAAAATCGCGCAAATCACAATGGTCAATTACATTCCGCGTAAGGGAATTGTTAATAGGAATCTATTGAACTGGTTGTTTACTGGCGCGTAACAACAATTAAAAAAATATAATATTTCGGACGGGCAATAATTATTATCGTTTGACTGTTGGCTAAACGCTAAACATACTATAAAGCAGCTGGTTAGATAATAAATGATTATAGTGAATTTGTTTTGTTTAGATTTCTTGATCAATGTTTAATGTACATATAATTTATAAAACATAAATCGAAGCCAAATAATCTGTAAAAATGTTTTTTTCTTTATTCAAAAAGAAATGTAGATTTGACCTTTTTATTAAAAAAATAAAAAAATAAGCTCAATTACAACCATAAGTTTGTTGTTTGTCATAAATTTATATTTATTTCAAAAATCTTCTTCTCCCTTGGCTTATTTCTCAACTGTTTAAGGTTGTTCGGCCAAAAATAAATAAAGAATAAATATATTACTATAATTCATATTAAATTATTTAAAAGGTAATTGTCAAATAATTATTTAATGTAAATTTAAATTTAAAATTATATGCTAAACCTTTGGTTAGTAAATGAGCAAACTTTTTTGTTTCTAATATAGGTTTATATTTTACAAACCTGTAATGTAGTAAATAATCAATAGTTAACACAAATTTCAGGCTGTATCACAGAAAACATTTTGGGGATGTTGAAAATTTATAAACTTTTTTTCCAAGCATTATTAACTAAAAATACATAAATTGTAAATATTCAGTCAAAACAACTGGATGTTGATTAGTTAGGTGTTAGATTTAAAGAAAAAAAATTATATATTATCTATTTACAGGACAATTAAGGCAAAAACAAATGTGGTTTTTCCTACAAAAAATAATAAGCCTATATTAGTAAATTATAATAAAGACCTATTATTGTATATAAGAAAAACTTTTTAACAAAATTAAAAATACATTTTTGATCTAACGTCCAATGACCCATTCAGTTACTGACACAATTTTCATGTGTTTCATTCAGTGTTTTGTACGAGTTAGACCAGAATGCCATTGGGGAACGATCATGATCTGTATGGAAAGCTGTAGCTAATGGGAAACGTTTATGACATATTTTACGATATTCTTCAGCAACATCACCGACTTCACCAAATTCACCATTGATTAATGAATTTAAAATATCAGTACATGTCTGCAATATAAATTGTATTCATTTAAATATAAAAATAAATAAATAAAAATATTAAATTTTACTTGAATATTGACATCTTCCAAAGTATCATGCAAGCTTGTAATTTGGTCAAGAACTTCTTGTTGTGTGCTATTGTCCAATATATATTTCATTTTCAAACCTAAAGTTAATAGTTAATTAAGTAATTATTTATACTACCTAATAATAATATAATTATATTATTTAATTCCTCACCTTGAACTAAAGCTGGCAATGAATTATGATGTTTGGCAAGGAACTGCGTATTGATTTCTGCAGCTGACCTTCCATCTAATATCTGTTCTAATTGTTTATTAAGCACCAACTGCATTTCTTCTTGAATGTTGCCCAATTTTAATAGCTTCTCCATAAATCTAATCAGGCAACTGTGAAACATTGGATGATTCGGATTAATTTGATGACTTCTTTTGATACTTTGCAGCATCAACAAAACCTTATCTAAAAATGTAAACATTTATAAGTTATATACAAATTTCAAGTATATTTCATTTATGAAATAAAATACCCTTTCTATAATAAATTTCAAATGCCATTAAATGAGTCTCTATATTATCTGACGCAAGTTCTTGCAGTGGTTTCAAGAACTTAATGGATTGTTCCAAAGGATCTTCTGTCTAAAATGATAACAATATATTAATTTGAGTCTTGAAAAAAATAACAATATTGTTTTCAACACTTACTCTTTCCAATTTGTCTGGAAGCAATTCATCCAATGGCAATGCATCAGCTTCTTCACTAGTAGTAGTTGCTGGCTGCTGTCGGTTTTTATGCATATCTCGTTTTTCTTGAGCAGCTAATGCTTGAGCTTTTTCTACTTGGGCTTTTCGTTGTGCTTTTCTTTGTTTATTTAATAATTTCTTTAATTGTCCGGGAGCCAAGTTTCCTGAAACATAAAAAAATGTATATGAAGTTACAACTCAAAAAGATCTTTTACTTAAGTTACATATTGAGATATAAATATACATTAAATTTTTGTATATTATATACAATTATAAAACAGATGATTTGTTTGTGTGCGATCCTCAGCACAAATCTATTATGTACAGAGGTCTGCAAATGTACACATAGAAACAGATGATGCAGTGGAATTTTAAGTTGGATTTTCAAAATCATAAGGTGCTTGCTATTTTTGGAATAAAAATAATTTTTTTTTTAATTATTTGTGAGTTATTTTGGTGACATGAATATCACATAATAGGAAAATTTATTATATTCATGTATTACATCTTTGTAATAGGGGACATAGATAAAAAAACAAAAGGAGACAGAGGTGACTTGAGGAGACATGTTAAATTAAATTTATATTATTGACTACAGTTTCTGAAAGGATTTTTTTAAAAAAATGCAAGGATAACACCAGGTGGGACAGCTTGTTTAAATAAATGTATTATTATTAACTAGAATTATTTTTGAGGAGTTCCTTAGCATGAAAAATGTTAAACTTAATTTCCCTGAGCCACACCTGTATACTGTACATTATGACAACAAATACGTACGTCTAAGGTCAACACTGGAATGCAATAGGTGAACCAAAACAATAGACAGTCAAAACATCTAATCAAAAGTGTTACTATTGTCAAAATAAAAAAAAATTATGTAACATAAGAGATCTATAATCTAATCTATAATAGATATATTTCACTGTTGTCAATTTCAAGTGCTCATCAAAGTGAAGAAAAATATTACTTAAAACAAATTATACATATCATCATTGTTCATATAACAAAAATTTGTTTTGAAAGTTCAAAATTAAATCAATATTTTTAAATGACTATAAAGTAAAAAACAGAGCAAATTTTTGTAGTTTGGTAATTTCTAAATTACCCATGACTCAAGGTAAGAAATTTCCGGTTTTCAGGTAATTTTTAGGTTTGGAGATAATATTATAATATAGTTATATAAATAATATTTTAAATAGAGAATACAATCGTAATTCAAAGAATAATTATTTTGGATAAGAATAAAGAAAGTTATTCAAAACAATATATTAAAATGCACACACGTGTAAATAAAAATATAAATATGTTCACTTTGAATAAAACAGTGCCTACAAAAATGCATTATACCCGTGACTATCACCTAGATTGATTGATAAGTCAATATTGAAACAGGAAAACAACTGGTCCGAGAATGTTGAAATTGAACCACAGGAGAGACCTTGTATTACATGAGCAGACAGAAATATCATTATTATTGTTGCATAACCCAATCCAAAGTTAATGGAAGTGTAGATTGGAAAATGTGATCTAAATTTTTGTCTTAATGTATGATTAGGTCTCTATAGTCAATTATAGTCAATGTATACCACTAAAATGATATTATTTTTAACACGTAACTATTTGAATCTAATACACAAAATTAGTTTGCTAGTTTTAATTTAAGTTACAACAAATTGTTTATTCGAGGTCAGGACAATAATAAGTAATTTATATTTTATATTATAATAAATATAAATAAATGAATAAATAATGCAAATCGAAATGAGAATAATACAAAAAATATCTCTTAAAAATTAGATGAAATTTCGAAGTAGGTATTTTACAAATTTGCACTACATTATTATTACATAATTTTACCCACTTTTATTTTTGAAATTGCTTATACTTTGAAATAACTAGATATTGTTATATTTTTTTTCTCATATTTATATATTTTTTTTTTCAATATGTATTATTATTGTGTCATTATATTAAATTCTGAGCAGAACGAAAAATGGCTATTATATAGTTTTATGTTCTTAAGATCAAAACAGAGAAACTAAATTTAAAGAAGTTTTTAAAATGTTTAGATATTTTTGTTGACATTATTATTTATTAAATTAAACAAAATAAGTAATAATAACAATTAAGTTTAATATTGAAAGAAACAAGTAAATAAATTTAAATGTCATTATCAAGACGAAATGATGTCAAATATTAGTATTTAAGAACATTAAAATAAAGAGTTTTAAAAACCCCCAAGGATAAAATATTGCGTAAGAATTAATGAAGATGAACATTTAACATTTATTTACGAGTTTTAACATTATTCTGAATTTTGAAACACTGAGACCGAGGGACAAATTGATTATACTGTCTTCGATCCACCTAATTTCTTTTGAAAAACTTGACGGTTCAGAGTCTTTTAAACACAAAGTGTCAGCCCACAAAAATTATTCACTCGAATAATGAATTATTTACTTTCTTATTCTTAAAGAACTCCAATTACCTAAACCCGGGGGGGGGGGTTGTAAAAAATATAAAATATTGAGTCGCCGTATATAAAATATATATTTAGGGATCAAAAAATTGAAAATTCATTTAGAGGTCGCAACAGTAAAAAAGTTAAAAACATTGCTTTAACTGATAAGTAAACTGTTGAGGTAATTTGTTGGTAGGTATGAAATATAGTGAAATAATATAATAATATATAACCCTAAGTAATTTTTTTCACCACTCGTGAATATAATAAATATGTAATTTCAATCAAATTATTATTAAACATAACACACTGAGTATACATGGGAGGTATTTAGAAAATACGAAATTTACATAAAAATAAACGTTTAATAAATTAGATAGTTACAAATGTCAAATACATAACAATATATTGCAATAGGTATCTAATAGTCTTTCATAATATTTAGTCACGAAAAAACAAAACTAGTTAATATTTCGAAAAATTAATTAATTTTACTTTTAGAAAAAGGTATTTATTTTAAGGTGTAATAATTATTTTAATAAAAATCGGGGTAGTTTTATTTAAACGATTTTTTTTTATATATATATATACGGCGGTTAGTTTGGTTTTTATAATAATAATTGCAAGGACAGTCAATGTCGTGTGAACATAATAATAATATAATATTATCGCTCAGGCAATTAAACATCTCAAAATCGTTTAACCTCGAGATTATTACACCTGTGTAAATCGGTATGTATATACTTTTTGGTTGAAAAACGTATTATGCACAACGCGTGAAATACAATAAGGCCCGACTGACCTCATACTTAGGTGGTTCAAAGCGCAGTAGGTAGGTACTAGGTAGGTAGGTAGGTAGGTAGGTATAGGCACCTAATCTAAAAAGGACATTAAAAAAAAAAAAAAAAAAAAAATCATAATAACAATAATAAAATATAATGAAACTAAAAGTGACAATAACCGGTTTCCCATGATACAGAAAAATATATACGTTTACACCGTATGCGACGGCGGCACGCGGTCGTCTTGGGAGTCCCATTGTTTTGATTAGCAAACCGCGTGTACTATTATCTCGGCGTAGAGCGGTCATTGTTCTACGACCGCCGCTGCCCGGCGACGAAGAGTTTATAACGGATCTAAAATGTGTTGTCATTCAGAAGAAAAAAAAAAAAGACGAGAGAAATATGATGGAAAAAATAAAAATAAAACGACTTGTTATGAGAACTGGGTCTTGGCCGCTAAAATTCGCATATTATAATTATTATTATTATTATTGCTTAAACGGTCCGTAAGCTGTTTCCCGAATAAATGTAACGAAAAAACGGACGCACGGTCCGAGACAAAAAGCCTATCGTTTCTACGTGCCGGCGGTGTGCAGGCGGCCGTCGCCGTAGACGACGTTGTGTGGCGTGTTAATGGATTAATCTCCTGTTTCGTGGTCGTGACGACGTGCAGACGATTTAAAAAAAAGAATAATAATAATAATAATAGATAAAAAAAAAAGAGATGAATCACGACGAAACCGATAGCGCCGCCGTCATCATCGTTTCCGAGACCCGGTGGCAACTGGGCAAGTGTGTGCGCGCGCGAGACGGACGCCTCTTGGACAATTAATATAAAAACATAATATTATATATATAAAAAAAACCGGTCTCGGTCATAATAAATAAACGAAGGCGGTCCCCCCTTGACCATAACTTAATGCATTTTTCGTGACCGGGACATTTTGTTTCCGAATCTTCGAGCTAATCTATTTATAATACTACCTGATATTATTAATTATCGGGCGTGTTATTAAAATATTGGCGACTAAATATATATCGTACGTTTTTTCTACACCCGCGCGGCTGCTATTACACAGGAACCTACGATACTAAAACTGTGAAAAGACCGAAAAACGCAACGGCGGTGGTCTTCGCGGAAAGTAATGATGATAATAAGAATAAGAATAATATATATATAAAAAAAAAAAAAAAAAAAAAAAAAAAAACAAACGTATTATTCAAATGATTAGAAAATGTTGCGCAGGAGGATCATTAACTCGGTTCACCGGTAATTACAATAGGGGATTTCTCAAGATTTCGCGGTCAATACGATGGGAATGTTTTTTAAGTGAAACGGACGCCTTCGTAATGGGTTTAAAAGAAAAACGAGACAACTGACTTTTAAACGAACGTTGTACTTAAATATGTACACACACACGCGCATTTAGTTTGGGAAAAATAGCACCTTATTTAATGACATTTATCCATATTATAATGAGACGCGAGCGTACTAATTACAAAATATAACGAGTTTTTGTTTTTATTTTCAATTCATTAGATATTATAATAAGTTGTTTTACCTGTCTATGTACTAATTTTACTGTCAGTAATTAATTTGAGAATTACAAAATAATTAATAATAATATGTAGACTTGATTCCGTGTAAATACAGAATTTAACTGAATGCACAGTATAACCAGACGCGGTAAACTTTTTATATATTGGAAAGTCTGTTCGTTGCCTATCTATATACCACTATGCATATAAATAATATCCGGTCCATGTGAAATATCCGAAAAATATTTTGTCCGGACGTAATTCACTTGACAATGTTTCATGACGTCGCATTAAAGGCAAAATAATCAGTATTGCATTGATAATTTACTATGAGAAACCGTTATATTTAGATAGATAATTATCAGCCACGGTGGGTAGCGCTGTTTGAATATGTTTAGATGACGTACTGATCACGTCTATAAGTTTAGCCATGAAATATTTTCGAATAAAATACTGTTCAAACGCAATATAGTTACTTTTTGGATTACATAAGGATTTGACAAAAATTATTTAACACTTTTAGTAAATTAATTTTCGGATTTTTTATTTTTTTTAAAATATTGTCCAGAGTATTTCAAAAATTACCTAATAATAATAATAGTAATAATAATGTAAAATCTGATCACAAATTAAGCGTACAAGTAAATTATAGTAAAATAACACGAATGCAAGCAATACCTATACTAAATTTAAACGCATGACATCATGATACATAATGCCGATAATTTAACAACAAATTAGACAAACGTGTTCCAAGATATTATGATTCATCAATTGGGTTAGGTTAGCCTAACGTTATTCCGGTAATCTGATGTATATTATTGTGTGTCATGGTTATTACTTACGTATAAGAATTTTTTTTTTACGTTATTTACACAAATACCTACCTATGTAAACTGACTACATTGTATTGGGTGTACCGTATACGACATTACAAATTCGTTTATTCTCACTAGTCCAGTAACTACATAGCAATTGAATATCATTTATCATTTATACAGAATGAAATCTCGTAAATTGTAATTTGTAGACTAATAATAATATTCTAATATATTATTATAATTCGTCAGCTTTTATTATAGTTCAAAATAAACGAAATAATCTTTAAAAGTTTCAACTTTTATAAATGGAACAGTTTAATTTGTTCAAAATAAAAACTCAATAGCTGTATATCTTTGACATTTGAAATTTGATAAGATATTTATTACCTCTAATATCCCACGTTGTTACGAAGCTGAAATAACTATACGAAGTAAAGACAAAATTAACAAAATATATCGTACATTACAATATTTAAAAATTTTTGAATGCGGTATAAACTCAAAGAAATATATTATTTTTAATCCGAGTAACTAAAATAGACCAAAGAAGACGTTATAAATTTCAGTTTTTTAAATAAGTCTCTTGATTTTATTAAATCGATATGACACATTTTTAAGCAAGCGTACCGTAAATGTTAAAATAAAACCCACACTGTTCAAATTGTACACCTTCAAAGATAATCTAAAATATCTACCATAACTGTATAGACAAAATAAATGTATAATTACATGATTTCAACAAAAAAAAAAAAAACCCTATCGACATTTTCTTGTATTTTAATTGTAACCTAAACCTTCTCCATTTCCCATAAAAAAAAATTTAAATGAATGCTTGTACAAAATAATTCGAGTTCAAACTGAATTATGAAAGATTAATAATGTTATAACATATAAATATTTCATAATTCCAAATGATATTGTACTCGAATGTACCTAGTTATAGTTAATAATTCTAGAGCCGGAATAAATTTTTCATTTTGTAAATTTATTTGATGTCCATATTGAGTCTACAGAAAAATAGTCCGTAACGATTTATTATAATATACTTTGAAAAAAGCCAATTACACATAAAAAATCGAGTTGACCATTGTAAGGTGATATGTATCCAGATAAAAAAAAAAAGGAAGGAGATTGGTCGCGTGTATGGCTCGAGGCCCATTGCACGATTCTGGTAGTTGCTCTAGTTTAAAGTTACCGCGCCCTCTTGTAAAACTTTCACCACACCTGTTTTGCGGTTTTTTTGCCCGTTATACGTCTGTTGTAATGTTAAAAAAATAAATTCTAATGTAACATGTTAATGCGCTTAATAGGATATTTACAGGTGGTTAATTTGGTCACCTTAAGGAGAAGTTTTTTTTTTTTTTTTTACAAAAAAGAAGTCTTCTTTTTTTTCAATACTACGAATATTTAAGTGATTTTTATTTATTTATGGAATCTTATATAAAAATGAACATTACGTGTTAACAATTTGAGTAAAACGTTATTGATAGTTCATGAATAATTATTCATGAAAACCTGATTCAACGAGATTTCTATTCTATTTGTTACACATTATGCATTGTATACAAGTAACATAAGAATAATATACAACCTAAAAAAAAGTAACCTGCATTTTTTTTTTGTTTTAACGAACGTGATTAATTAATATACATTATTTTAAGCGAAAACATTAAAATAAACAAAGTTATCTAGTGAAAGTCAGTAGGCTATCTTTATTGTTCTAAGTATCTAGCGTTAATATTACTTGAAAAATATAAACAGTTCGAACAATGTTACTAAACTAAAATACAAAAACGTAAACATTTAAATTACTCTTATACCTAATTTATCATCATGCTGGTAGGAGGATCACATCACGAATCAAATAAATTGTCCATTAATGAGTTATTTTTGTTCCAATACAAATTAAGTTTAATCTTTCGAGTTCATTATGCAAATACAAATTTCATTATTTAACAACTCAATTCGAAATTATTGTTGTTCGAAGGAACCGAGAAAAGTTATACAGCACGATTCTTGTTGCATAAAAAAATTTGTTTTCCAAAAGATTTAAAGATTATACCTATAATATATAAAATATTATATTTAAAAAAAATAATAATAACTTACTGTAATATTTCTCTAACGTTTTAAGATCTACATTTTGTACATTAAAATTGTATATTTATTTTTCTTCATTGATTTGTTTTAGTAAAAATAATTAGCTACCTATAGGGCTACAGATATACACAATTAGTTATTTATTATAACGTAATTGTTATTGTTATAATAATTATGTTTGATTGTAAATCAAACATACCTAGATAGATTACAAGATAAGCATACATCTATATGTAAATGCAATTTATAAATTGATCATCTAGATAATTGTGAAAACAAATATTATGAATTTTTCATGTTTGGGTTCATGATTGGGTCTACTGAATATCAAATTTCCTGTATTTTATTTTATTAATTTATATTCCTAAAAAAGTGGAAATTAAACAAATGTCATAGATATTTTCGGAGATGTTAAATTTAAAACGTTAAGAAGAAAGTTGGGACTCAAGTAAGACTACGACTAATTATTATCAGTTTTTGAAATTTATAATAGAAACACAATTAAATTCTAGTTATTAGACAGAAAATCGTCGCCTCCAAAACCCTGATATAAATACCACATTAATGATAAAAATTAAAGGTTTTTTTAAAACATTTTTTATTCTTATTTTAATATGATAATAATAATAATAATAATAATAACACGAAACAATTAACAAGGACTCTAATCTTCTAAATCAAACGCTTAACTTTCCCTCGACTAGAGGGTACTTCTCCTACCGAAAAAGCAAAAACGGTATGAATGAATTATGGTATTAGTATTCTGCGTGCACTCCATGTGTTCAGTTTATATCGTGAAGTCGTGCTACACTGCGTAAATGTAGCATGACGAATGTTTTCGAAAATCGGTTTGTTTTACATTCTACATTTAAAAGTTTTTAATTTTTGTGTGTAATGGGCACTTCAATTATCGACTATTTGGGATATACATCTATACTATTTAAAGGTATTACAATTTTAATATTCAGTAAACCACAATAATTTCTATACAAATATATTAATAGCAAAATTGTATTAGAATATAAATTAAATACTCTCAATCAATTGCGTTTGATTTGAGACTATATATTTGAGACGATATTATTAAGTGTATATATTTTAGAGGGTTAATAAATAATATAAAATTAAATTGAAAATTTGTAAAAAAGTATAAATCGATAGTTCATGCAAATTAATTTAAAACTTTAAAAGCCTAATATTATTAATGATTTTTTTTTTTTTTTTTGACTAGGAATTAGAAAGGAAAAATGTATTATTAATTATTATACTTTGTTCAGAAATGTTGTATTTTTTGTATTTCACGATAGCATCGTTTTGTCAGAAAATTAGCTATGAAAACGGCTATTTCCGCTAATGCTTATTACTTAATATTATTTACTCTAATTTTTTATTATTAATAAGAATTTATTTATTTTTATCCCTCTTCTCTAAATGTCTACACTAATAACGGGTAAGACAAAAAGTTGAGAAATGTTGAAAAAAGGCGGTAGTGCAAGCATAGTAATTGATTATATGAAATTATTTTATGGATACACCCGATCTATATCAGCTTTTAAACTAGATTTTTTACCAGAGTTATAAAAAGTATTCACGTATTAAAACAAGAAATAATTGGTACTGAAATTGCAGTTTCATTAAAAATTATAAACATAATTATTACCTAATTAATGCTTAAAATATATAAACAAAACATAAACCTACAAACTAATTAATAATTATTCAATTTTTGAATCTAAAATATCTCAAAGATTTTTTTTATACTTATTAAATTCATAATTATTGTATATCAGGGTATTTGGGAATGTATTAAATATTTATTTATAGGTTGTATGTATATAATGCAGGTATACTATTTTCGTGTCCATTAAAATTACGTAGTACCTGTATCAGAGTAATATCAGTTACTGGCATGATTTATATAAGAATTATTTTTTTTTTGATGCCCTTAAAATAATACACATAAGGTCTCTTGTCTGTTGTAATCAATTTTCATTTTAACATCAAGATAATAAAGTTATGCACACACACACACACACATAATTATCTAAGTGGGCAGTTGTTTTATAATTTAAAAATGACTAATTCAATATTTTACAATAATCTGATATGGGGGAGTTACATGTATATAATAATATGAAAAGGATATTATTGTCCAGTGCCCACCATAATACCTATACATACATTGTTTTACTTAATAGGATAGAGAGGTGTATAGAGAAGGCGTGTGTAACATATCTACAAGGACAAAAACTAATTTGTTTAACTAATATATCACAGAAATAATCAATAAAAATAATCAACTATCGAAATATTTTATCCACGAACAATTATAATAATATTATATGCATTGGTTTTTTTTATTTAACCTAATATTATATACCTATGTAATAACATTATTTTTGATATTACATAAACTATTGTCTTTTTTTTTCAATGCAGATCGACTGCACTTAAGAAAGTAGTAAATCTAGTTAATTTCGAATACGAAATGTAACGAATGTTCAATGTATAATATTATTGGCTTGATATTGTGGTTCAGCAAAATATTTGTTTAACGATCATATAAGTACAGTTTACACTTTAATAACGTAACATAATCTTATTTAAACATGTATCAATATGTTCCTAATTTCTTTTGGTGATATTTAGATCGTAAAAAAATATGATTTCAAAAACAGTAGGTAGTAGCCAGTAGGTAATTAGTCCACGGTATTAATGCAATTGAACATAAAAAACAAACAGACATACTTCGTATGATAGCTGGGTCACTGTTGTAGGTGAGAAGTTGGGAAGGTAAAGGGGAAATTTATAATCTATATATATATACACGTTAAGATTAATCATTGCTAACGAAAAATGATTCTGAGTGGAGTACGGTTATACATGTTTTGAAAGGCCATAATATTTACGATTTGAAAATAATATAAGTATTTCGTAAATTTTCCCTTTTTTCACGCTTTTTTTACCATTATGAAAAACCCCAGGGAAAATTAAAAAATGATCTCCTTAAAGTATAACCAGTCAGATTTACTTTCAGAAAAAAAGTGCTACACTTGAAAATCGGAGCAAAATTTCTGGTGGAGAAGTTGTCCACAAAAAAAAAAATCATTATCAAACTCATACATTCATCACTCCGCTCAGAATCTACAACATTAAATAAAGAAAAAGCGGTATTATTAACTTAGTAAATCCATAGGTACTACAATTATTTGTAAAATTTTCATTTGTTATTTTGCACTATTTAAGCAATAATATAGGTATAAATAAGAATGCAGTAGGTGCACATTATATTATAACTATGACCAATCCGAAATCTAAACAATATAATGCTGAATACCTATATATAACTTAATAAAAATAAATCTAACGCAGAATATTCTTTTACATAATATATGCCAAAGAAATAGAAATACGATTTAGTGCATCCTACGAATACCTACTGGTCATCTGGTCATTTAGTCATTCTAGCTTATAATATAATAATAATAAACGAGACGTTACGCAAGATGAAAAATACGAATAGAAAAATGAATACGATATAAATTAATACCGTTATGCCAAATAAATATTTCAACAAAAGACACAATCACACAAGTATTATATTTGGACATACGTGGACATAATAATATTATGAATTGGATATTATTGTTGTGACGAAAATTGTATTTTTAATATTATATAATCATATTATTCTATTTTATAAGTATACGTTATACATAATATAGATATTTTTATTGTAAATATTTACCAACTAAAATAACATCTCTTATATTGTTTATTTATGAGATCCTTAAATAAAAATATGTGATAACTACGTATAAATTTAAGGGGATAAAACCATAAATAGAAATACTATCAACTAATTAAATATTAATAGATTAAAGTATACATAAACATACAATTTGTATAAAATATGATAAGGTTATAACTTATAAGGATATTATCTACCAACCAAATTAATTGTTGATGAAAAACCCAAGTTCACCGGGAAAACTGGTGATTGATAAAGTACCTAGTTTTATCAAATATAAATTTTAAATTGGTATTTTTACATGGAATTGTGTACAATAATAAATTATTACGATACAAGAATAATGTTTAAAAATTCGTTTAACCCCAGGTGAAAAGTTGGTTACTGTATTTGTGAGCAATTACGTGGATATTGCTGTAGGTCAAATAGCGCTAAAATCGTGTCTTGTATCAGAGCAAGGTTAACCAGATATAAAACTCTTTTGTCTACGAAATTCCAATGCATTTATAAGTTCACCTGAAGTAGTTTATGGGCGTAACAATAAATAAAACAAAATTCTATATTTTTAAATAAAGAAACAATTGTAAAAAGTTTCAAAACCACAGTTCATTATAAGTTCATAACTTTATACTAAGACACATCTTACAAAGACAACAGAGAAAAAAAAATAGACAAGTTAGAAAAAAAAGAAATTGACTTCTCGCCTGTTTTTAAATTTTTATTTTGAATGGGCAAAGGCCCAATTTTACAAAATGTGTAAAGGATATGTTGAGAATATATTATAGAGTAATTTAATTTATTTATAAAAAGCATTTATAAACAAAGTTCGGTGAAAAGTATGAAAAAATGTATTGAAATTCCGAGACTTGTATAGTTTTTGTAAAATTTGTTTTAAATTAAAGTTGCATAATAATAATAATAATAATAATAAAACTACTACATGATATTCGACTTTCTTTTATCACTAAGAGTATTTTTCCTGAGTCAAAATATTTTTATTCCTATAAATCAGAAAATAGTACGCTATCAGAATTTGTATCATAAGAAAAATCTTGAACTAAATGTTCGTTTATTTTTAAGAAGCCAAAAAAAATTTAATTCACATAAAATCAAATAAAAATTTTAATCGGCTATATAGCTTTTTCAGCTAATAGCTCAAAATTCCCAAAAATAATATAAAAATTGTACAGTTAATTATACTTATATTTCATTGAAACAAATAGAAAAATAAATATATAATAATCAAACTAAAGAAATGTTCTAAATAAAATCGTAGATGCTCAGTTAAAAAGCACAAAATCATTTTTTTAATTTATAGCATAAGAGAAATATTGTTATTTGTAATCTATAAATAATTATTTACTTCATTAATAAATCAAAAATTGGACATATTGAGTATTTATAAATACATAAATACATTTAATATAATATATAAAACAAATAGCACAATCATAACTCAAAGTTAATTTGAAAAATTGGTGTCTGAATATAATTATTTCAAATATGTATACAAGATTTTTTTTATGAATGAACCAAAAAAATAAACTTTTTTTGAAATTGTAGAAAAATGTTTAATTAAAACTAAAAATTTGCATCTTAAAGCCTTTCTTAATATACTTGTTTTTATACACGCCTCAATACTGAATAAAATATATTTTTTTATGTGTACAACAAAGTACAAATCAATATCACATTGTAAAAATATAATATTTTGTTTTTTTTATAAATATGATAACAAAATACAAATTATTATAAATATAAAAGTAAATATCATTTTTAGAAAACGTGTCATTTCATAGTTTCATAAAAAATGCATTGTAATAATGATGTGTTTTTTTTTTAATTACATAACTGTGAAGTAAAACAATTAATTCAAGATTCATAAGCGTGTGATTCCTGTTGTTTTATACAAATAATCAAATAATGAATAAATTATATAAATAACCTAATTTAAATCTATCACATTTTCTTTACAGATGTATTTGTTGCCATATGTGATATTAAAAATTATATTACTAACAAGCACTGTTGCGGAACCTGTGTTAGATATTTTATTGCCAGCAGAGAATGGTCAAACACTAATAAATGTGGACCAATCAAGTTCTACCAACGACGATGAAAAAACATTGGCACAGCAAATTTATGAAGGCAAGTATGGTCTTATACATACAGAACTATTCAATGATATTCCACCAAGACCTGGCATTATTAGTTATAATATTAATCCCGAAGTTCCAAAGGATAACATAAATAATTTAGGGGGTTTAGATCCTGATGAAATATGGCTGGCAGAGAATCATTTACTTGTATTAAGAGGTGGAAATTTTAGCAATAAAAAAGTGAAATGGTCATTCATAGATAATTATATTGCTCCACTAAGACAAGTAAAAATACCAGAAAACCCTAAAATACCTCCACCATTTCCAATACAGTTGGACGAAAATGGACCAATTGATTTCATATCAGTTAATGGAACTATTTGGAATCCAATGCTTCCTCCTTCATTTCCATCAATCCAAGGTCCATCACCTCCAAACACAACATTTGATGAAGATGACCAGTCATTATATTATCCTCCAAAATATGATTTTGTGTATGCTCAAGAAAATTCTACAAGAGTTCCACCAGGTCCGCTAGTTCCTGGAATAGTGCTACCACCACCACCAAATTTTTTTGGTCCTTTAGAAAAGTCAGAAAAATCTAAAAAAATTAATTTAAATACTAATAAAACAATCCCAAGATTTAATCAAAAACCATATTTAAAGATTCCCAAAGGAAATCATAATACTAAAGAAAACGGATGGGTTCCACTTCCAATACCATCAATTAAACCAAACTATATTGAAGGTTTAAAGATAAAAAATAATATTCTTATCACTACAACAGAAAATAACAATTTTAATGAACAACATAATTTCCCAAGACATCAATTTATTTTAGAAAATCCTGTAGAGCATACTACAAGTCATCCAGATACTTACTACTATTATGAAGATAAAAATAAATATGATGTAGAAAACCCTGCCCAGCACAATAAATATTCTGATGTTAAAAATCAACAATATGATTTCCAGAATAATTATGAAAAGTCTACAACCGTAAAACCGTATTATGAGTATAGTTATATAGCTCCAGAATATGACACTAAATCCCAAATTCAAAACCCAATACATAAACATAAATCAATGTTAGACTATCAAAAAGAAAGACCAGCATATCAAGAGTGGTCAGAAAAACCAAAACAAACTAATTATAATGACCAAAACAATCAAATGGATAAGCAAAAATATCAATCCTGGTCACAGCAAAATAACCAATATCCAGAAAAAAATTATGGACATCAAACAGAAAAACCTAACTTTGCAACAGATAATCCATATCATGCATTTTTTACACAAGATGATGCCAGTTTGGTGGATGAAAACACAAAAAAATATTTTGCTCTCTTTGGCCAAAAAGTTAGAACTGAAAAACCAGCTCAAATAACAACACAATCAAAACATCAGAGTAGTAAAAATGATAACAAAATATCTTTAATTGACGATGTATTAGTTAACTTTAAACAACCATTACCAACAATTAATCCAGAGTCAGAAATTACAACGGCCAAACCACATAACAATTACCCTCAAATTTCTTTATATGATGATATTAATGTTAACTTTAAACAACCACTTCCTCAAAATAATCCAGATGCTGAAATAATATCTCAATATCATAATGGTTATAAACAAAATTATTCATATTCTCAAGATAATACTGCGACAACATACAATCGACGATTACCTATAAAAAATTTGAATATTGATCAAAAAATTAAAAATTCTTATACACTAACTTCACTTCAAGAAAATAATCCAGTAAATTATAACCAGCCTATAAAATCAAATAATCCAATCACAAAAATACCATACTTAAGTATACCACAATCATCATTCTTAGATAATACTCAAGGGAACTATCAACAACCATTACTACCATCATATGAAATACCATCATTATTTGATGACACAAATGGTAATTACAAACAACCATCAGAAACTGAAAATTCAAATTCGGAACAAATTACTCAAAAGCCACATTTACATGTAACGCACCCACCATCATCAGATGAACATATAGACTACAATCTGGATTCTTCATTTGTAACAAAGAAACCAAATTTAGAACATGTTACTCAAAATGCATACATGCAAATATCTCAAACACCATTTTATAGTGATTCTATAATAAATAATAAACAGCAATATTCATCTATAAATCAAAATGTAGAATTAATTACCCAAAGACCATATATAAATGTTCCAGAAACATCAGTACGTGATAAAATACCAATGAATTATAAACCTCAGAGGTATTCAAATAACAGAATATTCACTACTCAAAGACCTAACATTAAAGTACCACATACTTCATACCTCGAAGATACACAGGTAAATTATCAACAACAAACAATACTACAACAAAATCCAAATATTGAAACCGTAGTAAAAAGACCACGTATTAAATTTCCTCAATCACCACAATTGTTTGATAACACCCAATTTAATTTCAAAAGACTACAACCAGTGAGAAATTATGATACAGAGTACATGACTCAAAGACCTCAATCTACATATCAACAGACAGAGGTATCTTTAATTGATGATATTCAAGTAAATTATAAACAACCACTGCCACCAAAAAATAATGATGCAGAATATATAGTACCAACACAAAAACCATTAAATCGTTTAGTGTCATATAATTTACCAGGGAACAGTGGTAGTCATTTTTTCTTTTTAACAACTCATACTGGACATCCAATACAATATAATTTAGGTAATCATAATTATCAATACTATAAAAGAAATGTCAAATAGAAAATATAATGTTAGATACTAAATATGAGTATGTTAATTTTTGTTTGAACATTAAGATTTTTTAAAATACAAATATATTACAGTTGAACCATTTATACTATGGTTAAACTTAATACAATCAAACATTTGATATTATTAAAAAAAGACTGTGTTATGTAATACAAATACCTTACAATAAAATAAATTTTATGTATGGTACAATATTATTAGTGTTTAATTAATTTGACATATTATAAAACTAATTTCATTTCTTATTTTTGATTAATGCTATTATTCTATAAAAAATAAATCTATTAGTAATCAAGTGAAAGTAAATTATTGTATCACTTCTTAGTTAATAGGAATTAAAATAAGTTTAAAGCATACTTCAGTGTAGTAATTTAATATTGTGTCATAATTATTTTAAAGTATAAGAAACTACTTTGTTATTTATTTTTGTTTAACTCAAATTGTAAATTTGAATTAAAAATATTTTACTCCAAATTTGTTTGATATTTGCTTAAATTATACATATATATTTCTATCAATGTATCTGTGTACATGTACAATAAACAGCTTTATTAAAAAACATAACATGAAATAAATGTGTAAATAGTATACAACTTTAGTTAAGATATATTGTAAATAATATAACATCTATACAAATATCATGAAAATAATAACAATAATAATTGTGTATTAAATATTTAATTTTATTTATTTTGCAATAAATACTTATATTTTCATAAGTGTGTCTTAAAGTAGCTAATTAAAATTCCTAAACTAGTAAACAATGTGTACTTATACATTTTTTGATAAGCGGAAGAAAAAAGGTTTCAGTTTTGACACTGTTAAATAGTATGTGAAAATGTTCAAAATATGTAGGTAGTTCTAAAATTTAAAAAGGTTGGAAATTGAGAAAGGTTGATTTCCCTGGCACTTGCAAATATTATTACTAATGTTAAGGAGTTTTAGCATTTGAATATTTTATTTAATTTATTTTATTTAATGTAGTATCAGTAAAATATAAACTATTCATAATATAAAGAATCTAAATTCAAGATTTTAATTTGCATATAATTGCATATTTTATATTTTTTACTTATTAAAGCATATTTTAGCATTATTTAACTAATGATAAAGTATTAATTAATTTAATACATGAAAAAAATATAATAATATAATTTAAGTAATTAATAAAACATCATTAACTCATGTTAATGTTAGTTAATAATATACTCATATCCTCTATTTCTCAATATATGTGTATAAGGCTCATTTTGCATGTACTGTAAACCATTCCACATATTATAAATAAGTTTTTCAATTTACTTTGTTCAAATTCATATACAACAATGTGCAATAGCATACATATTCTAACACCACATAAAATAAAATAAATAATAATAATTTAGTTATACACCAACACACACAAATTAAATTATTTAAAAACAAATAAAAGACTAAACTAAAAGAACCTAAGCATAATTATTAGCAATATACTATTAAATTAAATAAGTCAATTTTACAATATATACAAAAATGAAATCAAAATTAACAAATTAATGGATTATATTTAAAATCTTCTATCAATGTCAAATTTACATTTATATTTTTATACTAAAACAACATTTTGACAGAATGAGTAACAGAATATGAAAAACTACTTGAAAAAAAAAAAAATGTTCCCCCTAATATTAAACTATACTATTATAATTGGAATTTTTATACTACTCTGGGTACAGAATATCTAACAAAATATTTTAGAAATTTATTTAAATATGCACTGAAAAAAACAAGTATTCATTCCATAAAACTTATTCAACTAATGTATGTAATAAATAATGTATATTATAATATAATAAATAGTGACTAAGTAGACATATTTTCAATTATTACCGCCTTATCAATGGTTATTGTACCATTAATAATGGCAAACATTTTACATTTAATATTACTACGTCAGAATATAATATACTATAATAAAATGAAAAATAGTTTTAAACTAAATACAATTTAATAGAATTTTATAGTATTTGAAATCATTTTTATAAAAAAAAGTAGTGGTAATGGTCAATTAAATTTAAAAAAATAAAGATAGATATAAATAAAACCTATAAAGTTAATATGGTAAAATTTTGACCTAGTTATATTACATAATATATATATATATATAATATAATAATATAATAATATGTATATATATATATATATATATATACATATTATTATTATTCGTTACACAATTTATAACCTAATAAACCTATGAATATACATATATAACTTGTTAGATTGTATTCAACATATTTTAATCGAGGTTTAAAAGTACGTAAATATTTACTATTCAATTTATTATTGATTGGCCAACTTTGGAGAAAAATGGCCAATGGATTTCTATGGGTTATTATCCTAGGGTTTTATAAAAAGTGAAGATAAAAAGGTATTAACAAATATCATGAGGAGAGAGAAAGACTGAAAAAGAGGTAATTGGAAGTGAGAACAATGTAAGTCAATTGGAAGCTTTAAACGAGGGTGGCTGACTCTAAAGAGTTGAGATGAAAGTGAAAGAAAAAAACCAAATAAAATTTTAGTATGTATATCCTAAAAATCTCTATACTTGAACATACAAATACAATTTATTTCTTAAGATTTTATAAATTTGACATAGTGTGAAATGTATTTATGAAAAATTTAAGTTGTTGGTGTTGAGAAATAGTATACATACATTATAAATTAAAAAGGCTGATACTGCTGATTGACATGTCACATTTTAAGAAGAAAGTTGGAAAGATAAATTGAATAATTTAGTTCATATTTGTACACAACAATAAACTAGTACTACTAATAACGATTCTGAGTAATGTTCTGCTAAATGTATATTTAAACGTTGTAATAATAATAAATTTTGTCAAAATTTGAACTTAAATGCTTAAAAAAAAAACATTACACTTAGTTTTTTTTTTTTTTTTTACCATTAAATACAACTTATAATACATTTTCAAGCACTTCGGTTTGAACCTAATAGATACATTTTATATACGGTATATTATTCTATATATTTATAGACTGTATATGGTATTTCTCTAAGTATTTTAATATCCTTAATTAAAGATCTCGGATTTAACTTCTGACCAAATCTTTGTTTTAGTCCTCATATTGACAAAATTGTGAATAGAGCACTTACTGCGGTCACTGATAGCAATGACAAACAAATGAAGTATGTAGTGCACGTGTCATTGTTGTCAATAACAAAAATTCAGAAATGATTCCAAATTAACGCATCACCTGACATGTTAAATTAGTGTGCAGTATCGGGTGATTTTTCCTACAAAATTCACGAATGACATGTTACTGACAAATCATTCGTCACATCACTTGCCAGATCACATACCATGTACTTTGGAGGGCAACGCACTTTAAGACACTTGGTTTAATTATACATAGCATAAATTATTTAAGACTTGAACATGCAGTTTTAAACTTTTTTCGCTTTAAAAAAAAAAAATTCCTATGAACCTCATAATTACACCAATATAAGAAAAGTCTTAAATATTCTCACACTTGCATCGCATGATAAAGCAGATTATTTAGACTTACACATATAATATTTATAATTAATTTACCTGTATCCAATTCGTTACTAGATGATGCATCAGTCGGAGGTTTATCGTGTAAATGTAAGTATACTTGAATTGCACATCTTGCCACTCTGAAGTAAAATGGATGAGAACGTAACACATCTTCAAGTCTTAATAAATTCACATATGACCTTAGAGTCATTTTACGCATGCAGTATGTATGAAAATCAAATTGATCATCAATGATTTCAGTAAAATGCTGAAAAAGTACATAAAAAAAAGTTATTATTGTTAAAATACTATTTTTTAAGTGATATTATAGTAAATAGTACATTTCAAAATAAAGTACCTTTTTCAATAACACCTAGTAACATATATTAAAATGCATTCATTTTCATATAAATAAATACTTATAATGAGATATTAGTTGAGAACAGCACAATACAAATAGAAATAGACAAAATTGAAAAAAAAAAAATCAAGTAAAAATTTTAATTAAAGTAAAATTTTTATTTTCATCCCTAAATCAATGATAAATAAAAATAATAACTTTATTGTTCACTTTCCAAAATAACTACTGTGTAATAGATATTAATTTACAAATTTGAATACATTGTCATTATACATACATATCTGATAAATAGTGCCGAAGTAATATCTATTTTAATTTCTAAAGAAGTGGTATAAATTCCCCTTTTACATGTCTAACATGTACTTTATTTCAAAAAAAAAAATTACATCATCAATTTAATATTTATTTAGTAAGCGAATTGATGTATTTACACAAAAATAATAATTTTAGATTCCAAGCGAAAAGCATATTTTCTGAGAAAATTTTCTTGGGCGTTGCTTGAAGGTGGTTATTTTTATTTTCCAAAATACTTATGAAAAATCGGGGAAAAAATTTAGGAAAAATTAAAAAAAATGCTTTTATTTACTATTTTCAATTTTTTGTAATTTAATTATGGTTGTAGATTTGAAATTTGGACAGAAACCTTAAATTTGGCTTCTATAAACGCAGTAAAATTTCCAAAACATTTGAGCTATTCATAGACATTTTAATTTCGAGAATTTTTCACATAATATTTATTCAATAGGTACTCAGTGGATAAAATAACTAGAGCTAACAGAAATGCTTTAAAATTTAATAGGAAGTTCATTATAAGTTGTACTTAGTAGACAATAAAAAAAAATTGAATTTAATGTAATATTTTCTTTGTATTATAAGAATTGTATAATTTTGTTGAAAATCCTGAATATTACAGTCTTCTAAAACACGTATAAAAAGAACTGCAATCAGAATCTATTTTCATTAGCATTGATTAATCGTTGTATACAAACAAATATTAAATTCCCTTCTATATGCTATGTTCCCAACTTCTTGTCTACTCATTGTGTGAAGTATGCCTTTATCTTTTTATTTAATATTTTAAAAAATGTATATACCAAATATACGTTTATAAATGTACTTATTGTGTTTAAAAGTTATAAATGGTTACCTTACCCTATCAACTTCGTGGCATTTTTTCAAACTTTCACCCCATTTTCCAAGTCGTTGATAAGCCAGTGCACATTCAGTTTGGAACCACATGCATTGCATTTCATTCAAATTTTCCATAGGCGAAACACCTTCCTGTACATTTAACCAATATAAATAAATATTTTATCATGCACACATATAAATTAATTATTTATCTGAAATTTAAAAATAATCTAGATAAAAAAAATATAGAAAGACATTTTCTTCTATAAACTTAATTCTTCTTAATCTTAACTTTAAAATTTTAGATTAATGCATCTAATCTAAATTTAAAAAAAACTATTTATATAGAAAATTAATCAGGAATTTGAAAAATATAAAAAATTGTGTGAATATCAAACTCCAAATTAGAGTTTCCCAAATTGTGAGTGACATTTAAAAAATTTGGGAGTCATAGGATATGTATAATTTGACACATTGAAAAAAAATTGCAATATATGATACTTAAATTTGAAAATTTGGATAATCAAATTTAAACTTAAAAATTAATAATATTATTACTACTAACCCTAGTGAATTTTGAGCAAGTTTCTTCTGCTTCTTTTATAAGATTTGCACGCAACATGTATTTGGCACACTTTGAATTGATATATCTATCAGCAGTGTCCAAACCTTGTGCTTCATCTAACCATTTGTATGCTTCATAGACATCACCAGCATGCTAATTAAAACAAATTTGTTGATTATTTCATTTAATTATATACTCAATAAAATAAATAAATAAGTCAAATACTTTAAATATTCTTCCTTTAGTGACAAAAAGCTCAATCAAAGTTGGCGTATGAGCTATTGCCATATCAATGTAGTTCAATGCCTTTTGCATATCATCAAGATAATCATAGTGTTGAGCTAAATAGTGATATACCCACAAAAGTGCAGAAGCCGGTTCTTTACATGATATATCTAATACAAACATATCACAGTTTTAAAAAAAAAATATCATACTTTAATGTATCATTACTAATTTTGTTGATGTTTTATATTCATCTAATAAACATAAAATTGCTTTAGTTAAGAAATAAAATAAAATACCTTCACCATCAAATGAGCTGAATTTTGTTAGATTATTAACATAAGAATCTAATAGTTCTGTAATTATTTGTACTTTCTGTTTATTCTTATACAAAGAACGCAAATCTACAAATAATGGTGGAATACCCTTATGGAAACCTGCTCTTAAATATAGATCAACTTCACTTCGGAATGTATTTCCTAAAAATTACAACACAAAAGTAAAACAAATTTAATCAACAAACAAAAATAATTTATGTACCTGACGCAAATGTTAAACATAAACGTTTAGGAGCTAATGCTTTAGGAAACTTTTTCCGATAACCACATAGCATACTGTAAACACATTCATCATTTTTCAATTGTTTTGCTTCTTTTATTTTTAAATAATATGGTGTGTTTTCTTGATTCCTTCGTAGTAACTTTTCATAACACAATGTAGCTAAATTATATTCTCCCATTTGTAAATATAATGTACCTAAATAAAATATAAAACTTTATAAAAGAAACTACAATAATTATCCAAAGTCAAATTGGTGTAGAATATTACTGCAATAAATAAAACTTAATAAAAAAATAGTTTAAGCTAACTTACCATAAATCTCCAAGATTGTTAATTTATCAAAAATATTATCTTTATACGTATCTAAATGTTTAATTGCATCCAATGTTCCACCAGATTCTTGAATAACCATATTTTGATACAAAAGAAGCTCACTATATTCAAAATCAAATGGTGCCTAAAAATATAAATTAAGAATATATTTCTACTTCTTTATGCTTAAACATTTTTATGGACATTATAATGTAATCCATTTTAATAAAATTGTGTAGAAATACTGCTGTACTTATATTTATTATATTTTTTTTTGTTGAGTAAAATTTTAAAATGCATTATTGTTAAAATATAAATACCATAGGTGAAATTTTTGAAATTCTTGTTTCTAATTACACTCAAAAATTATATTATAGAAAAATACTTACAGACACCATTTGTGTTTTCCTAAAAGTCTCCAAAATCTTCAAAGCCATATCATGATCATTCAATAAATGATATGCCATTGCATAGCCAATCCATGAAGCTCTTTGTGTTGGTCGTAACATGAATAATTGATATCTTGTATCCTTAAAGAATAATAATTATAGTTGAAAATAAAATTATTCCGCATATTAAAATCATAATTATTCTATTCAATTGTATGATGTGATGTTATTTAATTTAGAGTTTATATAAATATATGAATATGGATCATGTGTTGACACGAGGACAAATTTGTTTCTAAATCTCCTTTATGTTTATTATACAAATATTTGATGCCTAATGATAGTACTAATCACCACATTACTATTCCTTTATGTTCAAAAAATTAAATAAAATAGCAGTATTATATTATGAAGGTTTGTCCCATGATTAATAAAAAATAATATTATATTCAGGGAGTGTTTTTACAATTATAAATTAAATGTGTTATCCAGTTTAATATTTAAGTATATTTGACTCAGTAATACATAAATACTTGTTTATGGAAATATAGTATTTAAATTAAAAAAATAAATCTGAAATAAGATTAAAAAAAACTAATACTACATTCAGTTTATGCTAAAAGTGACAAAAAATAAAATAATATTTACTCGATATCCTTCTAAATCTCGCATTTGAATTTGCAACAATGATAAATCTCGTAAAATTTGAATATTATCTTTTTCCCATTTTAATGCATTTCTATAACATTTAATTGCTTCATCATATCTATTTTAAAAATATAAATATACAATTTTTAAAATACATTGTAAACCAATTAAGAGAGAACATTATGAACATTATTCTAAATAAGAATTATTTATCTTACTTTTTATCAGATCTTTGCAACAAACCATAAACGTGCCAGCAAACATGTGAAGTAAGATCATTACGAAGTCCCCGGCGAACATGTTCATATGCTTCTTCTTTTCGGCCAAGAAAATTTAATGTAAGTCCTTTCATGGCCAAAGTTTCTAATTAAACCAAATTTTTATTTACTTTTTAAATTGACTTTTAAGCTTATAAATGTAAAATGTAAAAAGTGTTTAACCTCCATGTTCTGAAAATTTTGGGTTTGAAAGAATCTGTTTTGCAAATTTCAGTCCATTTTTATACTGTTTTTGTTCATAACATCTCTAAAAAAAAAGGTTAAAAACAAAATTATATATGTACACATTACCTAGGTATGTGTAGACCATTGCAAATTATTATTACTTGAATTAGTAAAATTTAATAATAAAATATTTATATAAAGATCATATACTCAAAACCTTAATAGCCATATCTAATTAGTAAATTAAATAATTGTTTATAAATTAAACTTCATTAAATATTTTCTACATACTTATCTAATCCTTATACTAAGGATCTACCTACATACTTATCAAAAAATAATAATATAACAAAAACTTACTAAAATTCGTTTGAATAAAGAATTTTCTTTTGGTGGTAAAGGTTGGCCCGATGGCATTTTTTCTTTATTTTTTTACTCTGTAACTAATAAAGAAGAATTTTCAATATTACTGACAATACAAAAACTGAAAATTTTTTTTAAAAGAATGAGGACCCTCGTGAGAATTTTCATAACACTCTTTGAGAAAAATCACAAATACAGTTGAATATGAAGTTAGCAACACAATATTAAATGATAAATATATTTTTAGAATATCTTTGGTAATAGTAAGAGTGTTCCATGTTATTTATAACGTAATTTGAGAAAAATTGAATAAAATCTAATTTAAAAACTTTTGTTTATTAATCAAATATTCAAATATTAATAAAATAAATTTATAATAATGCATTATGGTAAACCATTTATTAAAAATAAAAAAAATATTCAGCATTGTACATATTTTTAAATATTTGGACAATTATTTTCGGTTATAACTTCATATACAAACAACCGCTAAATTTCAACAACGCCGGATAACTATGATAAGTACAAGATCTGATTTTAAAATCAGAAATTTCTAATCATTTTAAAATAAATACTTAAATTCAATATTTTTAAAAATACCGTATCGAACGTATCTTCGTTTTTTTAGATAGTCAGAAAATATTACGGTACGCTTACCGAAATCTAATTGTAGTACGATGTATCTTTTTTTTCATGTATCGATAAATTTTTAGAACACTATTTGATATCGATGCGATCGATTTTGTTCTTTGAAAATCTTGATTGTAACCTTATACCCACTTACATGTACGACTTAATATCACGATTCAAGATAATACATTATCATAAATCGTACTCAAGGAAAAATATTATTTTCAATTTTGCTTTTAAACGTTTGAAAAATAAAAATTATAACTCAATCACTTATAACTATTGTAAGTACTTAATAATATTAAAGTTATAATTTCCATAAAGTCATATTTAAATTATTTTAAATTTTAAATTTACAATTTTAAAAATTGTGTCATTGACAAAGTTAGACACTAAATAGTAAAGTATAAATTTAACTAGGTACTTTGTTTTAATGTATGAAATATTTATAATTTAATGACGTTAAAAACAAATAATTACTTAATCATATAAGAAATAAAAGTAAATATAACGTACATTTTTTCCCCAATGCTTTTTCAATTTTTTATAATTCATTTTTGAGTGATAATATAATTATATTTCTTATCATATTAAATTTCATATAATACACGGTTTAAACCATTTACCGTTTGAATATATGGTTTATGAACATAGATAATTTAAGACATAAACAAAGTGAGTGATAAAGCCTTAGATTATATATGATCTAAGAATAAAGCTATCTTGAGCCACCGCCTACTAGCATCAATGCTTCATACAATTACGATTACAGAATAATTATCCGAACAGGAAAAAACTGTTTATATCACTAATAAATTTACGGTTTTTATCAGTATCTGCCTACTTGAAATATACGTCACAGATACCATACCTTATAGATAATCGATTTTTAGCAGTAAGTTGAGACTGCTAACCATGATTTAAGATCCCATCTTAAATCGTGCTGCTAACTTTATTGCAGCCATCCCTACCATTAATTAGGCATAGTTAATCGATACTGCTACTAACTGACCGGCAACTACTATTAATTTGAGAAAATGTTGAAATATAACGAATTGTATTATTATGTCCACATTATATCATTAAAACATAGGTATATATTTTAAAATAACCATCTCTAATAATAATAAGCCATAAGGTAACTGTGTCGTTTATTCTAGGTAGACAAGTTATGATAAGAATCGTATTTTCACTGTCTTGAATGTCTGGTCATAATTAAATTAAACTATTGTTCGTCTAAACGTATAGTTTGTATAACGGTATAACTGTGTGAATGATTTTGTTAAGAAGACACACTCACATCTACCGTCAATCCAACTACCGGGTAACATACAAAAACAAAAACTTACGCAGAATAATTATAACTAGAAAATTAACTATTATGAAACTTACAGAAAACTCAATAGAATTTTTGTATTATCTAAAATATACATCTCGATACAAAAGATATACAGACCTTTCTTTTTTTTGGTTTTTAAATAACTGTTACTTTTTTAATAGTTTACAATTTAAAAAAAAAACTTATGAGTTATGATATTCCCTCCAAAGTATTTATAAATAATATCTGTTTTTGTATGTTACCCGGTAGTTGAACTGAGACAATAGATGCTGCCGGTATAACGTTCTCCTAAGTATGTTCCACAAACAAATATGTACAATTTATTATTATGTATTTTTCACATTGATATTCTTGTTAAATATAAATTATTCCATACTTCCATTGCATTAATGTTAATACTTCACACTTTTAATCAAATTATCAATTTAATTAAATTTAAATATTATCACCAATAATTTAGTTGTATCTCTACGCCCCATTTTGTCGGTATTATAATATATGCCTGACTATGGTCAGTAAACCATGATTGAAATATACAAGTTGAGCATTTTTGATATCAAAAGAAAAAATAATGGCGTAAAGGTGCAGTCTCTTATCAATTTCTTAATTAATATTTTTCAATTTAATTTTAAAACTAAGTACCTATGTATAAATAATAATTGATTATACTATTATATGTTATATATTTTAGTATAATTTTCAAAACATTTGAGCTATTTATAGATAATTATAATTTTTCTAGTACTATACGTAATATTTATAGGAATAAAATTGTTGAACCGACCACCTTTTAAAACGTATAATCGGACTCCGCTCAGAATAGTATTTCGTTAGCAACAACTAATCATTAAATTCCCCCAGAAATTCTCTTCTATATCCTACCTTCCCAACGTCTCACCTAAAACAGTGGCGAATGGCCAACCTATCGTGTGAATAGTTTATCGGTCCTTATTTCTGGTCGGGTGTTCCTTATCTTACCGACCATAATCTGGCGTATAGAGACATAGTGTAAAAAAACTAACTTGTAAATTTCTGACTTTTATTCCAAATTTATTAGTTTTTATATTAAATTAACTTTATAAGTACCGATATGATAAAATTTTGAGTTATTTATAGATTTTATTTTTGCGAGTTTTTTACGTAGGTAATTTGTATACGGTGGTACTCTTGGGATAAAATTGTTACAAAATACTTAAAAATGTATTAGGAGGTTCATAAAAGTTGTACTTAGTGGCCAACAAGAAAAAGTTTAATGAAGTATTTTTTTTATAACAATTTTAATACCTGTCAAATTTTGATAAAAAATAATTAATATTACGGCTTTTTTTAAACATATATAAACAAAACTACACCCAGAATAATTTTTTGTTAGCAATGATTAATCCTTGTGTATACAAATATATTAAATTCCTTTCTATAACCTACCTTCCCAGCTTATTGCCTACCCATTGTGCGAGGTATGTCAATTTTTTTTTTTTTATTTTAATTTTAAAATATGCCTATGTAAATTAACATGTTTATAGTAAGAAAATGTGATCTCTATAGAGAAGAACCTTTTTCACACGGGGCGAAAAGGAATTTTGCAAGAAACCTTTCACTTGGTCTATTAAAGGTCAATTTTTTGTCTAGGTAACACCGAGATTTTTGAGTTGCTGGACCAGGCAATGGTTTTCCAGTGTGATCCGAATTGTACGGCCAATTTTTAAACGTGTTCAACCCAAATATTTGATTTTGGAGCTATGCTATGGCGTATTTGAGATCTTTGTTTCTAGAGTAAAACATTATATCATCTGCAAACAATACCATTAAAAAAAAAAAATAAATAGATTGATGCATAGTTAGCATGTAATTAATATATATAATGTAGAGAAGTAGAGATAAATATGAATTTTAAGGAACTCCATCTTGAATGGAATGTATGAGGCATTTATTTAGACCTTATCTCATCCTCTTGGTCGAAGTAGTTGATTGGCTATTCCTCCTATACTAACTGGCTTTTGGACCTGATCATTTGACTGATTTACTTAAATAAAGGTCTCTAGGTTTTATTTTACAGGTTTGACACCTGTGTTCGTCGTTTAACACAATTTAACAACTATAGAACTTATTCCAAGTAAAACTAATAAATATTTGAATAATATGAATACATTTGACTTAAGAAACCCATAATCTCCTAGGGTAGTTATGGCAATACCAGATGAACCAAAGTACGAGTGGTGTATGATTGATATTAAGAGTTAAGTAAATTATAATTGCAATGTCAACTAATGGCTGTTTCTGTTTGTGGCACTCAGCTTTTCTACTCTATAGTGGAATATATTCTATGCTACAAAGAGCAGGATAAGAGAATCAAGGAGGCTGATGTGAGGGCAAACTGTCATCCGGCCATCTGACATCAAGGTTCACATCAACAAAAATCCAGCCATCAGCTTAGAGTCATGTATATAGGTAAATATAGGTAAAGCTTAAGCTAACATATTGTAAAGGCATCCTCTACATGATGATGATGTGGGTTGCACTGTTCTTCCTATACTTTTAGTTATAATATACATAGCTAATATTTTTGAATTAAAAATAATACCTATCACTTAAATTAGCAAAGCAATACAAGAAATGTACAAGACACTTCTGATCCAATGATGATTACATATTATATAAGGATAATAATATATATATATATATATATAGATAGAATATTGTAATTAAACTAATGGTATTAATTAAAACTAAATTATTTTAGTGTCCTTGAAAAATTGAATTAATGTTGATCAAGATAAATAATGCTATTATGTATTTTACCAACTTATAATACAATTATTTAATTTACATTTTATAAAAAGTAATATGAAAACAAATTGATGAGTGTTATCATAAATTAACATCAAATTTAGTTACTTCAATTATAATTTTATTTATTGATAATGAATACTGTTTTAATTTTGTAATAATGTCATACTACTTAATTGAAGAAAAATAAATGTACACATAGTAAAATATGATCTAGTTTTGATTTAAGATCAAATGGTATTTGGCTTTTCTGCTCTCAAGCAATCAACATTAATATTGTACTAGATTTGACAAGTGAGTTGGCGGTATAGATATACTATTTGTTTTTCAAAATGTAAGATGTTCAAATTATAAAGATGAGATAATAAAATATCAGTTTGATTAAAATATTTATAATTTTAATTAAATTTTTTAAAATACAATAAAAACACATATAAGCTATATTTTTGAATAATATTAAGTTACGCATAAATTATTTTCTAAAGAATATTACTTTATTAAGTTTTAAATATTTAGTACTGAAAAACAATAATAATTAATACAATTAAATTATACAGATCTTTACTATGATAGAAATAAATAATACATTTAAGTTAATAAATTAATGACTAGATACTAAAAATGTTAATAATTAATAAGTACACACACGAACTACACTTAAAACCAAAGGAACCAATAAGTAAAGTAGTATTATGGAATGCTTAAAAATGTAACACACGGGTATTAAAATTTTAAAACTATCATAATTCATTTATCTTAACTAGTAAATTATTGTTTTTCATGACGTTCATTTACATCAATAATGGACAAATTTATACTAGCCACATAACAATGAATTAATGATATTATTGTTTTAACAAACATTATAGGACTTGAAAACCAGCACAATAACTTAAATAGACCATGGCCAGCAACTAAAATAAAAATAATGTAATAAATATAATGTTAAAAGTTATTAATAATATGTTAAGTTCAATTTTTACTTACTCATTGGTCCTGTGATAAAATGACAAAGATATAATGATGCAAAGAATAATTCATTTCCAGCACACATGAAAAACAATATTGGTTTTGATGTATAATACCATCTCATTATTGGATTTCCAGACATATCTACAAACTTGTGACTAGTTTTACCTTGTAAGATTGACCTATAAAATTTAAATATATAAAATTGTATTTACAATAATATATTTATTTTTTTGCATATATTACGAGTGCAAATAGATCCAATGACAAGCAATGTCAATGATACAACTAAGTTGGAAGAAAAACATATATTTGGGATACAAATTTGATAATGCAATACACAAACTCATTGTTCCACAGCGGTCAGTTAGTTGGTCAAGAATAGCTCCAAACTTAGTACCTAAATAAATACCAATAAATCAGTACCTATTCATTTTTTTTTTTTTAATATAACATTATTATAACTAGGTTTAAAATAAATTATTTTATGGAATAATTAAAGCTGATATATTTAACAGTAATATACTAATATATAAAACAAAGTACTAATTAGGAAAAACACAATAAATTATACCATAATACTAACTTAAAGCATTACAATATACAGTAATTGTAAACATTTAAATTCTTCAGTTATCTTACTTTGATTAAATGCCCGAGCTGCATGGCCATCAAAAGCATCTAATAACGCACTTACAACATAACAAGTACATGCTATTTTATAATTGGTTGGCATAAAGTAAATTGATATGAGTGCTAGTATTATTCTGGCATATCCTGTAGAACCAATAAAATGTTATACATAATTTCAATTCAAACTTTAAAAAATATACATTTCATTAAAAATACTATTATGAATTAGGTTTAAACTAAAAAATTAATGATCCTTTATATGGGGAACAAAAGAGGTGATGCATTATTTGCCTAAATATTAAATAAATAATATGTAATGTTAATTATTGCACTTAAAAAAAAATTTAAATGCATCTTATAATTAGAATTTAAATATATGCTTATATTCTTACGTTTATACTCACCAGTTTTCATTAATCAGAGTATTAAAATGGACAATTTGAAAATTGACTCTTAAAAATATTAGGTACCATCTGTGTTTAACAGGTTAAGCGCCAATACAAAATATTTAATTATGAATAGTTATGGTATAATTATGCATGTAGGGTTTATTTACCTGACAGTGTGATTGTAAAGAGTACCACATAGGGTTTTCATGCCCTATGAGTACTCAACTAAATTGTGCAGCAACTTGTTTTTGTCACCGCATACTGTACCAAAAGAAACATTTTGACAATGACAGAAAGCTTAACCTGTTAATGTAGGTGGAAGATCGGGTCAAGTGGAACATTAAAACGAGGGTGGCTGATCCTAAATAGTTGGGATGAAGGCAAAAGAGAAGAAAAAGCTCATTGTCTAAACCTAAAATAATTTATTAAGGTTCAAAAGAAATATTAACCCTGATAGGTACTTTACTAGATTTAATTTAATAAGAATCATTTAATGTTTTTAATTGTACCTATAGATATTTACATAATATGACAGATTATTGTTGGATATCTATTCTATGTAGACAAAAAGTTTTTGAACTTACCGATTAAATTTGGCACAAACAAAAATATATTTTCTTGTTTACCCATTTTCAATTGTAATTAATACTGAATTTGTTTTGAATTGAAAGTTGGTCAAAATTCTATAAAAATTATTTAATATTATTACGACTCATAAATATCTTGGTTAAAATAATATAATTTTAACAAGCTCAATATAGGTTCAGTTGGTTTATAGTTTAATAATAATGTATGACAACTTTCACAATATTTATAATAAATTATGCATAATGCCAAGACAATACAACCGTCAGTGTGGTGTCTGTTAGCTAGACCGCCGCACTGCCGTAGTGGCGTAGTGCTGTACTATCGTATATTCGTATAACTGTATTGTTTTGTTACAAAAAAAAGTATTGACTAATGGATTACTGTAAAAAATACGACGTGATAACGTTATATAACACTGATAACATGGGAAAATTGATTACCTGAGAAATATTAATGGGGCGGGTTGAATATCGTGACGGACGAATGGATGATGAGATTGATTGTACGAATTTGAATTATTAGCCAATTTAAATTAAATTGTATGTATTTAATTTTATTTTATTCGAATTTATAGCTTTAAAAATATTCTTATACAATTAACTAAGTAGTTTTGTACCTATTTATATTGGGATGAGTCTATGAGGGATACCTTTAATTTTGTTAGAAATAAATAACCTATCCGATAATTAGATTAACGCATTGCTGTGGTTGTATTTCATCCGTTAATTAGATTAATCTACCTATCTCCAACCTCTATAATATATTATAACCTTTAGGTATATTGCTCGGTAAACAAATGTAACCATTACGTAGGTACTTGTATATTTTTTTGTTAAAATAATAATAATTTTACCTATATTATAATAACAATAACACCATATCTATGTTGATTTTACGTGTTTTTTTTGAATGTGTACTATAGTTACCTACCTAAAAATTATTTGTTTGGTATTGTGTACAATATGCGCCAATACACGTGTATTTAGATAGGAACTAATAACAACTTACAATAATATGTTAAGGACGTTATGGTACACAAATTATTAGGTACATACATACCTACATAATTGCAACCTATATGCCAAAAGTACGGAATGTTTAGTTAATTAAGTCAAAAACTATAATCCGATGGCAACATATGGCACAGTTGTGATTCGTAATTTATACCTACCTACTCAGAATTTTGTATTCTAGCGACCAGAGTAGGTACCTAAATGAATTATATGTGAAATTCGAGTCAATACTTTAGTAGTACAATAAAGTAGTAAAAAATTGTAAAGTTTTCAAGTGAATAACACTGCATTTTAGATTATAGTACCTATAAGTATAAACATTAACATTATAAAGAAAAAATAACTAGTTTTATCCAAATAATTTTTCGAATAAAATAATGTATTAATCTACTTGCTTATAGTGACTAGTTTTTTTCATTTATAACCAAGGCCGTATTTGAGGGAGGTTCGTATAAGGTCCGGACCTCCCAGAAATGTCTTCAACTACGGAATCAAAACGTAATTTCCATCATCACAACGCGCAACTGGTCTTTTTTTTTATTTTGTTCCTTATTATTAATTATTGAGCTATAACATGTTTCATATTATGTAGAAGCTAATAATAATTATAAAAAAAAGTCTCTCAAAAATGGCACAAACATTTTAACAGGGTTGCATAGGCTTGTATTGAAAATAAACTGTTATCAATGGATGTGTTTTTAAATGAAGCGCTAGAATTGTTCAATTATTGTGATTATGAACTTTTTCTTAGTATTAATTTTTTAATATTACTTTTTCGACATTAAAACACGTTAAAACATTTTTATGAAATTCTATAGGACAAGAAAGATTAACTGGCCTAGCTTTATTAAGTGTCCATAGAAATATTATAATTGATCCCGAAGAAGTTTAAAACTGGTTTGTCCTTCTCAAAAATAGAAGTACCTATATTATTAGTTTAAATATGTACAATGTATTATAATTGGTATTTCGTATGATTTAAATTTAACTTTTAATTTAATTTCCCGTGTTTTTCGTTCAATTTTAAAAATTATTACACAATATGCCAAGATTTTCTTAAGGTATAGATTATAGGTATACCAAATACTATAAAAAACATTTCTACCAACCGTTGTAATATTTTTTAGTTTCATTCCGAAGGTTAAGTATAATTACATGTAGTACCTACATTAATATACTAGTATTTTATATGTTCAAATATTGTTCTAGACAGTTTGATATTTATTGATGGTATTATTTTCTTCGGTAGGTAGGTACCTATATTACATTTGATTGGTCTCTGTCCTAATTTAAAACTATTTCTAGATTCTTATATATTATATAGATATAAGCATTAATTATATATACAATATATATAATCAATGGTATTAGGTATACCTATTTAGCCCATTGAGACATTTACACCTATTATTATATTATATATGCCTAGTGTATCATTTATAGTTTTCAATGGTTCCATTCAGATCCAATTCAATTTCTATTTTCTTGTATAATTGTATATATTTGTAAATTGTATTCAATTATAGGTACATAGATATATTTTAAATGTTTAGTTGAATTTGAAGAAATTTACCTAATTTATTGTACTAGTTAGGTATTAAAAATATTGCTTACCTATATATTAGAATCAAATTTATTACTTTAAACTGTAGATATATATCTATTATAGATTCATGCTTTTCATATAATATTTAATATTTCGGTCAAAAAAAAAAGTTTACATATTTGGAATCGATGTAAACATTTTATAATATATCTCTATAATCTCTTAAAAAATCAGTATTTATTAGCATAGATACCTATGCTGATTGATGACTTACACAATAAGATTTTGATGTTGTTATTTAGAACAGTCGACGCATACACATTGGCTTACATAACTACGCACTCACTATATCCTAACAGATTTGAGGGAAATTAATTACCATAGCCCATAGGTATTGAAACACTAATTCTAAGTGTATTTTAAAAAGTTAAACACTCACCTGTTACATATTATATTTGCTGTTTTAATAAGTACTTATTATTACACTCAAAAAACATAAATATTATGTTTTAGACTTCGAACTGGGTATAATTGATAACTTATACTATAATAATTAATAATATACCTATAATAATGGTAGAGGTATAGTATAAACCTAGCCTTGCTCTCGTCAAATAAACATGTATTAGACTTAGGTACTTAAATTATAAACATGATGCATGCCTATATAATAATGTAATAACAAAAAAATATATGCAATATACTTTATTATCATTTGTGTCTCATCTACATTAACAAAAAGTTGTTGTCTATTGAAATGGTTAACAAGATGTACAGCATCGTCTATCGTACAGAGGTCTGAAAATGTACATACAGAAACGGATGAATGAATCCGTATTTCCGAAATACAACTCACAAATGGTTTCAGACATAATTTTTTGCATTTTTAAAAAGAAAATTGATTTTTTTATTATTGATTTATGGCTTGTCTTGATTACATAAGTGAAAAACAATAATTATTAGATAGTTATTTAATTTTCATGAGCAAAGAAGTGCCTCATTATTATTACAAATATAAATTAACTAACTTTATGTATTCCACCTTCCCAATTACCCACCTATAATAGTGACTACACCTGTTCCCAGTATCAATTCATTATAAAAATTTAATTAGCGGTCAACAACGGTTAACTGTGTTAGAGATTCAATAGGTAACAATGAAGACATCTTGAAAATATTTCATTATTATTTATTATTTATTACTTTCCCATGTAATACAAATTTAGTTGGTATTTCGGCTATAATTACAGATTTTTTTTTATAATTTAATAATTTCTTGTGCACTAATATTTTAAGTACACAATAGAAACTTAATAAAGAACTTCTTTAGTGGTGACTACAATTTTTCATATGTCTAAATAAAAATACATAATCCTAATGAATACAATATTTATTATATAAGTAGGTACTTATAGTTTGCCCGGATCAATTTGACTGTGTTAGGTGGGGAGGGGGGTGTCACCCAAATAACTCATCCTATAACTTAGTTAGGGCAAACTTACAAATTCTGGGAATGAAATTACATTTACATATAATTATAGGGCTTTAACTTACAATTTATCCGGAACGGTTTGGCCGTAGTGGGGAGGTTAACTTCATATAATGTTCCAATTTCTCGTATACAAGTTGTTATGAGATATAAAATAAAAAGAAAGCATACATCATAGGAAAATTAGTATATTAAAATATATATCAAAATAGGAAGTGTTAAGTGGGTATTATGCCATATACACTTCACTACACCACGTGATATATAAGGGGTGTATAAATGAAAAATTTGTATTTATAAATTATAAATATACGTATATGCGTCTAATAAGTAAATCATATTTTTGGATGGAAGATTTTCATTGATCAATGTAAATTAATTATAAATATTGTATACTTGTAGGTTAATACTAATATACTATGTAGGTCATAGTTTTGAGTTGAATCATAGGTGTATGAGCATATTTGTAGTTTGCTTGTATCGGCATAATGTCACAATTATAGTAGGTATTAAATAATGTAGTATGGGTACTATCTTATTAAGACGCCAATGGTTGCGATAACTGATAAGAATATAAGATGTAAGTACATATATTATATAGTAATATAAGATGATATTACTAATACTACCTAATACTGTTACAGTTGTACACAGCTATAGTATTACATTATACAACCGTATACACACAAATAACACGATACTACAATACAGATTAAATAGATAGATAGATAGATATAGATTTATAAGAAATGAAAACATTCAGTACTTAATATTGAATACAAATGATAATTATAATTATGTAGCTATATTTTTTTTTTTTTTTAGTATCGCATACCTATGACAATATTATCAAGACACAATATGGGTGTGTGTAGATATTTGCTATTATATCAATACAAAATACATTTTTTGCCACAGTTTCAGGTAGGACGCAATAGCTTCTTATGGGATCACGTCTTATTAATTTAGAATATAAGTACACCCTTTATAGGTACATCAAATATTTATAATAATTATATTAATCTGGTACTTATCTTGTTTTTAACAAATATTTTTCGAGTGTTAGTACCGTACCATAGGGTATCCATTATATAGGTAAGTATGTCTTTAAACACGTGATGAACATAATATGATGGATAGTCGTAAAAAAAATGATTATCTGCCCACGAATAACATTGAATATAATACATTTTAATATCCGTTCAGCCCGATGACATTCTGCTATTAAATATTTTATGCTCGACAAATTCGGCAATGATGTAACAGTTATAATACTAACTTGTATCTATATACTTATCTGAATAGTTTCATCAGGCGGCCAATTCGTTACTGCAGTTGAATTACAAACCGACTTACAGTTAGGTATAAGTCGCGTATATTATATTTAAATTTTAAAGTGTGTATATAGAGTGCGGGAATTGCCGTGTGGGCGTTTTAGTAGACCGTATAGTGTTATAATATAATATTAATAATATTATAATAATGTGTTCAGTGCCGAGCTAGAAATGTATTTTTGGGGGAGGGGAGCTCTAGATGTCTTATAATTATTTTTGGAAGTGTTAAAATACACCAACTCGTTGTGATGGTCTTCGCTTCTTCTCACAAATAACATAAATGCAATTTCTTTTTTAATAAAATGTTATTACCAATGAATAATTAGAAAGTGTAACGGTGTAGGTATAATATGAATGTGAATATCATACAATTTTCATTTCCTTAAGTTGGAAAGTATTTTTTTGATGCTCATTTATTGAATAAACATAATCAATATTTTAAATTGGGAGAGGGGTGTACACGTTTTGGATTAAATCGTGGGCGTATAGGTAAGAAAAATTTGAGGGGTTGTAAATCCATACTTAAAACGTAAAAAAGTGTTTTCATCAACATAATTCTTTTAATAAAAATGTATAAAAACCTTAATCATGAAATGAAAATATAATATGTATGTATAAACATATTTTGTAACTATATTTATTACACTTCTATGACAGATTCATATTCTCCTAGAAGATTTTTGAGAAAAAGCAGTAATTAAATAATTTGTATTAATATCTATTCTCGTTCTAACATAGTGTTCTTCCTTAAATCCTTTTTATACTCAGTTAAGTGTATACAAATGTCTTGTAGGAGTGGAAGAACTAACAGAAAATGTAGTTAATACTCAAATCATAAAAACCAAATATCTAACTACCAATCGTCAAGCATTTCTGTTTAATCTAAGAATTTTATCTATGGAGTATCCTATCACTTAACAATTACGTAAAAACTAGAAAAATTTAAATGTTTATGAATAACTCAATAATGGCTTAAAAGGTTTTTAAAATTTTACCACATCTAGAAAAGGCAACATTAAATCTCTACAAGTATTTTTAACTGAATGAGAACAACAAAAAAAAAAATAAATTGAAAATAATGAATTCATTATGTTCGTACATTTTCTCGTTCTGTCTATGTTTTTTCGGTTTTGCTTAATTATTTAAAAAAAACAACTTTTATACTCACTAACTAGATTAAAAATCTAACAACAATGATGTCTTGTAGTTTTTTTATTGGAGCATTACTTCTGATAGAAAACATTAAGTATACAAATTTATAATAATGAAATCGGTAATGTCACGACCGCGTGCCGTAAATATTTGTCGTTTTACCAATAATTTTCTTTCGGGTTTTCCCAATTATTTTTAAAACTCCTTAGAAAATCAAAAAATGACCTTCTCAATACACCAACTATAAAAAATTCCCTTTCAGAAAAGGTGCTACATTTGATAATTTGGAGCAATATTTTTTATAGAAAAGTTGTTCAAATACAAAAATAAAACACACACATTACTGTAAAACTAATAAATTCCTAGATACACTCTGAATCTAAAAAAATATAAACCAAAATTAATATTATGTGTTAAAACCAATAGATCTCTCGCTACGCTCCGAATCTAAAAACTGAGATTTGAGATAGATAAAAATATTGAATAAGTAATAATTTTTATCTATCTTGGTGATTATAACCTAAGTAAAAGTGTATATCTCTCACAACCAAAGAAGTTTTAACTTTTTTTTTTTTAAATATCTATTCGTTATTATTTCTTCAGAAAATATTTTATAAAAAAAACCATGCTGTTTTTTTAATCTTCAAATTTGATACCAAATAAGGTAATAGGTATGTACCTAAGTGTTTAAAGGGACCGGTCCAATGTGTGATCTATTGATAAATTAATTTTAAATCGGTACAAAATTCGTGAAAAAAGAAAATTGAAAAAATTCACCAACAAATGAAATGACACAAATAGACACTAAATATTAACTGAATCTGAATGTTTAAATGATATTTTAAAAATACGATACAGTCGTAAAATCCATATTATATCGATAATTATATAGGTATAGCACTAGCATAAAATATAGGCATCTGTTATTGGTAGATTACGCATTCTACCTATAAAACTATATCTTGGCCATTTATCAATAGATCACTCATTAAACCGGTTCCATAATTTTAAATTGGACAATATTAATAGTGCCTTTTATAGTTTTATTTTTCGATACTGCTTGTTAGCTAGGCGGAAAATATATGTACCTACAACAAGAAAATGTTTTTGTTATGTACAAATTAAACTCAATTGAATATAGATATTGAACAATTATATGTTAATATAATAACGAAGGACAAATGAGAATAAATATATTTTCATAGGTGCAACTAGACTACCAACTTTAGGAGTGTTAAATTTGTGGACAAAAATCCATGGCTATGCCAACACAATCCTCTTTACACGATTCTTACAATAAGCAACTGCACATTTCATTTACAATTTTGTGTATAGAAATTTATCATAAACAATTTAATATTATTTCTTATATACACATGGATTGTCAGTAGGAAATCTGTATTTTGTTCTCTTCATAAATTATGAAATACTTGAGTATTATATATTCAATTAATTTATTCAATACTATGAAAAAACTTATTGTGTTGTTTTGGGGGATCCTAAAGATTCCCTAGCATCCCCCTCCCAAGTTGTGCATAATATTATGTATACCTATAATACTATTTAAAACCAAGAAGAATAGGCACATAGAAAGTAAACAAAAATATCAAAGATGTGTGATAAAAATAATCCGTAACCTATCATTATCGGCAATCGAAAACTAATTTATTAAGTTCACAACTGTCTACCATAAAAATAGTCATGTGAACATACGCCAAGTTCATGTCGAAAGCTGACTCTGGTAATGTTTGGAATACGGTCACAGAATATTCTGTGCTAGTTAACGATTGTGTAAAAAAGCGGAAAAACACATTTGAAGAAAACTGTTTTCTTCCTAAAAGGGTTTTATCCGAAATTGGTAGTAAAAACAGTAAAAAATCCAAACAAATAATGAGTGATGGTGATTGGTTATCTCAGTCCACCTAGGATAATTCGTGGTTACCACCATAGACAATAAATTATATTATACGATGGTGATGTTCGGCTGTCCTGTCAGGTTTTATTTGTCAGAATTAAATTAGAGATTAGCACGATTTTTAAAATTTTTGTTCCAAGATGTTGACGTTCAAAATTTTCTGATTGAAATTTAAAATATATCAGCAGTTTTCCAAAACAATAATAAGAAATTTACAAGTTGATAAACAGTAAAGTTTTGGCCACGGATAGTGAGATAATATCATAGTTCACATTTTCGGCTGAAATACGGCCGAGTCTCGATTGCGATATTTTCAATTCACGCCTAAAATACCGTTCTGCTTTTTATAACACTCCTACAATACCCTTCTGTACGATTTCATGATATCTGATCTATTTCATGATACGATTTCTGATATGATGCTGTGGTACGATTGTCGTTAATTGTTTGCCTTTATCACAGTCCATGCATGATAAGACTTCCGTTATCATCGTTACTCCGTCCAAAACGGTAGCACTGCGGTTGACGATTTCGCTTCACCGCTACAACTGCCACTACCATTCGATCATCGTCGACATCTTATCGCTTATTCCAGAACCCGTACGATCCTAGCCAACACTGTACCGCTGACTCGGGGTTGATGTAGTTCGTTTTCATAATATTATTAATTGAATTTTTCCAATAATAATTAAAATCATATTATCTCCATCGTTGCGACCGTGTCTCTTTTCTTAGTCGGCACCGAGGAGTGTTTCAGTAACCAACGGCCGCGATACCGCTGGAAAATCTCTAAACGTGACAAAATCGTTGCGGGGCGATCGCAGAAAAGGAAAAAATATGCTGCCCCCCGGCGCGTAATATTGTATACTTGTGCGTGTTATCGCTGACGTGGTTTGTTGCGGCAGTGTCCAGTGTTTACCATGAGGATAGTTGAACACTTGTTCCCCTCGTCGACTTGACATCACATCGAAACACAACACACACACGCGCGACAACCGTCGTCTGTGAGCTGTGTCCGGCGGCCGTCTTGTGCGTGAGCCGCTAGGGCGCTCGTGCGGTGCGTATCATCCTAGCGGATTGTGTTTGCGAGTGCGCGAGCTACCTAGAGTGTGTGTGTGTGTGTGTATATGTGTGTATGTGTGCGTGCGTGCGTACGTACGTACGAGTGTTAGTGTGCGTCTGTACGCTTACGAATCGCACTGCTCGAGTCACTATTAGAGTTGGTACCTATCTCAATATTATACCGGCTACTAATATATAGTATCGTGGTCTGAACTAACATCCGTACGCACACGGGACAGGCAGTCGCTCGATTCGACGACGACCGTCGCTTTGCGCTCCGCTCGAAAAGTTGTCGATACTCGCGAACGGCGAGCCCCCGTGTGTGTGACATTAGAATGACCGGTTCGTCACCCGCCGTTATTGTCGCCGCCGTCGTCGTCGTCGCCGCCTCCTCCGTAACATCTTGTTCGTTGTCTCCGCTGTCGTCCTTTGCCATGGAAATGATTCGCGTCGTAGCCTAATAGCCCCAGCACCGCCGACGCGCCGCGCCGGTCGCCCGAGAACGAAATTATGGCATCATCTTTGTCGCAACCCAAATTCGAACCCAAACCCCCTGATAAAAGCTCGCAGACGTCGGCCGCGTGCGACATAAACGACAAGAAAATCCACCAAGAGCCGTCCGACTGTTCGAACGTGAGTACACATTGCTACACGCACAAAACATAGACATCAATAAATCATCATATTATTAAGTACGATGAATTAATAAGAATTACACTTGTGTGTGTATGCGCCTACTATCACGATTAAGTATCTGTATATTGTACTTATTAAAAATTCGTACGTATATGCTCATTAGGTATAATTGGGTTTTATTTTATTTTTCTATTATAGTTTGGTAGTTCTCGTAAAAATACCCGTCACGTTTCCAAAGTTCCTACATAACCTATTCAAGAGATTCTCGTTTCGCACGATGATAATACGCGTTTTCTAATACCTCTCACTAGGTATAAATAATGAGTAATCAATTTCTGTATCAAAAGCACTGCGTTCGTTCGTGCGTGCGTGTTGAGCGTATATGTGTGCGTGTGTGCGTGTGTGCGTGTGTGTGTTTGCGTTTATTTGTGTATCAGTGCGCGAGTTTATGTGTGCTGTGGTGACTGGTGAGGTATGTGTGCTGTACTTCAGTACGTTCATGTTGCCTTTGGTATTTTAAATTTTTTTCCTTGTTTGATCGCCCTTTAAATCGAACACAGTTGAATGTGCACGTTTGTTTAATACGTGTATTATACATTTTTAATATTATAATGTGCACTTACAGCTAGGAGGTACCTATACGTGATATTACGGTTTTTTTTTTTTTTTTTTTAATGTCCTTTTCAAAATTATAAGGTCATGCAGTTCTTATCTATGTGTATCTATCAGCCATCTATCCATATACCCATAATATTAATATACCTAATATAATAATATGATGTAGATACCTACCTACCTATATATTATTTAAAACAAATATAAAATTGTACTTATTGTAGTTATTCTTATATCGTAATTATTTTTTAGAACAAGTCAAAATCTCTATCACTGGATTTATCAAATTTGAACACTGCTAGTTTTAAGTCATTATTAGAAGAAGTGGTTGCATATGATACGGCTAAGCAAACTAAAAGTGAATTATACAATGTATGTATTATTTCAGATATCAGTTAACCTAATACTTCAATGTTTAATAATCTTCTATATTCATATTAAGTAATATTTTTTAAAATAACTACTTATTATCTTTGAATTTATTTTTAAAATTTATGATTTTTATGTTGGTAACAAACAAAATTTATTATTTAAATATCTTTATCAGTGAACAACTTACTGAACTATACTTTGGTTTTATCATGGTTTAAAATGTAAAACTATTGTAATAAAAAATAAATAATAGTAATTTAGGTAGATCACTCCTGCCATAAAATTATAATTGAGCAATAGATTTTTTTTGTCAAAATGCATTTTGCCTGTACAATAGTCAATATGAGTGTAAAAAAGTCTGACAAACATTGTTTGGACTAGAAAACTAGAAAATTGATATATTGTATTTTATAATTTAAACATCAATATAATTAAAAAATTTCAGATATCTAAGAGTTTAAAATATTTTAAACAATTTATAAAAATACCAGTATTATATTCTTTTTTTTTTTTAGCCTTTTAGTTAATTTAATTTAAATAATTGAAAATAATATTTGATTATATCAGAACTGCTTTTAAAATAATATGATCCATTCTAAATTTATAGGTACATATTTTAATTTTTGTATTCTAAGAACTATTAATAAGCATTTATACAATAATAATATAAAAAAAATCCTGTGAAGAAATGTGTACATAAGTACATCTTGTGTTTCTGTCACTTAAGGCAAATTTTTGGAACTCGAGTCGTATGCTATCTATATTGAACATTGATTGCGTTATATGTTATCTATGTCTCAGGTGATAAATGTGGATTGGACGTTGACTGATGTTAATGGTGTGCGATAATATTGTAGGTATAGTTATGTATACATGTATTAATATAAATATCAATAATACTGTGGGATTGAGCTACGTTAGTTCTCATTATAAAGTAAAGAAGAAGTGGGTTCCAAAATTCATTCTGACGTTAGGGGAGAACCTGCAGAAATTTAAATGACTATGGCTCTATGCGTAGTAATGTATGTCATCAGCAGATGAGATGTGCTTCATTGATTCAGAAACGGGCGAATACTCAAAGTAAACTATTATGGGCTATTAGGGTCTGCATGGAGACATCTCAAAGTAAAATACATCATTAAAACATGTGGTGCTACTAATCTTTTGGCCCGGAAGTCACTGGAAGTGTGATAATGTTTACTCAATGCTTCCAAGGCTCTTTTTTGTAAACATGAAAACCATATTTTTTAAAAAGTAAAAACAAACATTTTTATAGACGACACCTTAAACATGGGGTAGATTATTTTAGATAACATATAATGCAAACAAACTGTTTCGATAGATACGTTTTTGATAACATACAATACAAGTTTCAATTTAATCTATTTTGTATTATAGTATTATACAATTTTTTTAGAAAAACAATATATAACCAAATACTATTTTTACCACAATACTATAATTCTTCCCTCCTCTAGCCACAAATAGTGGTGAAATTTGAGAATCAAAGGGCCACAAGTTGAAACCCTTAAATGGCACATGCTTAATACTGAAAAAATGAGATCCTCTTGGCAGATTTGGTATCTGTAGTGGTGTTCAAAACTAAAAAACAATAACATAATTAAATTTGTATTGAAATTCATTGCTACTTTTATTCAGAGGGAGTTCTAGAATTGTACAAAATTAGCAAGAATACAATATATACGGGGATATATATGTAGGTATATGATTCAAAATTTATGTTATTGCCATTTTATCATATAAATATTCAAAATTGAGGAAAAATGTATAATACAAAAGTTTTTTTGATTTTATAAATGATTTGTATTTTTTTTTTTTACGTTATTTTAAGGGTTTGAGGATCGACTTTTAAAAGTCAAATGGGAACTTATAATTTATTTGCAAATATAATTTGAAGATATTTTTTCAATAAATTTTATTAGTGATTGAATCACATTAATTTATTTGAAACTATGTTTGAGAGCGATTTAAAGTTTTTAGAAATTGTATTTTGACCACATGTCGACAAATAGCTAATGACATTCATTACACAATGCCCCTCCGCTGCTACCGCAAACTTGTGATAGCTTTATTAGTATTAACTTTTAATTATCTGCCATAGAATTTTAAATAAATTAATGTTATTTAATCACTAAAATGTATTAAATAAATATCTTCACATTAATGTTTGCAAAAATAAGTATATGTCTATTTGAAATTCAAAAATAGACACCCCCAAAACCCCTTCTAAAACTATATAAAAAAAATGACAATTTATATTAGATTCATATAAAGTAAAAACTTTTGTATTATACATTTTTCTCTATTTTGATTATTAATGTGATAAAATGACTGTAACTTAAATTATGAATCACTGTATATTTATAACTGTCACAATATAGTAAAATAGTTTCTATTTTTGGGAAAAATCAGAACAAAATGTTTCTAGACTAGTTGAATTGATTATTAAGAACCTTACTTAACATATGGTTTATTTATTTAGAAGCAAAATATTGTACCTTCTTAATTCTACCAAAATGTTAACAGAATTTCATTCATAAACTTATCAGTTAAAACCACAGTTATTTTGAAAATAATATTTGGGTAGTAATTGTTTTATAAAATATGCCATCTACTCTTAAAATTAGTAAATATCATATATTAAATGATGAAATCTATCTTAGAAATGTACTATATATATATATTCGTGGTTTTTTCTTTTTTTCTATTATTGATTTTTAATATGTAAATAAACATTATTGTAGAACTTTGATAACTTATGCTTATTTACATTTTTATACTAGATTAAATATTGCATAGTCTATGTTACAGAATCTGCTTGAGGATGTAACTCAAAATGGCGAAGATGATGTGAAGCGACCGTTGCACAATCAACGTTTAGTTGATAGCCAGACTGATCTTGATAAGTTATCATCTAAAGACCAACACATTAAGGAAAATTCATCACTTGAAGCTTTTGATTTAGCTCCAGACTTCAAAAAGCGACTCTCTGGTGTTACTACTAAAGTAAGCGCTCGTCAACTAGAAGGAGGTTCATTGCCGAGTCATGTTAATCATGCACAGGCTCTGTCTGTACTGATAAACAAAAAAAATACTCAAAATACTCGTAAGAAAATTGCGGAGTCATCAAAAATGGCTAAAAATGTAGACAAAGTGGTTGATCTTGGAGACCTTGGGTATGAACAAACTGAGGAAAAAGATATGTCAAATTATACTAGTCATGCAAGTTTGGAAATCTGTCCAGCTAAAGATGAGACAAAAATAGATGAACGGTTTACAACACCATTATTATGCAAGGTAAAAACTGTTGTGACCCTTAAGGAATAAACAATCTGGAAACTTAGTTTTTATATTAGCTTCATGCATATAATACAATTTTAATTAGTTTTGGACATTGATATCATTGTATTTCTCAGAGTAGAATATTAATTGTGTTTTTTAAATAAATATTTGAATGAAACTATTATAGCATTAATAAATTATCTTGCTCTAATTATATTCTAAATTCATTACATATTTATTATTTTTTTATTTTTTTTTAGACTAAAGTGTGTGTTATACCTAATCACTTTTTATGATGTCTTATGAGTATAAAATTTAGTTTGAAACAAAAATGTAAGAGTCATTAAGTTTCTAAGTTTTCTACTATATTAATTGTACAATTAAATTGTTTTAAACAAATTTCAGAATCATAATGTTGGTAAATTTTACTAAAAACTAATAAAAAAAAAAAAATAAATGTTTTATTTATATTTAGGTACCTAAAACTTTTAATCTACTAAATCGCACATTTTTATTTTAATAAATGGGTTTGAACCCTTTTGAAAATTGTACAAATTATTAAATAATTACATCTGTGCATTAAATTAAACATTTTAAAATTAAGACAAGATTTTGTCAAAAACAAATTTTAAAATAAAAATTATATTTTAAAAAATATTGAAAATTTAACTTGTAGATTATACTAAAGTTGATTAGAAACATATATTTATTAAAATTTACTAACATATTGCTTCTATGTTACCATTATTTCTAATATAGTATGTGGTGGCTAATTTAAATATTTTTGTTTTTCTTATGTTTATATAAATAACTTAATTTTGTCATGTAATTCTTTATAATAAATATTTTACACAACTAACATAGAAAAACTACACTGTTATTGTAATTATAATATTGTTTTTTTTTTTTACAGCAATTAAGTCAGAATTATGAAGACCATGATTCCTATATGGAAATTGATGCTTCACCATATATTAAAGATTCCAAAGATGGAATAAGTAAAGGTAATATAATGTGAATCAATTGAAGATTAATATATAAATTTGATTTTGCTTTTAAAATCCTAAGCTGGAAATTATAGTTCCTGCATTTATGCTTAAGTAGCTTTTAAAAATAAATTTTGTTAGATCTTTCACAGCAATTAAAAAAATACACAGTTTTTAATGTTTTCATTCAAAAAGTAATTAATTGTGCTTTTCTTTTGTGTTCTATAACTTTTTAAATGTAAATTTATATCTTTTTAATTTGTTTTGTAATATTCAAAATAATCAAAACAATTTGAGTTATTTGTATCATACATATTTATTAATACATAAATATATAATATTAAATAAAATATTTTTTGGACTATAAATATTTTTACTTAACTATATTATACAAATATTATGTATAATGCTTGATATTATAATTTTTTTGAGTTAGTTCTAATTTTATTCATATAAACTGCATGGAGTATGTATTTAAAATTAGGTACTTATTTAGATTTATTTTCATCTGATTGGGTAAGTGATTGTCAGTTAAATTAGTTATTTGCTTATCTACAACACAATAATATTGACAAGCTTCATTTACTTTTTTTATAGACTTCTATTTTAATTTATAATATGTTCATTTATTTAAATAATAATTATTGTTAGTTATAAATTCTTATGCAGAACTCTAAAACTTATTATAGCAACAAAATTAAAATATTTAGTATCTAGTTTTTCTTAGGGTTGTGTTATTGAACATAATAATTTGACGGTTTTGAGTTGAAGAAATAAACTAATACATCTATATACAAATATTATACATCTTTGCTGTATTAAATGTTTAAATATCAATTTAATTTTAGTCCTATTATACAGATATTTAATAATAATTTATATGAATTAAAAATTAAATAGTATTATATTTAAAGAAATTTAACAGAACTTAACATTTGTTGAAAATATTTTAATATTTTCAACTAACTATAAAGGTAGAGGCACAATTAATTATTTTAATTAATCTAGAATTAATAATTTATGTAATAGTAAGAATTTATTACATTATTTATTCATATTGCTAACAAATAAATTCCATTTAAAGAAATTAAATTATTGTTTAATAATTTATTGGAGTGTGTGGTGTTTTTCTTTGTTTAATTATCTAACTTTTCTTAATACAGAATATTCCTTGTTTTGTTTTTGTTTTTCATTTTTAATTGGCATGCTTTTTATATTCTATTTGGAAGTACTGCCACGGACTTCAGGTGAGGGCGATCAAGACGTGAAAAACTGTTTACATCAGCCAGCTACAGTGGTAACGGAAATAAATAAAGATACGGAAATAAATAATGATGCACAATCGATAAACCATCGTTTGTTACACCTATTTGGCAGTCAAATTAATTGCTATCAAAATCCGTATAACGGATTTACACAACCAATCCATTTTTTAACACCAAATGGTAACTTGTTATTTAGTATACTTACTTTCATTCTAATTTTATTGCTTAATTTCATTTATTTTCCTGTAAAATTTATTGTTGGTAATTGATAGGAATGCTTTCAAAAAGTTTGTTAGACTGAAAAAAATATACTCATTTATTACTTATAAACAAATTCTTGATATAATATTACATTTTGAAATTTAGCTGACATTAAAATTATGCTTTTTAAAATAAAATTAATTATTATTATTTCAACCATTTTATTTTCAGTATTTATTTAATTTGTTTTTCAAGTGAATAATATATATATGTAATATTATTAATTTTTATAAGAGGCATTATTAGAAAATGGATATTTCAAACTTTGTTTATTTTCTAAATACGGCATAACAAAATAATTGGTTTTCAACTTTTAAATAGTCAACCTTAAATTAGAAGATGTATAATTCAAAATTTGAGTTAGGCCTTAAAATCTATATTCTTATACAATTTTAAATGAATCTACTAATTTTTTTAAAACATTTTAATTTCAGGAACAGTTGTAACAATTTTCATAAATATTTGTAACTTATTTTTAAGTACATATATTTATTATAACAGATCAAAATGCTTTAGCTATTTAAAGGTTAGGGCTATATTATAGTGCTTTTTACAAACTGTTATATAGACCTATGTAGTTAAATATTACCATAGTAGATAATTAAAAAAAAACACACACACACACATATGTATGGCAGTGATTTAAAAATATTTAACATTTTAGTTGAATTTTTAATTTGTAGACTTTGGGAACTTGTTAATTTTTGATAAAATATATTAAGTAATTTAGTTTCTTTTTTTTACTTTTACATAAATTTAATTGTTCAATATTTAAATTGAACCTATTATTTTTATATCTTTGAATTTTCAATGTTTGCTGGGGCATAATGTCTGAGAACTACTGACACCGGGCATATTAATATTAGCACATTTTCTTTTGCATTAAACTTAGGTATTAGTGTATTTTAATTATTCAAAAAGCTATCATTTGGTTCATAAAAATTCAAGTATTTTTTAATATATTTAACAGATTTAAGTATGTTATTGTAGTTAATAACAATAACCATTTAAATTTCATTTTATATGTGAGCAAATAAATATTTTAACTGACTTGTGAACACTGCTATGCACATATTGTTTTAGGATTAACAAATCACATATTCAATTATTAAATAATATAATTTTGGCTTCAATTTTAATTGCTTTAACTACTGGTTTTTGTTGGTTTTTTTGTAAGGCAAAGTAATATTTATAATTTTTACTATTAATAATAATAATAAATGGTCTTGTGCTGTGGTGTATGGTAAGGATTGAAATTAAATAATGAAATTTGTTCTTATTTTTAGTAATTATATAAAAAAAAAAAAAATGTTCACATTTACTTGAGTATGTCAAGAGAACTTATTACTTATATATTTTTAAATCTAATTTAATCTTTGGTTTATCAGTTCCAAATCTATTAAAACAAAAATTAAATCAATACAATTTGATGTTTGATGTGTGTATTTTATACTTATGGACTTTTTCATTAATTGTCAATATTACAGAACAAATATTGTTTTTATTATCCAATATTATTGTTTTGAACTTAATGAAGTTTAAATTTAATTCAAAAGGTTTTTGTTTTCTAATTGAGAAATATATTTTTTTTTTATTTCTTGAAAAAAATGTTTAATTAATGAACTAAATAAATAGCTGGAATATTTTTAAAATGTTTCTGCCATGTTATATAATTTCAACAACAATTTTTTTTTTTTATTAAAAACAAATTTGTTAGCCGTCAAATTATTTTCTTTAATTATTGTTAAACTTCCATTTAACAAATTAGGTAATTTTAAAAATAATTATTAAATAAACAAATTAGTAGTTTAAAATATTGTTATTTGTTTAATTAATTTAAATAACAGACAGTGTAACATTATATTTTTGGTTAGCCTCAGAATAAAATATTTAGTTTTATTTTTATTTTGTTTTCACAGTTTTATTTTAATATAATATATATGGTAATTTATGATGTTTCAGATAATCTAGGATTACAGACTGCATATAGTAATAATAGGGTATGTTGAACATAAGTATTTTTTTAGTTTTAATTCTGTTTAAATTTAGTAAAGTTAAATAAAGTTTTATTATATATATATATTCATACAGTAACAAGTAATCATTTTTGTGCTGTTGCCATAATTTAAATCTGAAGGGGACCTGTATAATTTTGTTACATAATATAGTTTAAGTTTTACAAGAAAAGTAACATAAAACACACTGTATAAAAAAACGGTCCATTTATTAAATTTTTGTTGTTTTCCCAATACTAATATTCCTTTCAATAAGTTTTTACACAAGTTCACAAAATATACATAAAAAAATTAGCATAATGATAGCTTAATATTTTATTGTTTGCATCATAAGTTCTATAACAAAACTGTGCAACTCACTGAAGGTTAATTATTAACTAGCATCACTTAAGTTGTAATTTAAGTTAATAAATATTTGTCTTAATTTTTTTTTTTTTTCATTTTAGAGAAATACTTTTGAAGACAATAATAATACAACACATAAAAGAAATAAACAAAAAAAAGAATTGAGAAAGGTTTGTTTAATGCAAATTTAAATTGAACTTTTAAATGTTAGAAAACAAAAAATAAAAATATATGTTTTTTATGTTTAGAAAGATGAAGTTGTTCGTTCAGAAGATATTCAAGGTTATCGAGGTGATAAAAACATTGATGAAATTTTAAAGTTCATTGGAGATAAAAGTAGTGATAATAAAAAAAATAAAGGTAGCAAGACCAAAAATAAAATTAAAAGTAGAAATGGAAAAGGTTCTGATGATGAATGTGGTAGACCTAAAAATCGTAAAATGAAAATGACCAAGTATAATAGTGTAGAAGAAGTGTCTACAACAGTCTTTCAGCATATGGATAGTTCAGATGATGAGTCTAAATCAATTAAAAGTACTAAAAAAGCCAAGAAAAAGGTACCAAAACAAAACCAATCTTCAAAAAAATTTGCTTCTACCGAACAGAGACTTAATGTATTATCATCAGAGTCCCAAGATACAGATTCTGCTGACTTCTTGTTAGTTACCAATAAACAAAGGAGGAAAAAACAAAAATCACAAAATAAATTAAATGCTACCACTAGTAATTTTCCTCCTCATGATTCCTACTTACTATCCCAATACACACAACCTAAAAGTGTAAAAAACAAAAAAAGAAGAAAATCAACATCTTCAATGCCTCATTCTGACAAATCTGAAGATAATTCTGATCTTGATTCAGTTCACTCTCTACCTGCCTCATCTACACCTTCTAAACAACAATCATACAAAGAAGCTCCTAAAACTGATTTGACTAAACCAGCATGTGTAGTTACTACGTCTGAAGAATCGATACCAACAGTTACCGTCGTGTTACCACTTCGAAATACTGATGTTACGGCGAGTAATGTGAATAACGCTAACAAATGCGTTAATGGTGATGTGCATATTACTTACATAGTGCATGAACCCCAGAAAGCGGATCTAGAGACCGCTAAAAAGACTGCCGTTTTAAACAAAGTTCCTGCAGCGATTCCTCCACAGAGTGCTTCGCTGACTGTGCGCGTACCTTCAAAGAAAAAACAAAGCCCGATTATGTATAATAAATATGAGGTTGATACAAGCCTATCGTTTGGATTTGAAATTGACCAAGATTTACTGTGTGATAATGCTAATGATTATTTGCCCCCAGCACCTATTCCTATGCCTATAGAGTACAACTATAAAGAAGTGATACTGTTCATAAAACAAGGTAAATATTTTAATTTCATTCTTTTTTTATTATTATTATATAGTAATAAATTTAGTATTAATAAGAGTAGTTAGGTTGTTTAACTTTTCTGGTTAACAAATAAAATTTAAAAACTTATAAAATACTGTGTATATATTGTATACGACAGCAATTCTTAAACTGTGGTTCACGGTCCTCCCTTCCCCCCCGGGTCTGTGATATTTATGTCAGGGGTTCGCAGTGGCTCTATCGGTAAATATTAATTATGATAAATGAGATGTTTTGTAAGAAAAAGTATTAGGGGGTATGCAAATTTCTAAAAGTCTTTCGTCGGGGGTCCATGTGCACCAAAAGTTTAGGAACCGCTGGTATACAATCCTCTAAAGCAATAGTTCTCATCTGGTGGTATTAGTACTATCAGTGGTGGTATGCAGAGCTTATATCGTCCCTGTTCGTACAAAATAACAGGTTTTGGACTTAGGGTGTTTTGCGTGAACCTAGACGATATGTGGTATTTTCAATATTATTTTTAATGTTTTTAATGATATTTATGTAGACAATTACAAAACTATACTATGTCCTACAGAGATCTGACAAATGCATTAACTTTTTCTTATCAAATTTTTTTCTTTTTATTAAATTTTTCATTATGATTCTTATATTTTATGTCATTTACCACTTTTTCCATGAAAAAGTACTCATAGTAATACAATAATAATTTGTTATTAGATGAATAATAATTATTTTAACTATTATTTAGTAATGATAATGAAAAAGTTTAAATTTTTATAAACGTTTACATAAACAGTTACGGTTATTCATATGCCAGTTGCAGTTATCCAATTTACTGTTTGCAGTGTCATACTTAGTAAAATTAGTACCTGTTGTCAGAAAAATTTACTGAAGATTAAAAAAAAAAAAAAATAAACTGTTGGATGCGTACTCATACATTTATTGTTAAAATATTTCAATTTCAGAACTTTAAACATTTTCTATGGCTGTTGGCTTGAGTCCTTGTACCGGTGCGTGGACACTTCTCATACACCCCCTAAGTATGGTCCTGATTGTATATATTTGAGTACTATAGTTGTTAATCTGATGATATTTTGAGAATGTGAAGTTGGTTAATTTCAATTCATATCTAATGAATTTCCATTCCATTATTACATGTACATTTTATAATTTTTAATAATTTTGAAAAAAAAATTTTAACCATACTACAATAAATAAAAATGTAGAGAGGCCTAAGTCCTAAGCTATCTTGGTGATATAAATGGGAATGAAAATGTCGAGCAATAAATTGTTTTAAATAAAATAATATAATATCTGTAATATATATTTATATCTATATAATAATAATAAAAAAGAACAATATTATTCCGCATTTAGTATGCAGACCAATAATTGAATGACTGCAATTAAATGGTAACTTTTGTTGGGTAACCGCAATAAGTGTTTACTAGATAATCCTATATAATAAAATGGAACTATAAAATTACTAGTTTGAATTTTCTTAAAAATTGAAATCTTATTTTTAAAATAAAAAAAAAAAATAAGTATAAGGCTTTATAGTAATTATTACAATAACAAAAAAAAATCTTAACAATATTAAACTGAACAAAAGTTGTTGCATTTGTCAGATCTTTGTAACATTCTGTATAATTTAATTGATCTTTACTTTTCTTATGAAAACAGGAATGTATTCATAATTATTAATTTGATAATGATATAAAAATAAAGGTTTTATATAGATATTAAAAAATGGTAAATTCTAAGAACATTTGATTATAGAATTTAAAAATAAAAGAGCTGATACTGCTGATGGGTGCACCAGCCATTGTTGTAAGTGGGAAGGTAGAATACATAAAGTTATTTAATTTATACAGCTAAGCAACGATGATAAACCATTGTTAACAAAATATTATTCTCAGCAACATTCAGTTATACATGTTTTGAAATGCCTTAATATTAATGATTTTCATCAAATTTGATAAAAAAAACAATTACATTACGCTAAACTTCTTTTTTTCTACTAATTTCAACTTATAATGAATCTCGTGTTAAATGTATGAGCATTTTTGTTTGATCACATTATAAATTGATACCTTAAAACTATTTTCTGAGTATTTTGAAATTGGTATCAAGTCTTATTAAGACCAATGTAAGTTTGCTGTCAAAATTTCAACTATAAGTATTTTTAACTGAATTTCAAGAAAAAAAAAAAATTTAAAATAATAAAACCAATATTTCCATAAACTTTCTCGTTCTTTTTACATTTTGCCCCTGTTTTACTCAATTATTAATTATTATACGATGAATCTAAAGAGAACTTAGTTTTTCTCTTAACTAGATCCAAGATGGAGCAAAAAAAAAAACTTGTTGTTTTTTAATTGGAGCAATATTTCTGGCACAAAACATGTAAAATTTTAAATAATGAAATCATAAAATTACAATTTCTAATTATCATGAAAATTCTTTGGGAAATCAAAAAAGGACCTTCCTAATGCACTAGTTAGATCTAAAATGCAACAAATAAGTTTTCTTGTCATGTTTTTATTGGCGTAAGATTTCTGATTTAAATCGGTTTATAGACAAAAAAAAAAACAAACGCATCATAGTAAAATGTACCTTTTATTTCCATGCATTTTAAGGAATAGTTTCTAAAAACAGGATTCATTTAAATGTATATTATACTATTTCTTTATTTTGACTAATATATAGTATTGTATTTAAATATACTATGTAAGGTATTTGAATTTTTTTAATTACAGAATTTATTTTCTTTAAATATTTGTGCAAATGATGTTTCTCTTAAGTCTTATTTTAATATATATAATATTAATGAATAACTTATTTTATTAATAAAATCATAAAATAAAAACAAAAATAATTAAATGGTTAATACTCGTAAGTAAGTAAGTAAATAAATAAATAAATAAATAAACGTGTCGTATGGAGTATTATGACTTGAGTTGTGTTTTACTTTTAGTGATTTTACCAGATAATGAATTTTTAATTTGAAACTAGTCGTACAATACACATATCATATTACTATAATATTATAATAATATTTATTTATTTATTTATTTATTTATATACTTATTTATTTTATTAATCAACAATTAATATTGATAAATTTATATTTTATACAAATACAGTAGACATTTTGTAAAAAGACATCAGTTATAATGACAAACCATGTTTAATGCAGGTTAATAATAAATCTCAGGTTATGGAAAAACTAATATATTTTATGTATTAATTGGTATCAGCTATTATAATTTCTATATAATTACTTTATGGGTGTCTTTAATATTGTTTTATTGTTATTATTAACAACTGGTGGGCAGAGAGTATGTAATAATATAATAAGTATTAATATATACAACTCGATTCACTTGTTGTAATGGGTAGTTTTGGTTATCTTAAAAAATGTTTGTCTGTATTATATTTATAGAATATTTTATATGGTTTTTATACAAAAAAGTGTTAAAAACTAAGATAACAGATTTTTAAATACATATATACTTTTTACTCTATTTAAGTTATAAAAATATAATACATAATATGTATTAAGTTATAATAGTAAAATTATACATTATTAAGTTTTTAGTTTTGTTTTAAAATTTGGGTTATAATGATTATCTGTTTAATTATGTCTAATTTTAACTGGTCTCTTGAAAATCATTATAAATGTTTGCTACTATATGTGTATTATATATAATACCAGTTGAATTTCCTGGGCTCGTCTTGAAAAGGTGATACAATAAGAATAGCCTGATGAATTAAAAGTATGTGAATGTTGTTTCCCTTATGTTTTACTATATTTTAGATTCTGAGTCGAGTGAAAAAGCTTATAGTTTTACAAAGATGTTTTTTTTTTTTTTTTTTATCGGTGCGCAATGTGAAGCACATTTTCTGAAAGTAAATTGGCGTGGGGAGTTACTTTAGGTAGGTCATTTTTTGATTTCCTCAAGAGTTTTCTCATCAAATGTGAAAAACCTCCAAAAAACTGGAAAATTTACAAAATATATTCTTACGATTTTTCTTTTCTGTAGACAATTTTGCTCCAACTTTTAATGATAACAATGTGTTATATTGGACAAGAAATTTCACTAAGGAGGTATTTTAGAGAGGTAATATTTGGATTTTCTCAAGAGTTTTCTCAGCAAATGTAAAAAACTGGTATAAGGCATAGGAAAACTGGGAAAATGTGTACAACATTAAACAAATTTTATTAAAGAGAATATGTAAAGCCTATTTAATTATTTTACTATAAAATGATATATATATTTTTGATAAAGTATTACTATCAACTGAACTCTGCTTAGAATTGTTTTTTTTGTTAACAATAGTTTATCGTTGCTTACAGATATACATTAAATTCTCGTCTATATCCTACCTTCCCAGCTTCTCACCTACACCAGTGGCTGCACTCCCATTATATATTACCTTGTTTTTTAAAAATAAAAAGAACAATATGTTCTACTTAAAATAGAACATACCTATACTACTACTAACTATATACTAAATTTTATTAAAATCTGCTCAGCAGTTACAAAACTGAATTTCAACAAACATAGATACATCTACATAAACTTATGCATTTATAGAATTTGTACAATATGACAATCGTTTTAAAAACATTTTTTTAGATTTAGAGCAGAGCGAGAAATGTATTGGTTGTACCATCATGTTTATTTCTTTTTAATCTGAACAATTTTTTTACTATACTCCGTACCACGAGAGAACGCATACGGCGGCAAACTAAAACTCGTATATTTTCACGCATCCCTACTATAAAACATACACAATCGACTTCCACTACGAAACATAATGACGCATTCCGACAACTGAGCGCGATCATTTAGATGGGTGAGTCGTATGTGTTCTTTCGTGGTACGGAGTATAGCTATTTTGCTCTGATTTTCAAGTGTATATATTTTTTCCAAAACTGTCATTGTGGTGGTACTTTAGGAAGGTTAATTTTTGTTTTTTTCCATGCTTTTCATAATAAATGGGCAAAAGGGAAATTTACAAAAATTAATTTTTTTGAATTTTTTAATATTATGGCCTTTCAAAACGTGTATAAATGAATTTTGCTCAGAAACGTTTTTCATCAGCAATGGTTAATCGTTGTGTAAAGATATACATTCAATTTCCCCTCTACCTTCCCAAATTCTTACCTACAACATTGGCCTGTTCATTGTGCAAAGTATGTTTGAATTTTAAATTTAATAAAAAATTAAATTTTTTTTCTCAAATATTTATAACAAATTTTAATTGTAATAGTAATACCATATAGAAGTTTACTTTATGAAAACATGGTTTATTAATTGTTATATATGTATATATATTTATTCCCTATTTAGCTTGGCAAGATGTTGAAAAAGAAAAAGTCAATGGCAGATCCAATATTCTAGAATACAAACGAGATAACAGTGGAGTTCTTGGGGACGTATAAAATTTCTGCCAAATAATGTTATTAATAAACATAATTCGTGTTCGACAACTAATCATATTTTGTAATTAATGAAGAATTTTTTTCATTCCACAGAAAAAAATTCTACAGAATTTGTTAATATTCTTCAAGAAATTTTTATATATTATAGTAATTATTTATGTATGTAATTTGTATATATATATATATATTTGTATATATATATTAAGAAGCAGTGTTGGAAATTACTTTCTTCTTTAAAAACAAAAAAAAAACAAATAAACATTAATTTATATGGTGGCTTTATTGCTACAATTATTTTTTTCTGGCATAATTGTGAATATGATTGTTAATTTAAAAAGGTCATTATATTTTTTTTCTTTTGTTAAGTTTGTACGTTCAAGTTTGTTTTGCTTATTTAAAAAATAATAATTATATTTTGGGGGCAACTAAAAAAAACTGGTCACAAAGTGAAATTTGTGAATTATTCAATCTGATGGTTAACTGGTTAACATGTCAATATTAACACTTTTTTGATGTACTTACATTACTTATTTGTTTCAAAACTCAAAAAATGTATTTGTTATGTTCAATTTTGGGATATATTTTCTTTTATATTAAATTATCTTTATGTACCTCAGAAAATAATTTTATTCATCATGTGTTAGGATTTGTTTCAGTTAAATTTATGTGTAACTTGTCTGTAATAAACCAAATTGATAACAGATAACTTCAGATAGTTGTATAAACCTAAATTGTGTTTATTATAATATTTACTTTGTGTAAATAATGCTAAAATTGTTCATATAATAATATTTTTTTATTATATTGATAATTTAATTATAAAGGATGGAAAAAAAGCCCTTTTATGATTTTAAAAAATTGTTGACATGTTTACTTAAAAATGTATTTGATACTGAAAATGTACAAATTATTATTGTTGATATTGGCCAATTCAGTTATAATCACGAATTAATATAATAATATAATATAACTTAATTTGTAGTTCTAATTTAAAGTGAAATTTATATTGTATAATAAATCTATAAACCAAAAAAAAAAAGCAGAGATAAAAAAAAGTTAGTTTAATTGCAAAAATGGCCCAGAATGACAAAATTGTCTTTTTAGATATTGCACAATTGATATGCAATTTTAAAAATAATCAACTAAAATATACCAGAATTTCAGAAACATTAAGAACAATTTTGTGTCAAAAGTTATTTTTCTACTATCACTATTCAATAATAATTTTTAATAGGTTAATGAAAAAATTAGTATAAATACGGAAAGAGTCTAGTTGGCCCATTGAAACGAGTTTTTACAATTGAATAACAGATGATATAACATCCTCTTAAACACCTGTTGTTAATATGGTACAGTGATATAGAAAACTATAAGAAAACAGGATTTTATATGACTCGAGGCATAAATTTACTTATTTACCTATTTTGTCCCTGTTATACACATATTTTATATTATCGGCATCCATAAGGTTAACATACATATTTGTAATTTGTTAAATTCCTGACATAACTGTAGAAATATTGAAAATTAAATTTAATGTTTATTTGATATTACCTATATAACGAAAAAAATACATTATTTTTGTAATATTATAATTTGTAACTTTGCTTTTCAAAAATGTGAAATACACACAAATAATAACATACATTGGTTTACCTAATATTTGATATCAATTCATCAAAGAAATAATTTGTTTCAAAATATATATATATATATATATATATATATATATATATATACAAAAAAGATTCCTACAGAATATCTATAAAATTTAGCAATATATTTAATAATATCTATAAAATCAGTTGGCGACTTTTGTGTTAGGTGGTAAGTTTAAAAGACTATAAGGTAATTTAATTTAAATATGTATTTATTAAACCGACAATAAATCATTTCAATCAAACCAATGTGAACAGAGTATAACAATAATAGTACTACCCTGTAGTAAAAAGATATGATTTATGCAATTGTGTTTTTTGTCTATTATAGCCAATAATAATTATTAACTAAAATATAATAAGATAACTAACCGAGAAATCAACAAAGTTAAAACTATGATAACATTTTTTTTAAATTTAATTTTATAGGCCAAATTTGGGAATTAAGACTCAAAAAAACTAAAGTACTTTCCATCTGGAAAAAATCCACTTCTTTTAAGATAATCTGACCTTGTAAAAAATACTTTATAAATTGTATTTAAATAAAGATTCAAATACATCAATTCAGAAAGTATTTCAAATATATTCAAAACACTTAAGGAAAAATAATTAAAAATAGATATAAATTCTCGAAATGAATTTAAATACTTTCTCAAGTAGTTTATAGTTGATTCAAGTAGGTTTGCAAAATTAAATTTGAAATTTCTTGTATAAAATTCAATATTCAACTATTTAAATAGGTATCTATTAACACTTTTAACTTTGTACCACCTACCTCAAAATGAAAATAAATAAATTGTTCTGTATTTTAATTCTGAAATAATTTAAAACCTATTTAGAATGGATTAAAGAAATATTAGTTATAAATCATTTATATATATATATATATGCATATTGCATTTAAGCAGCATAATTTTCTGAAATTGTTAATATGATTCATATTTGATATACATGATATGAAAATAGTTTATGCCTCCCATGGTCGTTAAATTTTGGTCTCATTTGTCACTACACTATCTATTCACATTTGTCTGCCTTCGTTTTCCTCAGCCTATAACAAGAATGAGATTTCAAGATCCAAATGTATTATTTTAAATATTAAATATCACTGGGTGTTCACAATTATGTATTTTTAACTAGGTACCTATTACTATGTTTAACGATTTTCATCAAATAATTTAAACTTGACAGAAGCCAACAAATTTCAATCATATCAACTACCTACCTAAAAAATTAAAAATAATTTGAAATGTTTACAATTTAAAAATTTGACCACATCAAGAAAGAAAATGTGTAAAAATGACAATTCCAATAAATGTCTATTCCAAATATCATAATTTTAATAAATGTTTGTTCCTAAAAAGTATGTTAACTTCAATAAATGTTCAAAATATGATTCCAATACACGTCTGTTCCAACTATTGTAATTTCAATAATTTATCTGTATCTCGAAACATAAAAGAGAAACAAAAAATGTTTGTTCAAAGTATTATTGAAATTCCAAACGTTTTCTGTTCCATCTAATGTATAATTCTGCTGCATGTAATATTCTAATAATATAATTTATTCAGGCATTGTATGTTTCTTTGATTACGTAAAACGTCTGTTACAAGTAAAATAATTCCAATAAAATATGGCAGCGGCATCCCATCGAAACGCAATCGTCATAGTCAAGTTTGTACGTGCGCGTTTATTATTATATTAATTATGTGTGTCTTTTCGTTTGCGTACGGCGGCGCTGCAGTATATATATATTTTTTTTTTATACCTATACCGTCCCGATAATATTATTGTTCGCCAAGGATCTACGACTGTGGTATAGGTATCAATCGAATTAAATACCGGCGACAGGGTGAATACAATAACGAATTACGATTTGCGATTCGTAAATGGTAACGAAATCGGTCGAGAATTTTAGAATTTCTCATTTAATTTTAAGGCGTCACGGTATAAGATAAACAGGTATGTTGTATCATCGCCATGGTTTTTATTTTTTTTTTTGATCCAATTATATTGTTTTTTCGTTTACTGCGGTTTTACTGGCGGCCATTACGCGGAAACGAGACTTCATTTTGATTGGCCCTTTAGAAAAGTGGTTGGTTGTTTTGACGTGTTATAATGCAGGCACCTACCTACCTATGCCAAATTTCTGCAGTCCATGTCCGTAGTCTGTCACGTCTGCACGAGTGATCGTATGTCGGGTTTGCGCGTACTATTCTTCCCCCTCTCTCCCGCGGGGTGTGGCGGGTCGTTTTTTGGAGTATTGTTTACTGTAATTAAATTTGAGAGCTGAATAATGCATCAGGTTACCGGAATTACAGTAAATAATTAAAAACTGGTTATCCATTGGTGAAACACCTTTGGCACATCAAACAAAAAGTTCACCAAATACTCATAGTCCGTCAAGTTGAACAACGGCGGTCAGTGTTGTTGACGAAGAATTATCGCCGGTGTCAAAATACAGGTTAGTTTATTCTATTGTCATTGTCATTGTTAATTTTAGATTAGCGGTTTTATTTATACTTATTTATACCTACTACCTACCTACCTACCTACACTAGACGCAGAGTGTAAAGCGTGTACACTATATTCACATTCATTATATACAGATAGAGACGATAGAGTAGCACTTTAAATTAATTTTGGTGTTAAAATGCTTGATTTTCGTCAACCCGTTGACGAGATATTTCGCTTTTAAGTTTAGGCTGGGGTAGAGTAGTGGAGTACCATAAAGTGTGTGGTGGCACGCGGTGTTTAATTAATGCTACACTACTCTCTCCCTACTTAAACTTAAAAGCGAAATATCTTGTCAACTGGTTGACGGAAATCAAACATTTTAACACCAAAATTAATTTAATGTAATACTCCGTCAGTGTATAGAATTTTTAATATAGTTCTCATTTGAAAAACCATAGTTGGTGTCGCCACAGGATACTCTTTAAATGTTGTGAACAATCTAAGCATTCGAAAATATCAGCTTTATTTAGACTTGAAAACTCCAAAAGTCAGAATTGGAATATATGAAAAATTTATCCAAAAAAATGGAGTGAACACGCATAGTGAATCACCCTGTATATTTTATATTCAAGGGTCTCGTGAGATATTCATTAGTCACTCGTGTAGTCTAATTTTCATAAAAAAAAAAGTAGTGTGAGTTAACAAAGTCGACTAAAATTGTAAATTATTCTTAATTCTTTAAATTAACATTATCATTATCACTGAAACACCGTTTATATCACAGTTATTCAAATATATAACCGTGGTTTATATATTGTATGGTTTATACCATGTTATACCATTGTTATACCTATTAATATTATCGTATCATGGGCGCCCGCAGGAAATTTATCAGAGGGGCATAATAAAAATACTTAAAATAAAATTATATTTGAAATTTTAAAGTCCAGAGGGGGCAAATGTCCCGCACGCCCTTGTATCATATTATGTACGTTATATGTATATAAAAATTCAATTGTTGGGATTGCATTGTTGTAATAATATACGTATTGTGGTAATTTATTAGTATCTAATAAAGTGATATCAACATTTATAATATATTTATAATATAATATTATTCATAATTTCTAGACAATATAGCACTTTTTTTCAAAGGAAATCTGACTGGGGTGGTACAGGTCATTTTTTGATTTATTCAGGAGATCAAATAAATGGGAAAAACGGGAAAATGTACGAAATGTAGGTATTATGAAAAATATTACGGCTTTTTTTTTTTTCCAGTGGACAACTTTTCTACCAGCGATTTCGCTCTGATTTACAATGATTGCAGAGTAAGTGCAGCGTGCCGTATTTACGGGCCGAACACGAAGGGTATTAATCCCTCTGCGTGGGCCATGAATAAGCAAACATTTGAAGTTATCACAATTTAAAACGTACGGCCTACCGCCGTTAAATTGTTCTATAGCCATAATTAATAACGTATTTATTATAAATTATATTGTAATGTTATGCTCACATACAACATCTAGACGACAGACAAAACCTCAATTATTGTAAAAAATCATTTTTATACTACAATGTGTAACACAAAGATCGAAGACTTAATACGAAATACCTAACTTTTGCTCTGTTCAAAATTTTTATTTTCTAGTAATAATTTCGAGAGCCTTGCTCTATGATTCCTCTGTTTTATATTTTTTAAATACTAAAAAAAAATAGAAGGATCTTAGCGCAAGACTAGAAATTATTGTTAATATTTAATTGATTACTTAGAGTCTTCTTACTTACAAAAACATGAATTATCTTAATTGATTGGGTATTTTTTTTTATATAAAAAAAACCCACCACCCTTATTTCATATGAACGCGATAACTATTTATTTTTTTTTACTCATACAGCTTAAAGTAATACATTCGTGTTACTATAGGTTAAGTACTTATGTATATATGCTGCATATAAGTAGTTTTTGTTTAATAAACATTAAAATTACTTCATTAAACATTTTTTCAAAAATTATTTTAAAACTTTAAAAATTATTTTTATAAATAAATAAAGATCCATAAAATCGGAATTTATAAATAGATTGTTTTTATAACCTATACACTATACGATTTATTATAATTTTAATCGAATACAGAATATTTAATATTTTTACCTTATACTAGTAATAAACTAACATTACCACGTTGAATAATATAATTAAATATCACAGTTTATTCACTTGGAAGTTAGGACTCACTCATCCACTGACCCACTAACCGTCACCATCCAAAAATACCTTGGGTCATGGCCCCTAAATAACGCTATCCCCACGTCACTATTATACAAATATTTGTTTTCATATTTGTATATGCTAAAAGTTATCAAATTAATATTATAGTCGTAATGGTATAATATTAGGTTGGGTTTTTTTTCCGAACGAAATTGCTTGTGCACCATAGGTGGACATTTGATTTAATTTTTAGGGGAACTATAATAATTCAATGTGAAGTGACCCGCACCGACTTCGCTCCCGAACCCCCTTCCTATACACAAGTATAATATACTACTAATAAAAATATGGATATGTTTAAATTATAATAAAAAAAAAAAAACACAAAATAACGTATACTTAAAAATCATTAATATTTTATTTTAATAACAAAAATTTGTTTTTATCAGCAAAGATATTCAAAATATCATTGCTATTAATATTTGTGGACATGTCTTTTTCAATATATAGTATAGAAAGATCGCTGAATCTATCCTGAAGCATTGATGTCCTTAGTTAAGTTTTTATTTTTCTCATTGCACTTCGTTCACAAGTAGCCGAATTGATTGGTATCGTTAATGCTATTGTAAATAGTTAATGACAAGGCTCTCAGATAAACACGTCTCGCGTATTTGTAAATTCAATGAATTCGGTTGCCGCTGATGGCGCTGGATTTGATTGTTCTTAAATAAACAGATGGTCATTGTCTATGATTTTTAATAATATTTTATTTGCGTCATTTTTTGGTTAAATATTATTTTACAATTTTCAAAAAAATTAACAGATAATTACTAAAACAAATAACAGTAATAATAACATTCCGAATGAAGTTTTGATTTTGAGGGTCAATTGAAATATTTGGGGGGCTAAGTATCCCCGAATATGCTGTGCATATTAATGAATACAAAAAAAAAAAAAGGTTAAAACGTGTTTCCTAGGGACTCTTCGTTTCTGCTGTACCTATTACAATTAACCGTTGTTGCTCGGTTAATTTTGTTTAAAAAGTACTTCCTTGCCCGTAACAACCAAATTAACTAGTAATAGGTAACTGTTTTTTTCCCTCGTGTCGCCAAAATAATAATCTATAAATTAACAATATGACTGAAAACCATGTATTAACCCCCACTGTGTCACCTTTTAGAGTCTGAATTTTAGAATAAAATGTATCCTATCCTGGATGTTAATCTAGCACATATTTTATTTGTGTGCCAAATTTCATTTAAATCAGTTTAGCCATTTCAGTGTGATTGAGTTACAATTCACAAACATATAAATTTTCACATTTATAATATTATAATTTATAACTTATAGGATAAATATGGAATGATAAATATCTAACAAATGTTTTATGATGATCATCAACTTCAACCAGCCTTCCTTTCAACTCCTAGCACGAAGAAATTAAGTTATTGACAGATTCGGTCGTCAACTTCAATAGTCACGAAATACCCTCCTCTTTTAAAATATATACTTTGTGCATCACACTACCATCTCGTTAGCACCATAAAATGATATCAATTCATAAATATTTTTGCCGGGACAATAATAAAATATTTTAAAAATATAATCTTACAAATGCTGTGTAAGAAACAACCATTGGGTAGAAATACACATCGTTTTAACTGCGTGAACACATTGGAGGGAGCATTTACTATAATCAAAAATGTGTTTTAAAATAAAACAATATAAAAAAAATTTAAAAAAATAAACCCTTCCCATGCTCGGAAAAATGAGATTCTGTGAAGTAGGACAATACCAAGATAAATGTCTTTAAATACGCCACTGTTTTTAACTCCCGACGATTTACGCTACATACAGATTTAAGCAGGGCTTGATACCATTTGAAAACTGGTAATTTCCCGGAATTTTGAGAACCTTAAACCGCTTACCGTTATTTTAAACCTATTTTTATTCCCGGTTATTGGTCATCAATCACCGTGTCGGTTGTTCATATTATAAAACGTTATAATTATTTAATATGTTTTAACCGGTTAAGAACCGATTACGGATATTTATAAATACCGAGTACCGACTACCATTATATGTGAACTATAATGTATTTAATTTTCTTTTAGTTACATAAATAATGATAAGCTCGTATGGATTTTATGATAGTTTAACATGTGGAGTGCTACGATCGATGCATAGTCGACAATTGTTTGACATAATTGACAACATTGCTCTCGTATCCGCATCGACAAATTGTATTGGTATATTTATGGCTCAATAATTTACCAGCTATTAATTGTAAATACGTCTGTCTCTGATAAGTCATGGTTACATAGGTGTAATACAATTTTTTTTAGAAAACCGGTTGGTAACCGAAATCTTTTTGAAGCGGCTATCGCTTAATCAGTAACTTGTAATCTTGAATATAGTACTGGTAATTGATTTCCGCTAACAACAGGACCGGTTTCAAAACCGGCATAACCTATTTCAAGCCCTGAATATAAGGCGTAAAATAATGTGTAGAATATCTCTATTCGTCAGCATACTTACATACTTACCTACCCAACAAGTGAAGAAGTGATCAAAACTCACATCAACTATCCTATCAAAATCAAGAAGCAAACTACTTCTGAAAAAATGTGGTTCGCTACGCCATCAGTGGATGTGCATTAATGCATTAGATTAAATAAAAACCGCACTTTAAAAATACTACATATCGAGGGCTGACTTCAACTATCACGAACATCGTCGTATTGGACGTCGGCCATTTTAAAGTAACTATAACGTTAATGAAATGCCGCTGGGTTCTCACCAGTCACAGACTCTCTGTCACCGGGACACATTATTCTGGATACCGACGTCGTCCTCGTTCTTTTGGCGTACGCCAATTTGACCTATTCTATTCGTTCATTTCTGTCACACGTTTAAAAAACTATTGATCTAACAGACAAACATATTTCGAAAATTCGGTTTTTTAAACCAAATCAAAACTGAAAGTTAGATCCCCGGATTTTTCGACTGAAACGGAAGAACGGTATTTCGCGAATTATTTGCGAACGTTCAATTCTACCATTTTATTGTTTTGTAAATTCTTCATTATTTAATCATTTAATTTTCTAGGTTATCGGTACCTATATGGTCATCTTTTGTTGTTTGAGAAACTTTCAGTGCAGGGAGTATAATGCTGTCTCGTAAAAATTGTTTTACGGGATGCTCTGTGTTTTTATACTCAAGTAGGTATTATCTTCTTTTCGATTCTTTAGACACCGGTCGAGTAAATCTGTACACCTATATACCTTACTGTACCTTTGCCTATTGACTCGAGCCGATAATAAAAATAATAAAACTTGCACCGACCTTATATGCCGGCATTTTGAACATACGTGTATAAAAAAAAAATAATTTGATGAACTCCGCCGACCCTTCGTGTTACGATCATGCGACGTACGGACAGCCGGCGGAGGTTTTATCCCGGCGGATGTATAGTGTAGCGGTGGTGAGTATAATTCAATTTTCGAGTATCGAGAAAACACCGTTTATCTTTCGCTTCCTTCTCCGAACGGCCGATCGTACCGTTATAATAATATACACCTACCTGCGCCGCGCCGCCGCCACCGCGTATTATAGTTGCGCTTTCCGCCGCACGGCGCCCGGCCGTCACGCCGTGACGTCACGGACACGCCGGCGGGGACGGCGGGCACGCGAGTGTGGCACGGGCGCGAACGTCAGCCGGCCACCGCCAGAGCACCACCGGTGATCCCCACGAGAGTACGGGCCCACATCGCCACCGCCGTCACTTCCGCCGCAGATATCGGTTGTCCCCGTGACTCGCGTGTTATTATAATAACATTATTATAGTATAATATTATGTTACACGATTATTGTATATTATTATATTAACATAATATCACTGCCGTATATTATATATAAATAAATTATAATGCGAATCGCATCGGATTATTACCCTTTTGTTAACAACGCGTCTACGGTGCCGCCGCGTATTTTCGCAGCCGCTACCGCCATCGCGGTTGCAGCTACCGTAACCCGTAACAGGGCGGCGTAACCGCAAGACGGCGTACACGGACACGGGCAGGCCGGCCGACCACATGGAGTGCAAACTGGACACCATCGGGTTCTACACCATCGACCGGCGCATCGGCAAAGGCAACTTCGCCGAGGTTCGGTTGGCCACGCACCGACTGGTCAGAAGCGAGGCAAGTGACCGCCGGCGGTACAAGGCGCGCGCGCTCTAACAAACGTGGTACCATCACTCCATCCACCCATTGACGTAACTATAAACACACAGGGACGGGCTCAGCCCCCGCAAAATCATGTCAAGCCCTATCCGAGACACCCATACACGGTTCGGACTTGTGTGCCGTATACCTATGCCTCAATTAGTTTTCAGTCTTAGGCTTTGTTTATTGTCCGGAGGCAGGAGCTCTTAGTAAGAAACCGAAAAATTAACGAATCCACTGGAAACACGCAAAATCGTGTATTATAGATTTCGATTGTTCGGTATAAAATAATTCCAACGAAAGTCCACGAAATATTATTAATAATATAATTAGCTACTATTATATATTATATAGTCGTATTATTAACTATTCTAAATTGTTTACGCCAAATACAGATTACTGTATATTTCGCTTCAAGTTTTTACGTACTCGACTTGTTGATTTGTTTTAATTAACGCATTTTAAAATTTTAATCTGTCCACAGAGCTCTTGAGTGGTAGTAGTTCTCGTGAAGTCCCAGGGCTTGACATAGTGCACATTGGGAACCGCTATAGATCATCATTATAAATATTATAATGTATACAAGATTGTCGTGTATAGGTATATTTAATGGCCTATGGGGACGTTTGATTTAATTTATGATAAGATTTTTGTTATCTTTTCTTTTTCATTGTTGGAACGAATATAACGGGTATATATATCAGGAATATCCAGTTAAGTCTAGTTAGTTTAGCTGAGATAGTTAAGTATTTACTTAACTGTTTTGTGAATTTTCACTACAATCGTCGGACGAATCGCGTTAATCCATCGTATTATTATTATTTTATGATTCGCTTGCGTAAATTCCTAACATATTGCTCGTATTGTTTCGACGGCTTAAAATCTCTTGGGTGTTCGTTGAACGTTTTTTAAATTAAACTCCCGAGATTATAATTATATATCCGGTGATATAAGTATAAGTACACCTATCGCCAGTGGTGTATCCAACATTTTTTTAGGGGGCGGTAAACACAATCTAAAATTTTACTAAATACACTACTACTACTAATAATAATAATAAAAAAAAAAACAAATAGTTAACTATTTAATGTTTTTAATGAAAATAATTTATTTATATTTTTAGTCAGTCATTAAGTTATAGTACATATATACATATTAATAAATAGTAATTTAATAATAAAAGCAGAAATTTTAGAAAATGTATACGTTCATGGATACAAATAAAGAATATAAATCTTTAAAAAAAAGTAAATAAGTAAATACAGTTAATAGAGAGGGGGGTATGGCCCCTATGCCTCCGTACATATTGATGTTACCTTACACGTATCGTACGTATATAATATATATACATATCATGTTCAAGTCGAATCGACAGGTTTGGTATAATTATTCGTCTATTCATCGTTTGACGATTTTATGTTAATAGTACAGTAGGTATATTGAATATTCTGTTAAAACCCTTGCAATTTATTCGATTCATCAATTTAATTAACACTATATAAGTTTTTAATTTACGCTTTTCAGTTAAGACATGCGGTAAACAGATTGACATGCGTATAGCTAGGTAGGTAGATACTCAAAAAACAATACGGAATGATTGAAAATCGGGTTAATCAATGAAAGTATAGATAGAAATCAAGCGAATAAAATCGATTAACCTGTATAGTCAAACGAATATAACAAATCGATTTGTTTATAATATTAGAATTTTTAATTTATTAATCAATTTAACGTTTGTTACTATTATACTTGGAAATTACTAAATAATGCACAATATTATATAGGTATTTTATACATATTATAATGATGATATCAATTCACAATATACAGTTGTTTCACGTTATAGTTTTGAGAGTAGAAAAACGAGTACTCCACACCCCTATATTCTCAAAACTAATATATATAATTTGGAAGACCCTGTATACTTATGCAATAAGACATGAGATGTAAGTGATAAGTTGTTGTGTAATATGTATTCGAGTGTTGTGCGTATATACATCGTGTGATCAAAAGTTTAGTCTATCTCGACATACTCATTTTTTAGGGGGTTTTTAGTTTACGTAATATGTTTGTTACTTAAACGTGTTTAGGTTAAAATGCGCTAATGTTATATTAAACTCTGAATTTATAATATTTTTTCATTAATGCCTTATGCCTAATGTTTAAAACTATAATATTTTTCAAATTATACATCGTGTGTCTAAAAAATTAAAAAGTAATAATAATAATGAATGATTTTTTTTTGAGATGCTGAGTTTTTAATTTTAACGTAGTAAAATTTTGTTTGTAAAACAAATTCAATACAAATTCTACGAGAAAAAATACTAAAATAAAACGCTTTGACTTTTGAACATATTGGGTGATCCATTTCTAATAAATCGGCGATTTTCTCATAGGGTTTTAAGTAAATTTGGTTACTGTTTCAAAATATATTGGCTCTTTTTGAGTTATAAATAACAAAGTACATTTAAATTTTTAGTTTTTTTTTAGATTTATGTAAATAGAATTTGTATAATTTGTGCATTTTGGGTAATAAAGCTTGAAACTTGTGACACACGGTTTGTCATAGAATGTTCTGACATGTAAAATGAAATAAGTATAAGGTTATACCAAAATGAAAGATACTTTCATAATACTTAATTGTTTAAATTTGAAGTTGAATTTTGACGAAATCCATTGTCAAAATCATGTCAAATTTAAAATCATTAGGTAATTATGTAAGTTAATAAAATTATCAATTTAAATTTAGACAAAAATTATTAGCTGTGCTCCACTCAGAAATACGGGCTAGAGTGGGCGATAAGATCACGTGACTCATCGAATATCATATGTTGAAAATGGTTAGTGTTGGACCACCAATTGTATTTTATAAAGGTAACTTGTAAAATATCCTAGTTTTAGAAATTGTACCTTAAAAACATCCTGAGAATTAGTACTATAAGTATAAACGTTTGAATTATATTATTACTTTCCGTGAAAATCGTTGAAATTGTCATGTTCGTGTTCAAATAATAAAAATAACAACACATCTAATTTTTTCCGTTGAGATAAGTTAAGCGAGACAATTTTCTGACCTCTTTATTCTGTGCATCTCTGCTTTTTTTACTTTTGATATTTCAGTGTGGAGGTATATAATTAGGGGATTTTTGTATACATGCATATGTAGGTTGAGGTCGATTATCATATGAGTATAAAGTTATAGATTTTATAAATTAAGTCACATATGAACTACATAATACGAGTACATAGTAATGAATGATTTAATTATTTCGCATATTTTTAAATTAATGTATACTTTGGTTGTTAGTGTACCTATATAAATTGTACGACGTATTTCGTATAGATGTAAGATTTTGGTTTTATTTAATTACATAGTTATTTTAGAACGGAGAATAAATATCTTTATCTTTTGATCCCAGTTGAGAAGTCAATTTTGTATAGTTTTTGATACGAACAAATCGAATTTTTTAAATGCATATATTTGTACTTAAATTAATACACTAATACAATGATTTTAAAATGCTTACACTCGTGCAATTTAGACGAGAAAACAATGATGGGGAAAAAATTACATTAGATAAAATTATATAAAAAAAAAAAAAAAAATAATAATAATAATAATACAAAAATTGTACTCATCAATCCCTTCTTTTTTAGGACTAACTATAAAATATAGATATTTATACTGAAGTTTCTATCGATTATAATAATTTTCATGGACCGCGTCCAAGATTTATTCGGAATCACGCGGATTTACATCACCGATTATTTTGCACGTAAGATGTTTGATCGAGTGACGTAAACACAACTATTTTGTTAGCTAGTTTTTGTAAATGTGGGCCTTGTGCGTATATGTACACGCACAGGAGCGCGCGCACGCGCTGCAAAACGAATTCTAAATATATAACATTATTATAACAGTACCTATTCTACGCGAAACGCCATATCGTCACTTGTGTGTATGTGAGTGTGTGTGCGCGCGTGTGTATGTGTGTGGGTTCCCGTACACATTCCAAATTTTTCGGGGAGTTTAGATTGGGGTTGTGCGGAGAGCATTTCGTTAGAACGATAAGAATGCAGTATGTTAATGTTATTTGCACGAGACAAGAGTTTTGAGAAAAGATTATATTGTCGTTATACATTATGTATCTACTTTGTAAAAATTAATGTTAAAAGGAGACGTCTTTTGGCGTCCGTATACCTTTGTATGCTACCCAAATATGAAGAAAGAATATTTTTGGGACAACAATTAATTATTGTTGCTTATTATTGTAAAATATTTTCTATAGCAACAGGCGTAATAAGGTTTTTTAGTTTTTAAATAGCTGTGATCATAATTTTGATAGAATATGTCTTATACCAAAGGCTAAAACATTGACAAAAAAAAAAAAATAAAAATCATAAATAAATCTCCTCTTAAAACGCATCATCGTTGTTAAGCTTTATTTTATATATGTATTCCGGTTGCACATGGCTGTTTCACTCATCGTTTCCAATTATGAATAAATCAATATTGGTATATTTGTATTGGAAACCAAATTTTTTTATTTGTATATTCATATTTTCTTTCTAGAAACACAAATCACGATATAGGTACAATATTGTTAATGTTTTGCGTTTAACGGTTTTTTTTTTTCTATTGCTTTTATAATATATTAAACAAATAAAAATGAACAAACCCAAAACAACATATAATACAAGTGAATACATTACATTATTTTTAATAATTGTTTATAAATTAAATGCAATAATTGGAAAGTTCCTTTTAAAAATGAATTAGTTTACGTTCACGTTAATCTTGTTAAAATGAAACTAATTTTAGCTCATTCCAGAATTGAAGAATAGGACTAGTTCCTTTCCTCATATATAAAACTGTCGAAGAAAAGCTATAAAAACGTTTTATAAATGAAATGTTATAAAAAATAAACATATGCTATATCGTTGATGTTCCTCCAAAAAATGAACGAAATTCTAATACGTTCCCATTCTTTAGGGATCCATTTCCGATAAATTGCTGAAACGAGTTCCTTAGAATTCTTTTCTTCCAAGTACTGATTACATGAAGGTTCTAAGTTGGCAGCACGCATAAGACAAACATATGAGAGTTAAAAGAGTATAGTAAGAAGAAGAGTGTTGGATGAGGAAAAGGAAAAGTGGAGAAAAACGGGTACAATGGAGAGGAATTTTATAAGAAAGTTGGGACAAGATAAGGAGATTATAGTACCTGGCGATCAACAAAGCTGGACTGGTATAATTAATTCATATTGGATGGGTATGGGGATAGGTACAGAGGATGGTCATGACAAGGATAAGAAAATATTGAATGTTCAGACGACAAGACGGGGAAACTTTTTTTGGACTTACTAAATTAGAATATTGTTAATACAAAAGGAGACGTTCGTGAGGAATGAATCAATATTCCAAAATAGGACGAACGAGGGAATGAAATATATTTTTGAGTAGAGAAAGTTGACGAAACTGTTGAGATGCACTTCAATGGGAGACATTACAGCAACTAAAGACAGTTATAAAATGAAAAAAAGGGAGAGACATAAAATTAGTTATAAATATTTATTATTTTGGAAATGTTTTAATGATTAGGTAATGATCATTAATCATGATTAATCATGACTACATGGTTACAATATAAATTAAAATACATTTAAACAATAGATTTTTTCTCCTAATTAATAAATATTATTTATAATTTACAATAATATTTATTTGACCATAAAATTGTACTTAATTTTAAATGACCGTAATTATATTAATGTTTATTTGTTTATTTAGAAATTGAATACGTTAGTGTTCACGTTTAATGTATCAAAAAAATGCATCCGCATTTTCGTTTATTTTTTTAAGGAACACTTTATTTGTTTTATGTAGTTTATTTATGATTTTAATTTATGTTTTAGTATAGCATTTGTTACAGAGTTCATTTGATGCATTATAGTAATCAATTTTCATAAACCATTATGGAAATAGGGTCCGTACAAAAATATTTGTTTTGTTTTTCGACAAAAAAAAAAGCAAACAAAACCTAAACCTAAGTAATCGTGGTTTAAAAATACAAACACTGTTTTGTTTAATTTTATCGTCCCTGTGATATGGATTCGGAATATAATTCAGATTTCCTCACACTGCTGCCATATTATATTGTACATTAAGACAATTATAGGAATTAGATATTTTGCTGCAGCTTTTTGGTTCTGACCAATGATGGGAACTTGGTATAACTAGTTTAAAAGTTAAAGTTAACAAAAAAAGTTAATTTTATCTTCATTTGTTAGTTATTTTTATTGACAATTAATCAATGTTATTCGTTTAACTTTTCATTAAACAAACTTAACTATTTTCAAATTATTTACATCTAATATTTATAAATATCCAGATATCCAGTTAAGTTAACGAGCTGAAGACTAAATGATTCAATGAACGAATCAATATTTTTCACATTCAAATAAAAACTGAATTTATTATAATTAGAAATAGGAATTTGGATTTGCACGTTCGGCATTTGCATGTCGGCATTTCAAATCTAGCTAATAGACCGAATTTTATTTTGCATATAATTGCATATTTAGAGGGTTGAGGCATATTTTGTCATTAGTGTATAATGTATATTTTATATATAATCTTGGTAAATAATCAAACTATTTAATTTCTTTATTTCAGAAATGTTTAACTAGATATTCGAGAAAAAATGTAATATTGACAACATGGTAAAGATTAGAGAATATAATCTTTTATACCGTCTTATCAATGTTGATAAATTATTAAATGATAAGCTAAATCATTAAAAATAAACTTCTTAATGTAGTAGGTTTGTAGTAGTATTCGTTTTTTTTTGGATATACCTATTATAACCAGATATAAAAATCAAATAAAAGTACATTTTAAAATTTAGGTCCTTCATTATAAAATAAAAACCCCCCTCCTTTGAAAAAATTGGTCAATGTGTATATTATTCTACGCATTTTGTCCATTGCTCATCTCCATCTGTATACATTTTTTTTTTATCCGGTTACTTATATTAATTTTTTTATAATCAACTATAAAATCTAATTATTTGAAATCATAATGTCAACTTATTTGGTTTGTGTTTTTATGATGAAAATTCTTTGAAATTTAAGTAATTTTAAGTAAACTTAAAGTATACATGTATAACTTAAGTATAAATATTTAAATTCATTTTTAAAGACAAATATTTAAATAAATAAATACAACCGTTGTTAGTCACTTATAGACGTTTGGAATACATTAGGTTGAACCATAAATATTAAAATACAAATGAATAATCAAATCATACAAAATCATAAACATGACGTATTAGCCCATTATATTTTCAAAAAAAAGAGTATAATTCCACGTACTTAACACTATTATTAAGGACATAGGAATGTGCATCAAAAAAGACTACTATCCTACGGAAAAGAGGGCGTCTGGTCACCATAGCTAATTTTTGTTAACCGATTTCAATGTTAAAAGTCTAGTGTCTAACATTTTTTTTTAAATAAAAAAATTAAGTTGTTTTTGTATTTAGTATTTACAATTGTCATTTACTCTATTCATTTTCTTGTTATGCTTGATAGTAAAATATGATTAAAAAACAAATGCAATTTAATAGTTAACTTTTTTTTTTTGTTGTACCTAGTAATTTTTGAGCATATTTTGTTATTATTGTTAGTACATATTGGGGCATGTGTTGTCCTTTTTCCTTTGCATATTTGTATCATATTTACTATATTTTAAGTGCATATAATTTCGATCTGTAGTTAAAATTTATTTTTATTTTTTAATTAGCTTGTTTGTATTATACATTGTTTAGAAAGAATAAAATCATAGAATGCAATTGAATCTACGTATATAATATGTATGCGTCCGTAAATAGGTAAATTACTTTCATTTTTAAAGAATCGTGAATGTGAATTAATTCATTTTACAACGGAATTTGAATGTTATTGATAGAATTACAAAAAAGTATAATAAAAACGTTTGAATTTTTTTTTTTACATTTTATAGGAAAAATATTTCTATACAATCTGTATATTTTTTATTTACAATATTATTAAAAGTAACTTTTTTTTATTGTATTATAAATATTGATTAATGTGAATATGGAATGCATTCTTTATGAAAATAAGGAATAATGAATGGGAATGCATTTATTTTCAAAGGAAATTTCCAGAAACTGATATTATTCTTATCTAGTTAATCTGGAAGTGTATCCTTTTATTCCACACACATACACGTATATTTTATCAAGTAAAACGAATATTATTTAATTACCTAGGTTATTATATTTTAGTATTACACAATACCATACCTAATATATTTTGTGGTTGTAAATTAGGTAAATATTATTCAAGTCTGTTTTTAAATACCTTATTTTTTATAATTTATATTTCAGAAAAGGATCATAAGTTATGAAACATAACGACTAGTATACGTTATTATTTATTAATCGTAGGTATTTTGTAAATTTATATGAGTTAGGTATAACAATAGTTATTTAAATATTTAAAAAAATAACATTTTTATAACTAATATACTCGTAATATAGTTTAAACACTTTTTACATTTTGATTTCAATAGTAATTTTATTATGGTACTAATAGTTAATATTTTCTGAGTATACGTGTAAACATATGTGTTCAATAATTGGCATAATCACAACTATTTGAATTTCCACAGGGAAACAGTCGGAAAAATAACAAAATTTGTACAATGTAGGAATGTAATGAGCTATAACTTTAGAGTCTATATAGCATGTTTAAATTCAATAAAACCTAATAATAATTATTATAATATTTGAATTGTGATACTTACCTAATAATATATTGTATTATTGAAATTAAATTGAATATGTCAATACATCTTTTATTTTTTTGATAGTTAAAAATAATTTGTAAAGTATCTATACTATATCTAGGTACTGCGTATTTTTAGATCTGTATTAACTAATAAAAACAATTGTTTTAATAACATGTAAATTACAAATATTTCAATTTGTTTAAGATATTCTTCTTTTTCTGACTAAGTAAATACAAATAAATATTATATATTTTATTTATTTATTTAGTAAGTTGATGTTAGAGTAACGGATCTTTACTTAGGATTTATTTGGAATGTTGACGTAAACCAACTGAGACACGAGTACAATATTATGTGTATGTAGGCAGCAAATATTTTTTAACCCACTATATATTTTATTTATGTGGTTTACAATTTTTTCAGAGCTAAACCACGTCAGATTGTATTATTTTTGAATAGACTTTAAACTAGGAAGGTTAAAAAAAAACATTTTTATTTTTCAAATGTACCATTTAATGAAGTAAAATTAAATTTGATCTACATTTATTAAATAATCGAACATTTTAATTTCCCGTGGACAACTTTTCTACCAGCAATTTTGTTTCAACTTTTAATGAAAGCGATTTTTTTTAATAAGAAATTTCACTGGGGAGGTACTTTAGAGAAATTATTTTTTTCGGAGTTTTCTCAGCAAATGTGAAAAACTCTGAAAAACGTAAGAAAACCGTAAACCGAAAGAAATTGGTAAAATATTAAACAAATATTATTAAAGAAAATTTATAGAGCTTACTTAATCATTTTTCTATAATATGGTATATATATTATTTACAAAGTATCACTATCAACTGAACTCCGTTAAGGATCGTTTTTTCGTAAGTAATGGTTTATCGTTGCTTACAGGTATATATTAAATTATCTATCACAGTAACTATACACGTCTCCATTATCCTAGGACAGTTTTTTTTTTTAATAGCGTTTTAAAATCAAATTTAAACGAAAATTGCAAAATAAAATGACGGCACTTCAAAGTATGTATTACTGAACTGCGCTCGGGATTGTCTTTCGTCAAGTAATGGTTTATCGTTGCTTACAGATATACATTAAGTTCCTTTCTGTACCCTACCTCCCCAACTTCTCACTTACACCCGTTCCCATTATCTTTTTTTTTTTTTAAACACTTTTGGTGAGTGAAATGTTCTGATATGTTCATCTTTTGCATTTTTAACGATGTTGAATTTCCGCCAAGTGGTAACAATAGAAACTTTTTCTTTTTGAAAATCTTCGCTTAGGTTCTATTACCACCATAGATTCTTTTTCAGCTTTTTTTTCTCGGAACACATTTTTCGGTTATGAAAAAAAATCCAATTTATATATCTTAAACAATGAGAATTTTTCTGCCAGTACTTTATTTAAAAAAAAATATCTTAGATTACTAACAGTTTTTCTATACAATTTAAAATAAATTATAACAAATGATGGTATATTCAGTTTCATATTTGTCGATTTCTGGGTTACCTTGCCTACAAGGGGAAAACGTGACTAATACTACTCCGTTTAGAATCGTGATTGATGTTATTTAGTTACTTTCAGTTTAGAAATTAAATTAATATATCTTCGTACATCCTACATCCTTCAAATTTTCCATCTTCTATACAGTGGTCTACTTATGCGTTCTTTTAACTAGATATTTATAATTGTATTTGTTTATTTTTATTTTTATTATTATTCAAATGATTAATTAAGTTCAGTATTATGAAATAATTAGGTTTTTTTAGAACTTCGTGGTAGTTCATTTTATAAACTATGAAATTACTACCTATTATGATAATTATATTTTTAAAATTATACGGCTATAATATACACGGTTTAAACCATTTATATATTTGACTCATTTTATTTGGTATTTCAGGTGGCTATAAAAATGATTGACAAAAGAAAATTGGATTCAGTTAATCTAGAAAAGGTACACCGAGAAGTAGATATCATGAAGCAGTTGGACCATCCTCATATCATCAAACTATATCAGGTTGGTTAATAAAAATAATGATTACGTTATTCTTAAAAGTTGTTAATTTTACGATTTTATTTATAGCATAAAATATATCATAAGACTATTTATAATATTTAGAGTTGAGTAATTCATTATAAAGTGTCCCACGAAGATAATATGATCATTGTAATATCATAGAAAGTGTTTATTTTATCTTATTTTTTTTTTTTCATACTTTTAGTTTTGGGATTGAAATCCTGGTTTCCTCGTTTTCTGAATTACTATACTGTAAAATAGTAGATACCTAATCAAAAAATCTAAATGAGATAACAATTTTATAGGTACAATTTTATCTCAATTTGCTTGTAGGCTTCATGGTTTATATGTTTGATGCACTAATTATATAGTTTGGGTATAAACTTTTGGATCACTATTTCTAAAACAAATGTATAAGCACTTATATTCATACACAACTAAATAATTTGATATCACTGTAAAATATATCTCTTGAATAGAATATTGAACTAGACATGATAATATAAAGAATTTATTAAGAATTAATTTTAAAAAAAATTTACCCGTTTATAATATCGTGTAATTATTTTACTTACATGCTATGTAAGTAAAGCCTTATGGCTTTATAGGTTAGGTATAGAAAACTACATCCAACAAAGAATACCAATATAAATAGTACAAAGTACGTTATTTTAACTGTGAACTTAAATGTGTTTAGTTAAATGATACTAAAAAATTGCATTACAATTAATTACATATAATTAGTATTATTTTTTTTTTTAAAAAAATGAAATCAATGTACATTTTTAATGCATTTCAGAACATAAACTTCTTTAGGCGTTTTGATGTTAATAATTATAGTTTTGAAGTAAATGCAAATTAATATATAAGATTCCATGAAAAATAATAATATAAATAAAAACATGAATTATTGTAAAGTTCATAGTTTTCATGTTTACTAATTTTAATTTTGGTTTAATGGTTTTTAGATTCCGAGCGTAGCGAAGGAGCTATTGGTTTTTACTAAGATGTTTATTTTTTTTCTTTGTTCTTTGTTCTAGTCTGTAAATACGTTTTTTCCTAGAAAATTTGCTCCGATCTTTACGTGTAGCAACTTTTCTGAAAACTCAAGTTATCTAGATTATACTTCAACCAGGTCATTTTTTGATTTTCTACGTAATTTTTTAAATAAAAGCTCTTAAGTAGCAAAAAATGTAAGAAAAAATGATTTAATCGAAAAATCACAAGACGCTTTTTTGATTTACTTTATTACGGTATCATCACCAAAACTTTTAAGTCACTTTTGTGCTTTTAAGGAATTTTAATTTTTGGGAGTTTTTTGCTGTAATTCGGTTATAAATACACGTAGAGTCTTGAAACTTGGTAATGATACTTATATTAGATTTACCTAGACGTGGTAAAATTTCCAGGTATATGTTTGATATAAATTTACACATTTTATTTTTGTTAAAATAATATATAAAATAGTAGACATATAATTATTATTATTTTAAAAAAAATAGAAATTTGGTACCTATTTTACAATTTGTTAGTGATTTGTATTTATATATGAACAATATAAAATTATATTAAAATAATTTACAGTAGGTATTACTATGTTATAGCAATATGTTTTATAGATTTAATTTATTTAAATATGTGTATAGGTTATGGAATCAAAAGATATGATCTACATAATTTCAGAATATGCCAGTCAAGGAGAAATATTTGGTGAGTACTTATATAAGTCTATTCGTCTATATAATTCATCTGCTAATATTATTTTCTAAACATTTTTAATAGTACCTATATTTTCTAAAATGGTTGAAACAGATGTTGTATTTATTATAAACATATTATATACGGTTCATATAATAATTATATCGTCATACATCGTTAAACACTTAAACAACAGGTGTATTCAACCATTCTGACCCTGTAAAAGTATTGTTTTTTTATTATGCAATCACTCGAGTATATTCATTATACCTACTTATAAATAAATAATTAACATACTGTTTTCAAATAATCCTAATTTAAATTTACATAAATAGGTATGTTGACTCTATAATATTATTAATGCATTTGGAAAACATCAGCGAAATCTTAAATGAGAACTATAAGTTATTAATGAACTGCAAAACCTTGAATGTATAAACTAAGTAAACTTATTTATCATTAATCTTTTCATATTTTCATTATAAAAACATAAAAACATGTAAATTATGACTATTTTATTTGAATTTACTATTTATAGTAGAAGTTTTATTCATGATTTCAATGGTAAGAAAATTTTAATATGGTAACATTAAAATGTATAACGGTGTATTCGAAGTTTCCTGTACTTTCAGGTCTCGTGAGGTGTAAAGAGAAATTTCCATATGGATATTTAATGGCTTCTTAAGTTAGCGTTGTGTATAAGTATATAGTTATATGATATATCTACCCAATAATTACCTAATACAAACATTACCTTCATAATACACTATAAACAACACAATGTATATTCTATTTAAACATAGATAATGAATTAATCAATTTAATTTATTAAAAATTGTAACTTGATTTATATAATAATAGATTTCTTTACGTTCAATTAGAGTTGAAAGAAATACAACCTACATGAATAAACTGAAATCTCCAGCTTTTATAGAAATATCCAATAGTGAGCTATTGATAGATACTATGGTATACTCTTAAAAACGGTATTTTTTTTAATATCTCCATATTTTGATAAAAAATGACAAATATTGACAAATATGAAGATATTAATATTATAAAATGTGCATTTGTAAAAACCCATTGAAGTTATACATTTCATTCGGAATCAATTTTTGATTGTAACACATGTTTCCTCTTTATACAATAATAATATAATAATAATAAAATAATCTACCTTGTAGATTACCCATAAAATAGCCCACTCGAAGTTGAAAGTACCTATATTTTATTATTATTCACATTTATGCACATTTTTTGGAAACATTTATTCTGTTAAAAGAAAATGTGTTATGAGACTGTTTTGTTGAAGTTAAGTTTGAAACAGAATTTTAAATATCGTGATTTAGCAAGTTGATATAGAGCGAGATTAGGTATTTGAAAGTTTCTATCAAAATTATTGTTGATCTTGAAACCAATGGATATGAGATTATTTAACGTGAGCATTTAACTGGAAATCTTGGATCGTTTTAGTACTAGGAGGTTTAGCAAGTTCACACCTTAGGTTAATTTTCTTGTGACCAGACAGAATGTATAATAACTTTATGTATGATAAGTTTGTTGAATAACAAGAGTTTGAGCTTAAAAAGTGGTCTATAATAAGTTATAAACTCGAGTTGACTGTTCTTTGCTTAAGTTTTAGATGTGAACAACAGATAAGTTCTAAGGAGTTTACTTCGGAACGTCACAGGTGAACACTGAACATTAAATGAAGAAATTAATGCATTATTATTTCCTTAAAACACTATACTGTATTTCAGTAATTCCCGTTAGTTTGTAACAGTTTTTATGTTATTAATATTTTATAAAGGGGGAAGCTTTTGAGTTTATATAAACTATACCCGGTTTAGAGAATTTGTAGATTTGATTTGATTTTAGATTCGGAGCGTAACGATACCGTTTTCATTGGTTTTAAATTTTTGTTCACGATGTTTTCTAACAGAAAATAAGTTGTACTTAGTGGTCAAAAAACAAATTTGTGTTCAATGCATTAGTTTTTTTTTTCATAAGCGTTTTAAGATCAAGTTTTCGTTAGCAATAGTTTATCTTTGCGTACAAATATCAATTAAATAACTTCATGAATTCTATCTTCCCAACTTCTCACCTAAAACAGTGGTTGCGCCTGTCCTCAGTATTAACTCTTTTTTATATTCTGAGTGGAACGAAGAAGCTTATGGTTTTACAAAGATGTTTATTTTTCTTTTCATAAACGACGTTTCTACTTAAAATCTTGCTCCGATTTACAAGTGTAGCACTCTTTCTGAAAGAAAATTGGACTGGAGAGGTAGTTAAGGTAATTTTCGATTTTCTCAGGAGTTTTCCCAACAAATGGGAAAAACTGGAAAAATTTACAAAATGTATTAATAAAATATTACGGTTTTTGAAAGCAAAAACATTTTTATTCTTACTTAGAATTAATATATTATTATGTACCAACGGTTTTTAATGAAATTTTTATGATTTTTAATTAAAAAAAAAAAGATATGGACATACTTCGCACGATGGGTGGCTACTGTTGTAGGTCGTTGGTGAGAATTTGGGAAGGTAGAGAGGAAATTTGATATACATCTGTACGCATTGATTAACCATTGATAACCAAAAACGATTCTGAGCAGAGTTCGGTTAATAGGGTTGCTTTTTAATATTTACAAATTAGGTCGTAACTTTTACGAATTTGATATTAAAATTCTCATACTACATTAAACTCAATTATTCAGATTACAGACCACAGAGTATGGCATTATAATGAACCTCCTGTTCAATTTTCTTGCATTTCTATTTGGTTTAACAATTTTATCTTCAGAGTATCCACTGAACAAAAATTACGTAAAAAAACCCTTAAAATTAAAATGTCTATAAATAGTTTAAAAATGGTTGCAATGTTTCGAAAATTTTACCTCGTCTAGAAAAGATACATTTAAGTTTCCTGTCAAAACTTCAAGTCTCTACAAATATTTTTAACTGAATCAAAATAAAATAAACCAACAATTGAAAATATAATATACATGCCATACATTTTCCCATTTTTCCTGAGTTTTTTTTGGTTTTCCTATTTATTATGAAAACAGCTGGGAAAATAAAAAAATGACTCCGCTTCGCTCAGAATCTAAAATTTCTACTAAATAGTAAACATACCAATTAATGAAAATAATCGTTAATCTAAAACATGTAATATTATTTAAATGTGTTCGATGTATATTGTGCAAATCTATTTTCTTCAGAGATGTAAATGAATTAAGGTTTCATGTACAAATGGGTTGAATAAACGAATTAACTCTGTGTAAAAAAATATGTTGTAATAATATTATTTTATATAAATCTTGTTAACTATGATTCAAGCGTTTTCGTTTTAGAATATTTTATCTCTTGATAAAGTTTACTTGGGCTTATAAGTATGAAAAATGTGTTTGATTGATCGTTGTTAATGATTGCTACCTATCAAATTTATATTTAATAATTTCTCTTCCTATTTAATGATTTATAGGCAATTTAGTATACATAATATACAACAAATATTTGAGGGGAAACAAATACTATTAAATAATGTCTATAATATTTGTTTTGTTGTATACAAATGTACTTATATTTTATAATTTTTAAAGTATTTAAAGTCAAAGCCGTAGCTGGATCAAATATTCGGGAGAAATTTAAACTAAATAATAATGTATTATTTATGTTACAAACATAATTAGCATTTATCTTGAAAATAATTAATAATACTTTTATAATAATCTGGTGGGGGGAGAGTTAACCCCCCGAAACTCCCTAAGTTATAGCCTTGTTTAAAGTGTTATCTAATTAATAAACTGTATAGATTTTATGCTATATTAACGGGCTTATAAAATGTATAATTAGTTCTTAGGTATAAATCGTATAATCTATAATACACACCATTTAATTACCTTTGGTTGTCAAAAAAATACTCATTTTTAATAAATCACTGGGCACCTATCATTTTAAAAAAATATCCATTTTCCTTAATTTTAACGATGTTTATAAGACACTTAACTGAATGTAGTACTTACGCATTTATCATTTCGCTATTATGATTACATCGTAGGTACCTACTTATCATTCTTATTTCAAGATCTTTTTACAATTTTGAATTTTTTATGAAACGATTTTAAACGTTCCACCAGTTAGTAATGGCTACGCGAAAATAAAAAAAAAATGAAAAAACAAAATAAGTAATGCTTTTAATATTTAAAATATTATTATTATATATTTATATATATATATATGTAAAGTATACACTATATAGTATATATAGTATATACATTATATATATTACTCATTTATACAATACTGGCTTTTCAAGAGAGTAGCCCACCCGTGGTGCGAAGTATATCAACCTTTTTATAATTAATATGTCTGTATATATACAGGGTGTGCCAACCCAAGTATACTATATTCGATCGGGTGCCCCAAAAACAAAATTTTTGACAATTTTTTTTTCTTTCTTAAAATCTTAGGTTTCAAACGAATTTTAAAATAAAGTTTTTATTTCAATTTATTAATCTTATAAGCTTATTTTCATTTTGGTGACATCAATAAGCGTCAATAAGGGTACACAAATGAGGTGATATATCGTATGAGAAAATCGCAAGAAATATCATGGCATAATAATTTTTAAAACAAATCTAAAAAAAACCTAGTCCTTTAAGGAGAAGGATTTTCACAGATTTTGTATCATTTAATAAAATATTAAAAAAAAATATAAATGATTTGACAAAGACGGATGGTCCGAAAATAAAGTTAATTTATTAAAGTGACTCAATTAAATATTAAGTTTATTATAATGTGAAATGAAAACTACATAATTTAGATACATACACACTGCTGCGATAAATAGTATGATACCTAACAGTTTATAAAATGAAATCTAAACGACGCTTTGAACTGCTTAAATTATTAATTATTTCATCAGGTATTACACTGACTTCCTAATGAACTATTTACTATTAATTTTATTTACTGCGTGCATGAAATAAAACAAAATGTTTGTAATATAATAGAAATAAGTAAAACAATCACGAAAACTACGAAAATTACAAAAGAATTATTTAAATTGTTAACAGAAACAAATAATATTTGATAACGATAACACGACAATATAATCATAGGGTTATAAATTATTACCAATTACTCAATCTATTTAACTCACTGAAGAAAATAACCGCTTGCGACGATGAATCTCGATCTGAGTTTACACATGATTTTTTTTTGTCAGACATTTTCGTTATCATGGTTGCCGAACTGCCCCGAATCTCCGAATTCCAAGGGAGAGGTTTTGATCCGAAGACTCCCCTGGTTGCACCATTGGCATAAACATTACGGAAAACTCTATATATAGGCATTATACATAGTATATATTATATGTATAACTTGTCAATGGATATTTTAAAAACAGAATTGATAAATCAAATATTAAATTACCTATATAGGAACCTACCATCACTCGTGTGCTGTTTTTTTATTTATTATTTATATACGTAGGTATCAATAAAAAAAGGTTAAAGTGCATGCGATATTATGCGAAACTGCCGAAAAATTACTTACTTACGAAAAACCTGTAAACTTGCTGATGTTTTTGTTTAAAATATAAAATACTTATGCAGTCAAAGTGAAAATAAAATCGCAATGTAAAAAAATAGCTGGTACTAGGAGCGGGTACTGCCATTGTTATTGATGAGTAGTTGGTAAAGTGGGATACATAAAGTTTTTTAATTTGTTCCTGTAAACAACAATAAATCATTACTAACGAGAAACGATTCGGTTACATATATGTTATGATAGAGCGTAAAATTTACGGTTTTCGTTAAAATTTGATTTTAAATCTCTTATAAAAAATTGTATCCACAGAGTACTTACTAAATAAAAATGATATAAAAACTCACAAAATTAAAATACTTATAAATAGCACAAAAATAGAACAAATGTTTTAAAAATTTTATCACGTTTAGGAAAAGCAAATATAAGTTCTCTGTCAAAATTTCAACTTTCTACGAATATTTTTAACTGAATTAAATTAAAAATAATAAAAGAATTATTTTAAAAAATGTTCCCGGTTTTTTTTTTACTTATTTTTTGGTTTTGCTCAATTATTAAAGAAACTACAAAGCAAATTTAAAAAACTCAACAAAATCGATTTCTTGTCATTTTTTAATAGAAGCAAGATTGCTGGTAGAAAACATCGTTTGCAAAACTTAAAATAATTATACTCACCAGTAATACTTTCCCGGGGAAAGGATCGAATATCACAAAGGTCAATATTCGCAGTAACACCAGGAGTGATATGTGAATGAAACTAATGTTAAAAAAAAATTACATTTAAAATAATACAATAGTATTTTCTACATCGATATAAAAAAATACCTGATAATAGGAACGGGTGCAACCACTGTTATAGGTAGGAAGTTGGAAATATACAATATAGAGGGGAATTTAATATACATCTGTAGGCAACGAATAATCATTGCTAATAAAAAGCGGTTCTGAGGGGAGTTCGGTCAATAGTATTGCTTTTTCAACAGTATCCATTTTCGAGACAACAACGATTTTTTTCAAAATTATTAAAATATTAAAATTATAACAAAATATAAAAACGGCTGCCAATGAAATGGCAACCATATTTTAAAATTTTAATCTTTGTGTAATCTAAAGAACTAGTTTTTCCTTATTATCTCGAATGTTAATAAGATATTCAAAAACTTATCTTTTAAATGTACCAATCAGAGCCGAAATGCAATAAAAAATGGTCTTTTGTCATGTTTCGATTGGTGCAAAGTTCTAGGAGAAAAGTTCTTTGCAGACAGAGAAAAAAATATCCTTCACGGTAAAACCAATAGATCGCTTCATCCAGGGTATCTAAAATATTGTGTTTTGTTGAAAAATCGTAAAAACTGGCGTAACACGTGTCGAGCCGTGCCGATACAATAATTATTGGACTTTTTCATCATCCAAATAATTTGTAAACAACGATGAAAATAATACGCGTAACGAATATATATATACATTTGTATGTATAATGTACGGGTACATATACATTGTATATGTACCCGTATTCAATTACATATTATTATACTATTATTACATGGTATACCTGTTTATCGTTATCGCGCGGGAATACGGTAGAAAAAAAAAAACTATCGGGTGAAAGTATACGGAACGCGCATTTTCGGGCGGACGGGGAGTGGCGCAAAGAAAGACCAGGAGGTGCTTTCGGTATGTTACGGGCGCGCCACCGCCGTCGGCCGTCGCTATACACCGCGGGCCGGACGGGGCGGAACAGCTGTGCAGGGGTTGGTGGTGGACACGGCGGCGTCAACTGTACATATATATATATATATGTACTGTGTGTGTGCACCGTCACAAAGGGAAGCGCGTGGAGTTTATTGATCGCGGCGCGCGAGCGGTCGCGACCGGCTTCAACGCTATGATGCCGACGCCGAAGCCGCCACCATCTACCGCGGCCGCGCGCCGCCGTCGGTCGCTTATTACGCCCTCGTCCTCTCAGCGGCGCACAATGCGTATAGTCGACCCTGTCGCCGCTGAATGGTGTACGACGGTCGTCTTCGCCGCACACACATTTCCGCCCGGTGTGTTGCGTTTTTCTCCCGCCGTGCCGTGACCGCCGGGACCCCCATCCCCACCTCATCGTCGACGTGCACCGGTCGCGTGGCGGTGGCGTGCTATGCGACACCGTCACACGCGTGCATGTGGAGCTTGGCTCTTATTCGCACCCCGTCATCTCGGTCTCGTTATTAAGATTTTCTTTGTTTTTTTTTCGTCAAAATACAACAATATTGTTTTATTATTACTGTTACATTAACTGCGTATACTATTACTACCTATTTATAATTTTGCGTAAAATCAAGACGAAATATCGAAAAATCATAGGCGCCCGGAAATCGATCTGGGGTGGGGGGAGGCAAGTTTTTTAAAACGGTAATTAGCATAGGCACAATCACAAATGCATTTATGTTTGCGAAAAGCCATTTGGGGGGAGGGATGACAATAAACTTAATCCATATTGTAGGTAGACACTTTACAAAACAAAAACAGTTATTTGAATACGTTGATTTAATATCGATGCTATGCATATTAATAATGAAAAAAATAAACAAAAATTGTACTTAAAAAAAATAAATTTTTTAACGATACACAAAATGTAATATGTACCTAATATTATGTTATAGTCTGTATCACGAAGATTTGACACTTGAAATAACTTTTGATCTGTTCAATAATTTTAAATTTGTGTTTCTTGTAATAATTACTATAAAACGCTTCGCTATGATTTCTATATTTGTATATATTTTTTTGAAAAATAAAAATAAAAATTGTTTATACGAAATTCAAGATATTATAGTTTTATAAATGTTCTTTTTTAAAACAAAATTCTGATGTTACAAATATTTACAATGATGAATTGTTAGTTTTCTTCAGTTTTTTTAAGTTTACGATAGTTTAAATTGTTTTCATTTTCGCTGTACGTCTGTACTAAATATCAATTGATTCACCATCAATTGATAGTTTTTGTAAAATTCAAAAAAACTGTAAAAACTTAACGATTCACCATTATACGGTAAATATTTGTAACCCCAACATTTTGTTTCATTTCGTATTATTTTAATATTGAATTTTCAGGTTTTAAAAGAAAAATATATATACGTAACTATAGAAGAATAATTTTATAATTACTATAGCGTAAGGCTCTAAAAATTATTACTAGAAAACTTATAAATATTTAACAGAAGTGGTTTCGAGTGTCAGATCCTTGTGTTACACCCTGTATGTCATATATACTGTTTGTACGAGTTTCATAGTTTCGTCATAATATATCTGACGAATTCCTACTGTAACGTGAAAAACGTTTATCACCTTTTTTTTTTCAATGCTATAATATATATTCGTATTATTTTTTACTATCTTTCTTCGTGTTCATTTTCCGCCGAGTTTCTCGTATTGTAGTATTACGCGTGTGTTTCGAAATACTTCCGGGTCAATATAATAGGGGATTGTTTTGGCACCCGGTATAGGTAGTGCAGGTCGATGAAAGATGGGGGCCCACACCCAACCGTCGACCGTATATATGAATTCTGTTGAGTTCGGAGTAAAACAAATACGAATGCGTTTAAAGATTTTTCAGTATCTTGACTTTACTATTAACATTATTCGAATTTTTTATTATTATTATTTGGTTTTTTTTTTTTTTTTTTTTTTTGTAAATAAACGATTGATTGCTCTCCTCGGTTGTTGGTTTCGAAACCGTTTATTCGAACTATTCTCTGTGCACAAAAAAAAAAAAAACAAAATAATTGTAATTATTTTAGTACGAGTACGTTTTTTGTATATAGGTAATGGGTACTAAAATTGAGTACAATAACCGTAATATTTTGAATTCGGAATAAAACGATGATGCAGTTCTTGGTTCGACAATATAATGATGCGTTCCCCCCCCCTCTCGTTAATCATTCCCCTATTTTGGTATACCGATGTGAACTCCGCGGACACACTAACAAAATATACTTTTTTTTTTGAATTTATTTAACAATTAACATTTTCAATATTTGGTAGGTAGTATATTAGTATTTTATGTAGATAATTTTTTACCTATCTAAAAATAAATACGATAAAAAAAAAACATATTATATATTATTCATAATATATTTTATTTTCTATTAGTTTCGATACTAATTCGAACGAAAATTATTATAACAAAGATTTTTTTTTTTTAAGGTGAATTGTTCGAAGGGCACTACAACTAAATAATACATTTAATTTCAGAATAATATTAATTTAATGTTTTATTCAAACACGCAAACATAATAATATAATAATACGACGTTTTAAAATCCAATTTGTCATTGTGACTTATACCGTTTATAGTATATTGCAGCTTTGGATCATATAATATATATTTATAGTTGAAGTTATTTTTAATTTGAAGAATAATTTCATATTTTTAAAACAATTTATTAAAAAAAAAAAAAAAGATAGATAGTTTGCATTGTTTTTAAAGTTTGAACAAAATTGATATTTTACACATCTATGCACACACGTAATTACATATATTCACATATAGGTATCTTTGATCCCAGGGAAAAGGGCCGAAGTCAAATTTATATAGTTTTCAATACAAACAAATTCAATTTTAATAATACACTTATTCATAAACTATTAGGCACACTAATACATTGCGTACACTAATTTTGAAAATACATACACTTTAGACCAAAACATTAAGGGGAAACAATTAAAAATCAAATAAAACAATTAATAAAACCATAAAACGGACATACTTTGCACGATGGGTGGGCTACTGTTGAAGGTGAGAAGTTGGGAAGGTAAGATATAGAGGGGGATTTAATTTATATCTGTATGCAACAATAAACCATTGCTAACGAAAAACGATTCGGAGCAAAGTTCTTTTGTATATGTACGTACATTTTTCTGGTTTTTCTCAATTATTATGAAAACTGTTTGGAAAATCAAAAAATAAAGACTTAAAAATACCAACTAAATGAAATTTCCTTAGGTGCTACACCTGATATATTAGTTAGAAAAAAATAAACATCAATATAAAATCAATACACTCCTTGCTCCACCCATAATCCAAAAAAAAAAAAAATAAACATCACTGTAAAACCCATATATTCTTCGCTACGCTCCGAATTTAAAAAATTACATTTATTTGAGTTCTTCTCCCCTGGGACCTAAGATATATACTCGTACCTGTAACACATAGTAATTCGAAAGAGTTTAATTTTGTTATCTCTTTAGATTACATCGCCAAGTACGGTCGGATGACCGAAGCAGCCGCAAGGAAGAAGTTTTGGCAAATACTCTCGGCCGTCGAATATTGCCACAACAGACACATCGTTCATAGAGACTTAAAAGTAGACAATTATTTTACGCTATTTAATATACCTACAACTATACTAAATGGTATTCGTATAATATTTTTGTTGGATTATTTTTTTTTTTATAGGCGGAGAATTTGCTACTTGACGCTAATATGAACATTAAAATTGCCGACTTTGGATTTAGTAATTATTTTACGCCCGGTGAACAGTTGGCCACTTGGTGCGGATCTCCTCCTTACGCTGCGCCGGAAGTTTTCGAGGGCAAAAAATATTACGGTCCGGAAATCGATGTTTGGGTATGAATTCTTCAGTTTATAACATATGCAAAAAATATAATAATAATTATTAAACTATACTGTACAATAACTATTTTGATGATATCTATATGAATGATTGCGGGGAAAAACGGTCAAATAGTCAATATGTAAGATTATACTACTATACAGAAACTGATCACTCTCCTCCCTTTGCTCGGTCTGCATATGAAGCATAGATCTTTTACCCAACTGGATTCATGCATCAATTCGTTTAGGAACAAACCGCGAACAAATGTAACTGAAAATGAAGATAGTTTATTTTGACGACCGATTGACTGTAATCGTTTTTCCCAGCAACCCATCATAATATATTATATATATTATATCAGTGGTGACCAAATACGGCCAGCGATCATTTATTAATCGGTCCAATAAAGTATTTAATCAAAATTGAAAAAAAATAACTTCAAATTTCAAAAATGAACGCTCATATTAAAAAAAGATATGTATAAATTTTATATTTTTTTTATCATTTATAACAATCAATACAATATAATAATTAAACATATCACTATTCCTATATTTAGAAGTATCTACTATAAAATATACTATTCTATTAACTTAGAAGTAAAAGTTTTAATTCTTGGTCCACTAAGAAGTATTATTTGTTTTTTATGGCCCTCTGTAAACAAAACTTGGTCACTGCTGCATTTTACCATAATATTAAGATTCATTTTTTTTCGTTTACACTCAATTTTCCAGAGTATGGGAGTAGTGTTGTATGTATTGGTATGCGGAGCACTGCCATTTGACGGAAGCACATTGCATTCGCTAAGAGACAGAGTCTTGTCCGGAAGATTTCGTATACCGTACTTTATGAGCACGGGTAAGAAACGATAATATAAGTAAATTGTATTTAATGACACATAACATCTCTTCGTTCTGTTCCGTTTAAATCTTTAGTTTTTGTTATTTTTTTGCGATCCGTTAACTTAGATCCGTTTTATGATTACAATTGTGGCGTGACGAAAACGTCAATAAATAATAATATGATACTGCCGCGTAGTAATTGTAGGTTGTATAGCCGTTAAAAGTACGCTTTATTTTAAAACTTTTCGATTAAGATGTTGAAAAATTCACGGATCAAATATTATATGTTAATGTATTTTGCAAGTATTCTCGAAACGGTTACGCAAATCGTTGTTTTTTAAAACCTATATAATTTATTGTTTCAATATTGTCTTTAATAAATTTAAAATTATAGGCAACTTATTACCTATAGAGTTACGATCTGTTTCACATATTCATTACTCGTTAAAAAACCTAGCCTATGATATTTTAATATTATCATCTCGTATCAAAATAATATTCATCGTATAACGAATAATATTGTATATTAAAATAATTGTACTGCGGGCGTCTATCGTTTTAATTAAAGATTTTGGTATCCTCAAAAAATGTATTAAAATACATTGGAGTGTGTTTTCGTATATTAATATTATACCGACGTAATTTAAATAGGTAGGTAGTTAAACGGTTTCATGTGAACATGAATTGTAAATTGATAGTTATAAATTAACAAGTATAGCTACCTAGCTATGATAGGTATACGCATTGATTATACAAACGCGAAGTTTTCACGATTGTTTAGCTCTAATTTTAGTTTATGTATTGATTTTTATAACCAGTAATGGATCTAAGGTAGAAGACGGGGCTTAATAGTATTTGTTATTTTTAATATTATTATTTTTTTTTTTTGTAATTCAGTTAGTAACAATTGAAAAAGCCTGGAATATTCACCGAATATTTGTGTTAGCCCTTGTATTAACGCGATCAAATTGTTTAAACTTTCTGTCAATTATTTAGCTATTTATAGTCTTTTAAAATCTTTGATTTTTTTTTTTTTTAGTTTTCATTTGATTTTGTTTGGAAACTTATTTTTTTTTCTGGCTTCTTAAAAATACTCGACAATTTAATATACAATTCATCATAATAGTTGTTTTGTAAATATCTGTAGTAATGATTTTTTTTTAATAAACGTTTAACGTTCAAATTTTAATGAAAATCGTGAAATCGTGAAATTTGGCGTACTATTTTCCGGACTATGAAGCGAAAAATGATCGAAAATCAGTAGCGAAAAAAGAAATTAAAATTGTTTGGATAAGATAAAAATCGTAAAAATCAAGGCATTTTGGTATATTCTGATCCATTTTAGGTATATTTTTGATTGGCATTTACCTAAAGCCTAAATATATTGACAGTACAACGACAGTAAATAATATTTCGACAAAAAGTAGGTATTTCGTGTCAAACCAAAAAAAAGTTGTGATTTAATTTTTTTTCTTCTTATCAATATCGATAAGTATAAAATCCGTTAATATTTTCTATAAACACTGCGGTGTGTAGAACGTAAACATGTTATATAACATTTGAGTTGTGAATATATTGTATTTATAAGAGATGACGATAAAACCATCATAGTATGAATGAAATGCACCCTGTATATAAGCTCTCCACGGTGTTTATTTACACCCGCATATCGTGAGATTCAGGTATATATGTTTATATTTTTGAAGAGAGTGATGTTTGCGTTTTGAATAATATACATCGATAAATCCACAATTTTATTGACAGCGTAGGTATAGTTCTTAAATAAACGTTTTCTACAAACTACTTTTGAAATATTAATAATCCGCAATATTATCAAAACCCTCATCTGTTGAACGTTAGCGTATCGACGGTGTTAGGGATTTTTATTTCTATTAATATATACGAGTATATATATATAAAAAGGGTTTATTATAATTCAAGTGGCGTGCATATATTGACGGCAACGGCCTCATCGTAGGAGCATATCGAAAAGAAACGCCGTGCGTCAAATTTAACGATTACGATGACGTAAACGCGTATCGGTCCGTCGTAAATTTTCAAACACAAGAATCCAGTCGTTACGCCAGGTTTTATTACTATTTTTTTTTTCGCTCACTGCGTCGGGTCTCCCCGCGTGGTATGACGCACGTGCAATGACGTCACTATGTACAGACCGACCGGCGGCTTAACGATCAATTTTACGCTATATGCGTATACTGTCGGCGGCTCTTATTGCCGGCACGGAAAAAGACCACTAAATATTTCAACAGGCAAATAAAAGACGGGGTATTTTAATAAAATAAAAAAAAAAATTGCCCTAACCGAATTTGGCGAATTTGTTTGTACAGGTTGTGAATCTTTACTGCGGAAAATGCTTATATTGGACCCGAATAAGAGGTACACCGTCGAACAGATCAAAAGGCATCCGTGGATGTTAGAAGAAGCGCCGAGGTTACTGCCGGGCACCATAGCGGAAATGCCGGCTGAACCCAACGATCATGTGTTGAAATTCATGAACAGTTTGGAAATAAATACAATCAGAACAAGACAGGTAAACCCATAAGAATATTAAGGTTTATTTCGTTGAACATAATATAATGCATACTATACAGTGTCGTTGTGTTAACTCTTTTCGGGCATTAAATCAATTTCAAATTTGAAATAATCTTCAATATTGTCGTATTGGTTTCAGTCGCTGAGGAACCGGACGTACGATCATTACGCGGCTATTTATTACTTACTGTTGGAGAAACTCAAACAACAAAAGTCTCAGGAGAACAGTATCCAATATTTACAAGAGCGTTGCAGATTGCAATCGTCAGAAAAACTGTTCCCGTCGTCCGTGTCGTACGAACCGCAAATGTTCATGGGACACTCGAGTCCCAACAAGAGAGCGTCGATCGACTGTCCGGCCGGAGGAAACCAGTACCTACCGGACCTGTGGACCAAACAGCCAAAAACTGGTGGCGCTGTGCAGCTGAACAGCCATCATCATCTGCCGTCCAACCGGCCGCGGTCGTACAGCCAAGGCCGCGCCGTGCAGCATTCCGTCAATTTGGCCGATCTCAAATCACAGCAGCACCCGCCGTTTAGAGAACTGCCCCAGCTTCCCAAGTTCAAAGGGAAACCAGAAAAAGTCCCCGCGATCGAAATGGTCTCCAGCAACGTGCACATCGATGAAATACCGAAAATCTGCTACCATACCCGGTTGGACCACACGGCCATGATCGCGCCACAGTATTCCACGTCGACGGACGAGGGTATCGAGCCCGATCTGGACGATGCGGTCGCTTCATCCAGTCCCACGCAATTGTCGCAGCGGTTGTCGTACCCTCCGCTGTCTGTTGTTCCGGTTATAAAGAGCCATAGCCAAAATCTGATGATGGATCTGCCGTGTGAAATACGAAACTTGCAATACGAATCGGATTTAGTGTCTAGTCTACCGTCGTGTACAGCTAACGAGACCGCGATGAAGTACCCGGACAGTGTGGTAATGGTGAACGTAGTCTCAGCGATGAACAATTCTTGTCAGCAGCAGCAGCAGCAGCAGCAGCAGCAGCATCATCAGCATCAGCCACAACAGTCGCAGCTAGCACCGTCTTCGTGGGACAGGCGCGCTGCGTTCCTGGCGCACAACCAGTGTATCGGCGACGGTGGCGTGCGATCGCGGCCCGAAAACATGTCTCCACCCGTCAGTTTCCGAGAGGGCAGACGGGCGTCCGACGGACTGATGAACCAGATCGATTCCGGGACGGGGATGCACCAGATACCACCGTCGTCGCCCAGGTCACCGCAGCAACAACACCATCACTACCATCATCTGCAGCAGCAACAGCAACAACAGCAGCAGCAACTGCAACATCAGCAGCAACAGCAACAGCAGCAGCAACAGCAGCAGCAGCAACAGCAGTACAATAACCGGATTGCGTTCAACAACCATCAAAAGCTACAAGATTACGACAAAACAAATAAGGCCTTGGCGGAGCTGCACATGGTCCAGAAGGAGCACGAGACACTCAGAATACTGTATCAGACCTGTTTGCCGAACGACGAACAAGTACGAAATCATTCGATGGTAGTGATAATGGTTGCTGTCGATTCGGCTTCTGCACTCAAGAGGACGTCGTACCCGCATGTGCTATTTCCGTCATACGTGACATAGAAAATTTTTATCCAGCAGGGACAACTCTGCACTGTTAATTTAGATAATGAATTGGCCTATTATCAAACTTAAGGATGTATACATTATTTGTGTTGTCTCGTTGTTTTTTTCATTGCTCTAATTTTTATGCGAGCTATTATCATTTAATCGTGATATTTCAAACGATATCATATCTTTGAGTGTGATAATAAACCAATCACTCCAATTTTAAAATTAACAGCACAGAGCTGTCCCTGCTGAACAAAAATTTGCCATGTCACGCCGTTTTATGACGGAGACGGCAAATGCGAGTATGACGTCCTCTTAACGGTTATTTTGTTACAGGCAACGCAGCAAATAAGGCACAGCGAGTACCGTAAGGATATGCCGCCCAAGTCGCCGTCAGCCGCTATTGCCAAGCGGTTCAACTACTTGGAAAGTTACGGACAGCTGGACAAGGCCGGGCTTCAGCAGCAGCTGTTGCACCAGCGACTGCTTCAGCATAAGCGCAACGTGCTGCAGAAACAGGGGACGACGTTCAGCCAATGCAACGTGACCGGCTCGGCGGCGGCCGTGACCACGTCCGACTCATCGCCGGTCAAGCGTCAGCAGCACCACCACGCGCACCGGCAGCTGTTATACAACAAAACAGTTCCACTGTCGCCTCAGCATAGCGTCGACAGCCACGTGCAGGCTCCACAACTACAGTCGGACGGTAGCTGGCAATCGTTACCGCACACCATGGCCACGTGTCAGATCAACGATTTTGACAATCAGGCCAATTGGCTTTCGGTGCCCGACCCGCAACACCACTGGTATTGTACGTCCGGACAACAGTACAGTTTCTCCAAAAATTATTCGCAGGTAAGCGTTTTTATATAATTTTCTTAGACGAGATTCGTCTCATCTGCGCATTTGTCTCGTTAGGTTATTAGGTTTATATTGAAAATATACAAGGCAATTCGTTTATCGATGCACACTCACTCATATAAAAAAGAATCGACTTTTTAAAAACAAATTTTTTTGTTTTTTTTTTTAAATTTCTGAAACAATAGTAGCTCTAAAATATTATATTTCTATTATTTTTTGTCATCCTTATTTTTGGGGGTAACACGACCACTTTTTTCGATTTTCAAATGACAACCTATATTAAAATATTCATAAATAGATGGAGTATTAGTTGCATTATTAGTAAATGCATTTTAATGTTGACATTTATTATTTCTGCCAATCCTTTGGCAAGATATTCCACTTCTAGGTTTGGGTCGGGGTAGAGTAGCGGTGCATTATTTAAACGCCGTGCCGTGCTACCACACAAATGATACTCCACTACCCTCCCCCGACCCAACCCTAAAAGTGAAATATCTCGTCAACGGACTGACGGAAATCAAACATGTTAGCACCAAAATGTACTTTAACTAATATTAATACTAATAGCAATTTATGGGATTTTTAATATAGGTTACGTTTTTATCGTTCGTAATTTTTGATTTTTGAGTTGATTTAAGATGATTTAGAACACCCGACAAATTTGGAAGTTAATAAATAGATGGCTATTACAAGCGTGAATGCTGAAATATCTACATATAATATAGGTACTATAGGTACTAATACTATAGGTAGTCATAAAGAGTAAAAAGGAAATTAAATTTATTACATTTTTTTTTAATTTATGCGAATTTTTAAACAATTATGATTGCTGATAACAAAATATGAACTTATTGAAGTTGATTACAATGATGATAACTGACAGAAAAATGAATAGGTAAGCCGTGTTTCAGAAAGTTTTGTTAATAGTTTTTGGTGCAACAAATTTTCTTTTTGCTTAAGTTAAATGATACAGTATCGCTACTTAGCATTGAGTCGAACGTAATTATTACTTAATAAGGAAAGATTTAAATACCTGTTACGTTTGTGCAAATTAATATTAATTTTATAAATTATATTTTGATTTCCGTATAGCTGATATATTCGGGTCAGGTTAGAGTGGAGTTTTAAATTTTTAAAATTTAAAATTATTTATTGTAAAATACCCACGTTAGGTTCACTGTTGTAGCAAATCATACCTAAACAAATATTCTATAATACAAATACATTTTTTTTTTCTTAGAAACTAGTTAGGTAAGTTTGATACACCTGAAAATAACCCCGTCAAATGATTTTCGAGTAACGTAGTACGACGATTAAGAACGTATAATATTTTATGACAGTTTAACGAATATTATTATTGTTTGTCTTCCGCCTCGAGTGGTCAAGTCGTTTGTTGGACAAACCGTTTAAACTGTAAAATTTGAGGTGTATACAAATTACAGGTGTACATTTTTTAAATATATAATGATTTGAAATAAAACCGGGTCATTTTTTCATGAACGATAAAATAAATTGATGCACTTCTCAGTTTGGTCAGGACGCGTATGCAGTAGAATCGACTGTTATGGACGATTTTGAGGAAATGGGCATGCTATTAAAATATAGCATCTACTACAAAAACTAAAAAACGTTATCTAGAATTTTTTTCGGACGAGACACCTAACTACTATCCTGTACAGTATTTCTAAAAATCGAATCAAACTGAACGGGAATACTAGTTCGAAATATATGTCTCTTGATATTTATTTGTTATAATTCGTATGGATAATATTAACGGGAACTTAAATAATTTTCAACGATTTTGTTTTATACAAATGATATTTTATTATTTTTAATTGCTATAATATGTGTAGGGTTTCGATTGACATTTAATAGGTATTGTATAGATAAATTGTTCAAGTATCTTTATAATATTATGAAATTTCTATTAAACAGACAGGATGATACAACAAAAATAAATAATAATAACACTTAAAAGCGATCATGTTTAAAATAATTATAATCATATAATTCTAATAATAGATACATTAATACATAATAATATTATCGTTCAATTTCTTTTTTTTTATTAAAATTAAGTTTGCATTACCAATTTTATAAACTATTTACACTGTTAATCTAGGAATTTAAAAATACTCAGACGTTTTCAATATCTATAACATATATAGTTGAGTATTAGTGTTATCTTTTTCAATTACACCATTATACATTTATTTTTCATTTTTTTGAGTAGGTATAATTTTCTTTAAATTCAATTTTCTTAACAAAACTCATTACAATCTGATTTGTTTATAGTTTAATTTAAATTAGATAATTGAAAGAAATTGCCTTTTTTTTTCCGGTTAACCAACAGCAGTGGCGTTTCTGTGTTAACATTACTACACCTCAAAAAACCTACCTACCTAACTTTTAAATGAATGCAGAAGTTGAAAAAAAAGAATTGATAATGGGGATGGAAGCGGCTATAGTTGTAGATGAGAAGTTGGGAAGGTAGGATATATATATAAGGTTATTTCATTTATATCTATGAGCAACGATAAACCATTGCTTGACGAAAGACGATTTCAAGGGGAGTTCGGTAATACATAATTTGAAGTGACGTAATTTTTTTTTTTGCGATTTTCGTTTAAATTTGATTTCAAAACGCTTATTAAAAAATAAAAGTCATCCGATGATTTTGGAAATTTTACCACGTCTAGATAAGTCCAATATAAGTATTAATATCAAGTTTCAAGTCTCTACGTGTATTTATAACCGATTTACAGCAAAAAAAAACTCTCAATAATTAAAATTCCTTAAAAGCTCAAAAGTGGCTCAAAAGTTTTGACGATGACACCGTAAGAAGGTAAATCAAAAAAGCGACACTAAATGTGTCTTGTGATTTTTCGATTAAATAATTTTTTCTGGTAGAAAACGTCGTCCGTGTTTTTATAACATAATGAAATCGTGAAACTGTACGTTCTCTTACGTTTTTTCCCACTTAAGTGCTTTTATTTAAAATTAGCGTGAAAAACCAAAAAAATTGCCTGTTTAAAGTACAATCTAGACAACTCGAGCTTTCAGAAAAGTTGCTACACGTAAATATCGGAACGAGTTTTCTAGGAAAAACCGTGTCTACAGACTAGAACAAAGAAATAAACCAATAGTTCCCCCTCGCTTCTCTTGGAATCTAAAAATGATTTCTCGCAAAACATAAAAATGTATATTTTATCCGTGAAAATAAAATTATAATATTGTCAAATTTTAATGTTTTCTGATTAAAATGTACGAATAGGTTAGTCCAAAAATCAGCTTTCTGATATAGGAATTATTAGTGTACGAGTATATTATAATTAAATATTATACAAATCTACTTGGTAATTTTTTTTCATTCGTATAACAACAATAACATAATAACATTAATAAATAATATTATAAGTAAAATTAACAACAAAACGTTATTAATTAGTAATCAGATAATGTATACTATATTATATACATTATATAATATACATATTAGCAATTATGTATATAATAGGTATATACGCATATAATATAATAGTATAATATGCTATTTATCTATTTTTAAATACAGTTTTCTTTTTATCATGTATTCATTATTTAATATGGCGGGAATGAATAACCTTGACCGAATTTGTATTATAATGATCATCATAATTACTTGTACAAATACAGCCTTTGTATACAGAGTGTATGACAGTGTTTTGCATTGTCATTAAGTTTAAAATATAATTGTATCTACATTTGAACAAATGATTATACTATATAATATAAAGCATAAAAATATATTAATTATATACTATAAAATAAAACAGTAATAATTTACATTCGATTGACTGCTCGATAATACACGATGTTACCGTATCACGTGTATTTGCATTCATAATTTAAAATGCTTGTTAAAGTCTTAACATGTTCGATTCTGTTTTAAATAAAATATATGCCTAATTTCAAACTAGAGTATTTTTACTATTTTACACGTAAAATTTAAATCGATCAATTAATTCATATACAAATAGCATAGCTAATCTTAATACACGCTATAATATTACAATGCAATCGTATACAATAATTAAACATTTGAACAAAACATACTATGTTTTCCAATTTGAATAATAATTATGGGGTAGCCTTTTATTTAAAAGTAGAACCCGAAGACACTTGTTTTATTTAGGTATGTTTAGGTTTTATATAACTACATAAAGTAATGCCAATGAATATTACGTGGAATATAAAATATAACTTATACAAAAGAATACATTTTTTTTTTTAAATAACGAACATCATCTTACAATGGTTGCCAGTGCCTATACAATCATTTAATTCCTGAGATATATTTTATTTTTATTGTATGTATAGTTTAAATCAGAACTTCTATTTTAATAAGTCGATTTTTTCACTATACGGCCTGATAATAAGGTTTAATATAAATATCAGGGCTGCTTAAATTCAAAACTTAGTCTAAAATTGCTGCTGAAACTGGACAAATAGCAGTGTTAACTAACTAAAATTTTGTTGAATTACTTATCAATAAAAAAAATTCAATGATACATGTTGTCTTCTCTCTCACCCCCTCCCTCACAGGAGTTTTTGAGTGTCTTATAATCACAGTGATTTTTTATCCAAATTTATTCATATAATATATACTAATTATAAGGTGTTCCATGCATAGGTGACGCTGGTTTTAAAAATGTAAATAGCGATGTTATTATCAACTAGACGAGAATGAATTGCCCAGATGATTTAATATTTTCAACTGAATCCGTTATTTTGAATTTTTTGATAAACCTCAGAAACTTTTGATTTGTTAAGTGTATAATTTCGACCCAGGATATCACTCCCTTACGGTTTTCATATAACTCTACTGTCATCATATTTTTAATGCGTCTTTACTGCTAAAACTAGCAAAAAATTCGATGTTATATTTCGATGTTTCGAAGAAAATATCAATATTTTATCCCAATGTTTTGAAATTTTTGTATTTATATTTTAAATTCAAATTTCATAGCGAAGTGATTATCTATGATATTACTATGATGTATGCTCACTAACTTCGTGTTTCGTGTATAGTTTACTTTTACAAACATTTTGATTTGTCGAACCATACTTTTGATATCACATAATCATACCATTCTTACTTAACCAGTAACCACACGAAACCGTGAAATTGAAGTAGTTCAAGTGTTTCGTCGTGCGTTGGAACTAAATGTTCGATATATTTTAATCTATTTAAATAATCATTTATTAAACAATATAAATACAAGTATTCTGTAAGACATTTTGTTTTATCTACCTACTGTAAGCAAAGCTTGTGTTGAAGATAGAGAGTTTTTTTCTTATTGTCAAAACACTAAATACAGAGTGATCCGTTTAAGTGGGTACACTCATTATCTCCGAAAGTATTAACTTTTTTTCGGAATTTGTGTTACAGAACATTTAAGAAACAAGCAGCCATACAATTTTACATTTATATTATTTTTTTCCTTTTTTTTTTTTGGAGGTAAAATATTTAAAAACTCCATAAATAGATGAATTATTAGTTAAAATAAATTTTGGTGCTGAAATGTTTGATTTCCGTCAATCCGTTAACCAGATATTCCACTTTTAAGTATATGGATCAAGGGAGAGTAATGGGCGCATTATTAAACTTCGTGTGCCGTGTCGCCACACTAATGATGCTCACTAATCTCTATACCGACCCAAAGTTAAAAATTATTTTAGATTCTGAGCGGAGCAAGGAATTTATCGGTTTTATAATGATGTTTAATTTTTTTTTTTATCTGGGAACAACTTTTCTACTAGCAATTTTTAAGTGTAGAACTTTTTCTGAAAGGAAATCTGACTGAGCTGGTACTTTAGAGAAGTAATTTTTGATTTTCCTAGAGGTTTTCATAATAAACGGGAAAACCAAAAAAAACGGAAAAATGTATTATTTCCAAATTGCAAATTTAAGGTCTTTCAAAACATGTATAATCGAATTCTACTCAGAATCGTTAGCAATGGTTAATCGTAGCGTACAGATATATATTCAATTTCTCCTCTATCTTCCCAACTTCTCACCTATAACAGTGGCCCAATACTATGTTTTTTGTACTTATTTTAATTCGCTGTCTATTTGTTATGATCAATAATTTATCATTTCATACAATACCTGTATTAAACTAAATTTACCTGTATAATATTTTACCTTCCCAATTACCCTCCTATATTAGTGGCGTATCGTTAAACAGTAGGTGTATAAACTTTTTATTTATTATTTATTTTTTAATAGGTAAGTAGAAAATAGTTTAAATTTAAAGATTTAGTTTTTTTTTTTTTTAATTTTTTGTATCACGCATGACACGTGTTAACCAGAAATTATTTATAAAACGCCGCAATTTATAAATAATTACCTATATTGTTGGTATAATTACACAAATTTCACAAATAATGAGAATTTAACATAGTATACATGTTATCGATTGTTTTTAGTTTTTTTTTCTTTAATATTGGGTCAAACTAAATATTAAAGCGAAGGCGTGAGTTGGAAGGCCATTAAGTTCTAGAAAATTATTATATACACAACTTAAATAGAGAACGAACACATTAAACCGTGGGTGTTATTTTCAAACGCGCGGTTTTGTATTCTTTAGCGGTTACACATTTTACTGCAACCTTAACATAAATACAATATATTCGCTCGTAAAACATTTTACACGATCCATCATTGTTATTATTAGGCACTATATATGTATTTGTACAGGGTGTAATGACTTTATCTATGTACGGTATATTATAGTTATTATAAAATAATGGTAGGTATTGTGGTATATAATCTATAAGAATTTGTCGTTGAAAAAAAAAATCAAAAAACCATTTTAATACAATAAAATATTATGTACCTTTAGTTAATTATTCGAAAAACCAAGTGGTCGGGGAGGAGATGATTTAATCTAACTGTATCAATTGTTTAAGTTAAGTTAATCATTATATGTATTTTTTTTAAAAAAAAAAAACCAATACATTTAGATTTAAAGTGGTTTTTTTTTTTTTTTAATTTACCAAATTTCAATTTATAGTCAAGTTGGAAGTTAGTCGTTCGGTATTAGATGCAAATAAAAAATTAACTAAAGAAACATTTCGAAGTTGGGTAACATAAACACCTAAAAAAAATACCAAATGATTGGATTAAACGGTAAACATATGTGTGTCGCTAATTTCGTCAAAAAACTTGTGTTTTTTTGCAGCAGTAACATTATACTTATTTGGCAATACAAAACAAAAAATAAATAAAATTCCGAGTAAAGTTCATCGGTATATTATTAGTATTATTAGCAATATTTCGTCGACCAAAACTAGCGAAAAAAAGTGTACAGATGTATGATATGTATAATATATTATAGCGTAGGTAATGCATTTTGATTTTACGCGGAACGAATCAGCTACGTCTTCGTATGGCTTGTATACCCACTTTATGTACGCTGCAGTAAAAGTATTTCGCATAACTCGCGGGCGCACATAAAAATAGACAATTTCGGACACTCGTAGACGACGTCACGCCTTGACGGGGTACACCGAGGCCACAGAATTTGTCGCGTGAGAAACGTCGACATTGATATTTACCCAACATATTATTTTACCTATGCCTGCGGAAAAGAGTTGGTATAGCTGCGGGCACGCAAAGTTCCCGGTGTTCTAAACGTATATTTCAAACAATAAACTACCTGTAATATTCCGCACACGATTTTGAAAACTGCAGTGTATTGCAGTATGTGCAATGCAGTATTGCATATGCGTATGTGTAACGGAAACATAAACACAGTAGGTATCTTAATTTCGCAACTATAGTTGGCTGGACATTTTTTTTAAATTTCTCAAAATACTTATACCCGCCAATATTGGATAGTATGAATTTATATTTACCACTCATAATTAAATTAATGCAACGTCACGAATATTGTGTACCTATTGCCTAGTCAACCGAATCAACAAACGTAACCCCGTACCCAATAGGAACCATGCGGATGGACGGACACAACTGAGATATAAGATGTTCTAAACTTACATTTAACAGCCTAAAACGATCACATATTTCGTTGATAGGATTTTACTACGGAACATTAGTATACACTGTATCATTGTACAGACACCTGTACAGCACCTAAAGGTACCGGTGGCGATTTCGAATGAGAAGGGCGGGAATATGAATCATGACTAGTGAAATGTAAAAATCATTTATCATATTTTTAGGTTGACAATATGGTATACAATAGATAAATGTCTACATATAGACAACTCGATACCAGCTCCTTCAGACAATACAAGGTGGTCCATATTAAGTGAGCTTACATCATTTACACTCATTATCTCGGAAAATGTTAACTTTTTTCGAAGTTATTGTTTTTTGACCATTTTCGACAAGCTACTCTAAAATGTTACACTACGATTAATTTTTTCACTTTTATTTTTGAGGCTGAAATAAATACTCTTACTTTTGAATGGCTTTATAAAATACTTTTAACCCCTTTGACAAGATAATGGAGAATAGTGGAGTATCATTTGTGTGGTGACGCGGCGTTTTAAAAACGATACACGCTACTCTCCTCCAACCAAAACTTAAAAGTGGAACATCTCGTGAACGGGTTGACAGAATTGAAAAATTTCAACTCCAAAGTGTATTAATTAAACTAATACTCCGTCTTTATTAATGACATTTTTTTCAAATACACGTCCTATTTGAAAAACAAAAGTAGGTAGTCGTTCCACGCCCAAAAATAATGATATTGTAACATTTTCGTAGCTGCTTTTTTCGTAAAATTTTTTTATAAAAAAAAAATGTCAATACTTTCCGAAATATTGGGCGTACCCGTTAAAATGGATCATCTTGTACGTATTTTATTGGAGGTGGGTTATACGACATATTAAGTATGTAATTTTGTAAAATATTACATTCGCGTTCAAAGAACGGTAATGGCGACGATGTTTTCGCATTGAATATTGTAACCGAGTATTAAAAAAAAAAAAAAAATGGGAGTCTGTGATTACAGGAAATTCGTAAAGCGTAAACACAATCATACGACATCCCCGTCCTTCCAACCCTCGTGAGCACGCCCCTGATAGGTATCGCTACCTAACTTATACTGTGCATACGGGTACAATAACGAATAACGATCGTTTACTGGCGCATTAGAATATTTTTTTTTACGGAAATCGCGATAATATTTGCCCGTTATTACAATAGAACGGCGGCGCGCACGTCCGTACGCGCCCGCGTGTACTCGTATTGTTATTATTATTTTATGTTTAAATTTGTAATGTTTTTTAATACGGATTTTTTTTAAAAAATTATTATTATTATTTTTATTCTATACAGCTTAGCAGCACGGTAAACGTGCCAATGGGCAGTTCTTTGTTGGCCGCCAACGACGTGACGTGGACAACGCCAAAACTGCAATCGCTGTCGGAAAACACTATTTCGGAACTGGGAGAACAAATGGAATCCGGTTAATCCATGTACGATAATATACCTATTGTTATTATTAATATTATTCAATACGTTGTGCGCCCATCTCGAACCGAACGCGAAAATCATCCCCCGTTTGGGCGATAATCAAAATAGGTACATAATATACCCGCCCGTACATTCAAAATGTTATAGCGATCGTGTCGTTTTTGGTTTTTTTTTTTTTTTCTTCTCACCATTCGAATTTCATTATAATAATACAATATTATAGATTTAACAATGTACAACTTTGACCTATAGAGTTGATTTTTGGCTCCGGTTCAATTTGCATGCGCACCGACATTGCGGTTTATTACACTGTTATTATTTCCGACGACGGCAGACTGTGTACAGCGCTGCAGGCCTGTACCCCGGCTGTTTCATTAGCGCCTCGTCATTTTTCTTTTATTATTGTGTTCTGGTGTTTATGAATATATTATTTTATTTTTGTTTTCAGATCATAGGCGAGAGAACATTATTATTATTATTATTACACGGATATAATTTAATAAGTACATTTTATAAAATACACACTCGACATTCAATTAGTCAAGACATCGTTTTATTATTTTATTAGAAATGATTTTCTCTGTTAAAATATTATAGTCACTTATTTATTTATTTATTATTAATATTTTTTTTTTTTTATATAAAAATGTTTTTTTTTTCTAAGTAAGAATTTTTAGAATTTATTTATGAGTATATTTGTAATCGAGAAACGACCCAATTTGTGAAATAAATGATTTTTAATCATGGTTTTTATTTTTTATTTTTTTTATATACACGCAAACGTATAGTTTTTATACTAGGTTACTAACGAAAGACAATAGAAGCAATATCGAGTTACGGCGATCAGTTTCGCGCGCGTACTATTTATTTAACGTCAAGGATCATTTTATTATAGTAACCGTATCCGTCAAATTGTCACAGTACAGTGTTTTACTTATAATAACTATCCATCGGGTAGTTTGAAAAGTAAAAGCCACGCGCCAAATGGCCGAATGTTGTTAACTCTTGCAGAATATGGTTCGTTTTAATGCGAAATGTGACGCCGCCTACTCATCTCGCCGTGTCCTACAAGTGTTATATTATTATCAAGATATGACGTTACTTCACGGGTCAATCACTGCGTGTACTTTGTGTCTTGTGCACACGACGTACCTAAGTAATAATTGCATCATTTGTATAGTGGATAGCTGAATTTATCCCGGACTCAATCCTTTGGCGTAACTGAAGGCCCAACATAATTCGGAACCCTTGTGTAATGTTCCCTTAAGTAAATTGGAGTCTAAGGAAAAAAAATAATAAAATATTCTATTGTTTAACTTTTTCAAATTTAATTAATCTCTATAATTAGGCCTTTGTCACACTTTTGTCGGAACCGGTCGCCGACCGACCGATACTGAGTGTTCTAGAAATAGCCACAGTTTTAAAATTATTTCTATTACTATACCCGTGATTTCAGCTGCTGCAGAACGCTTGTTCTCTAAATTAAAATTGATCAAAATTGTCTAAGAAGTACTATGGTACAAGCTCTAAGTATTGAGTGTTAAAAACGAGAGAATACGCAGTTTAGAAATAATTAGGTACGTTGGTCGAAAAGTTTGTCAAGAAAAATGCAAAAAAGATCACAGAGATTTAAGTAGTATTAAGTAACTATTCAAACTTGTAATTAAAAAAGTTATACACATTAGTTTATTTTTTTGAAATTAATAATATAAATTGAGTGTCTTACATCCAGTTTTAAGTTTATGTTTTACCTAAAATATAATTGTGAGGCTTATTTTAGATTCCGAGAGTGAGGGGAGCTATTGGTTTTACTAAGATGTTTATTTTTTCTTTCCTTTTTTCTTAGTAAACTTGCTCCGATTTTTACATGTAAAGAAAATGGACTATAGACTTAAATAAAATTAGTGTTCTTTGCAATTATTTAACTCAATCTAACATATTTCTTTTTTATATACTGTGTACAAAATTTTTAACAGAAATCTTAATCCAATGATCAAGCCTGATTTACATTAATAAATTCATGGACTCTGTACAATTTACAACTTTGGTCCTCAGGTTGTCCATCTCTATTTTCTTATAATAATAATAATAGTATGTATCTATGCACAATACATTTTTAAATTAATGTTGTATGCAATTAGTGTATTATACAGAGTGTCCCATTTACCACTTTTGTTCTATTCAATATAAAAATATTGTTTTTTTTTTAAATAATTAGTATGCAGAGGCTGTAGCATAGACTGTATGTCTATGTTTAGACATAAACTGTAGCATAGAGATGCTACAGTTTATGAATGAACATTTTTTTTTTTAAGGGGAAGGGTACTTAAAATAAAAATTTTTTTATTATATTTTATAAATAATAATTTTTTTTAAAAAAAATTGAAAATAGCCATTTTGTAAAATAGATTTTTAGTGGTTAAAACTTTTGTTAAAGTATGGTCTTTTATTTTATATGATTTTTTAGAAGTTTAAATAGTTTTCTTTTCAATCATTATTGATTTACTTTTCCAATACTTATTACCAGTAAAATAATAATATTATTGCATGATATTCACTCACAGAAAAGAAAATCCTTGCCATGTGCCCTGACTAATAACTGAATAAATATTGTAATAGAATAACCACAATGGGTAATATTAACATTTTCACATTTATAATTCATTTTGTTCCCACATATTTAGACAACTTTGAGTAATACAGAATTATATTTAGGAGATTTGTAAGATGTCAGTCAATTATATTCAGTCAGAGGATTCTATAAATATAAATCAGTTCTATAACCAAATTTGTAATCAATAATGCTTAATTAAAATTATGATTAAATAAATTAAACAATTCTATAAGTTGACTTTTAGTAGGTATATATTAATTTCAAAAAAAAAAATAATAATAATAACAGACGAATCAATTTAAAACTAAAGTTTTGATAATTTGAAATCATTTACACAAAAAGGTATCTATAAAATAAGACATTTATTTTTATCTGCCTTGTGAGAACAAATCACTACCAGTTTGTCTAGCTTTTATTTTAGCTTGTTCAGGTGTTAATAATTCTTCTTCACTAGGTTCTGTAGATTCACCATTTTCTTTCAGCTTCTTATTTTTAAAATCATGCATTATCTTTTGGCGGTAAACAGCATTAAATAAATCTTTTGATGTAAATTCTGATTGAGTAATTTCAGGAACTCTATATGATACATATGGTTTTAACTGAAAATTAATAAAAATATATTATTATATTTGTTAATCAGCATTTGATAGTGTAGAATACTTACATCAAAATTTTCCAAATCTGGAACTATAATATCAGGAATCTTTTCTTTCACAGTTATAAATTTACGTCCAACTTTAATAGTGGTTTCTCTTACGCCATAATCTGATTATTTATAACAGTTTAAAAGAAAAAGTTATACAGCACGTCATTATTATACTATAACTCATAAATAGAATAATTTGATTACCTGTTATTTGAAAATCTTTATTTGGGTTTTCTTGCTGTTGTTTTTTAAATTGATTTGTTCCACGATTGTAGAGAATGAAATTTTTAAAATTTCTTTTTCCATTTTTTATACCAGATGTAGAAAATGACCTAAATACATGTTTCACAGAAAAACTCATGTTGAAAACTTTTTCAAATGTCACCAAATTACTCATATATTTTATTATTTTATAAATCTACTATCAAGTTATCACATCGTCAAAAAACGTTATCATACCGGTTATCAATAATTTCAAGAATGTCTAGTAACATTATTTCATGGAAGAAAAATAATTTTTTTTTTTTTTGAAATTTATGATTAGTTGTAAAATATTGCGGTTTGTATAGAAATTTCAAATTTGAAAATAGTAGATCAAAAAGGATCAATATTTTTCCTTGTTACAAAAGTTTAATTTATAGTTATACAATAATTTTATATTTTATATACAAATTTTAAACTTAATATTATCGTATCTAATCGTAAAACTAAATTTATTCTTATTTTCACAGTTTTAAAATTATCATTTAAATTAACCATAATAACTTTATTAACAACTTATTATAATACAATTAATTTATTATATACATGAAGAAAATTATCATGAAGCAATTATTATAATTGCAATACATTATGTGTTATTGTCTATGTTTTGCTTGTTGTATATATTTTAAGAGAATATCTTTAGTAACAGGAGTTTCGATGCTGTGGCAAATAGCTGAAAACAAAATTTGTTTATATTTAATGAAAATTATTTACATCATTAAAAATAGCAATGATTAGGAATTCACTAAAAATGAAATGAAAAACGTGGATTGGACACTGAGTGAGGAATAGCGCTTGGATAACCACAATAACAGAAGATAAACAAAGAAGGGGAAGCCTAAACACCTTTCATAAAGTAAGAGATAAAATAACAATAGAATAAGAACATATACGGAGCTTAAAAGAACTATAAGTGAAAGGAATAAAATATGGAGGAAAACATAAACATTAATTATCATTTTTAAACCAATCGTAGGATTCAAACAAATACAGTTTAACTTCTATGTCACCGAAGATACCGGAAATAATGACAGCTATTTAAAAGTGACCGTCCTTTAGAGGTTTTCTGTAGAAACAACACTTATATAAAACTATATAACACTTAACAGGATCAAAAAAGATAACCGTTACACAAAGTGAATGGAAGTTTTACTGTAACAATAATAAAAACCTTTTGCAGTTTTTAGAGCATTGGGAAATGATTTGTCTGTTCGCTCTCGCATAAATTTCCAACTTCCGTTTTCAAATTTACATTCAATTATTTTCCCATCCATGTTCTTTAAATCTTTAGTGTATTTCATTCTGGCAAATGGATCATTTCTTCCACCTACATATAAATATCCAACTTTTGATTCCAATATTCTGAAATTTTCAATTTGTTAGAAATGTATTTGTTTTGAGATATAATACACATATCAATCATACCCTGTTCCACCTTCAGTAACAATTTTAAGTCTAAAATCAACAGAATTCAGTTCTAATGGTTTCCATTTCAGTACTTCAGGACACGTACCAGCTACATAAGGCTATATAATATTAATCATAAGTTTAGTTACACAGAAACAATTCCATTATAAATATTATAGGGACATATAAAATAGTACGTCAGTTGATGGCTGGAATATGAGACCATCAGGTTCATGAGATAAATTTTTACTAAAATTGCCAAGAAGTTTATCAGATGCATTAATATCATAAAACTGTTTTAAACGAATACTGAATGGTTCTTGAGTTTTATCTAAACGACCAGTCATAATAGCCTGGTGTCTTGGTTTTATTATATCAACCTGAAATCATATTTTATCAATTAATATATTTATTAGTATATTAAAAATCAAATTTAATTTGTTGAGTTCAATACACTTATAAGATTATATTATAAAAAATCAATTGTCAATTTAATATTGTATATACTAACTTCAATTAGCATCAATCTGTTTGGATAAAATGGTTCTTTACCAATATCAAAACCTTCATATGCAATTACATCATATACTAGATACCGAGGTATGTTTTGGCCATCAACTTTGTCAATAATCATTTCCTAAAATAATTCAATATTTTGGTTTATAGTTATACAAAATCTAGAATTCTTAATTTTAAAAGTTATTACACCGTCTAATAAAGTATCTTTTAAATGATGATCAAGATTCTTTCTATGTAAAAATTTTAAACCCTCTACTTCAAATACACTGTTGTCTCTGTCGAGGAAGTATATCTCATTTTCACCTTGAATATACATCATGTACCTATTAAGTATAAGATATTTAATACGATTATTCATAAATTACATTTTGTCATGCATGTTTTAAAAAGGTAATAAAAAAAAACAATTGGTAATGTCTTACCTAGTACCATCAGCTTTCCATGTTACACGGTAAGGTTTTGTATGTAATAATTTCATATTATTAATATCCATAGAAACAGGCTGTGAACCAGGAAATCCAGATCTATTAATTACAAAATATATTGCATTTAAGTGTTTAAATATATTAAAATTTTAAAAAATAGCCGATATTGCTGATGAGCCACTGCTGACGCACCACTCTTGTAGGTGGGAAGTTGGAAAGGTAAGGTACATAAAGTTATTTAAATTATATCTGTAAGCAACAATAAATCATTGCTAACAATTCTGAGCAAAGTTTATTTATATATAATTTGTAACGCTCTAATATTTAAGATTTTTTTCAGTATTTGATATTAAAACCATAAAAAAAAGAAGACTAAATTACATTTTACTTACAAAATAAATAAATAAATAAATAGAATAAAAAAATACATATATTAGTAAAACAAATTAATCCTTTGCTCTGTTCTAAATTTAAAATAGTACACATCCATTAAACAAGAGATATTACTTTTGTTATATAATTTGGATCAATATTTTATCATCCAAATGAAAAATAATTTATTAAAATATGGGATTAAAGTATCTTTAATAGATCAATCTATCATCCATAAACATTTTATTTTAATGAAAAAAACATTTTATATTCTTACTTTTTCCATTTACACAAGTCTTGAGCTCTTCTTTGAATATTTGTTAACCTGGGTTGATCAAAAATAGCAGTAACACCAGATACACCTTCCATAAATACTGGGTTTCGATTATTCATTTCATTCCTTGATCTCTTATTCCTACAATTTCAATTAATTAATAAAGCAAATTAAGTTGAGAAAATATTAAAAACAAGTTACGGTTCATGTTCTCTTCGATCTTTAGATTCCAGATCTCTATAATCATGTTTGTGTTTGGAAGAAGATTCATGTTTATTTGAATGATGATTGTCTTCTTCTGGCGATTCTAAAGCAAATTAAAAAAATCTCTAAGAATTGTTTAACTAAAATTGTCGACTAATTTATCTAAAACTACTATAATGGATAAAGTTAATTTTCCATTTATTTAATGATTACCAAATGTTTATCATGAAACCTTAGTTAAATAAAAAGTATAAAATGTTTGATTATTTGCAGAAACGTATTACTTATCTATGATATCTATTATTTAAGAAAATTTTAACTGTTCAATATTGAAGGTTGTTTGTAAACAATGTCACTGTTATTAATTTATTGAAAAGTATTTTAATCAAAAAGTAAAAAAATATGTATATATTTATTAACTGTATAAATACAAAAACCTTAATAAGAAAATGTATTTTATATTAATATTTTTTTTAAAAAATTTGTATTTTATAAGAGAAAAACAAAATTATTTTTTTGTAATAAAAATAATTACCTAAACACCAATCTGGAAGTTGTGGTGCCATAATAGGTTCTTCATCTGAGTAGCGCTGAAATAGTTCAATTATATAATCCTGTTTGTAAATTCCAGGAGGTCTATAATGTATACATATAATTTAACAATTTTATACTTAGATAATAGTATAATGTATATTTTACCTAGCTGTTGCAAATAGAGCTATGGCACTATTTACATCAAAATCAAACATTTCGATTAAGTAAGTAGCTATCATGAATCCTGTCCGGTTAAAACCATGAGTACAATGGACACCTAGTAAAAAAGAAGAGTTATGAATTATTTGTAATATTTAAAAGTTTGTTTATAAATTAAGAAAATTATTAGTTTTACAATAGTGGACAATTTTTATTGTTCATAACTCTTTTTGGCAAATGAAAAACCATGAAAAGATTCATCCAGTAACTTTTTAAATACCCAACTATACTCTTTTCACCAAAACGATATGATTATTTTATACATTCTTTCCCATTTAAAGGTAAATCAATCATGTTGTAATAGGTACACTTGTAGTGATATAAGACAATATAATTTTGTTTCTTAATCATGTAATCTATAGGTACATAGAGTATAATTGAACTTCAAAAGGGTACAATGGAAAGGTTATTTTAGGATATTTTCAGATAAATGTAATTAAGACCACAACATCTGTAAAAATGAATAGAAGAAATTTAAGAATGAATTTAAGCAGATTAATTTTAAGACTTTATATCATTATTTAAATGTGACAATGAATTTTTGCTTTAAAAAAAAAAAAAAAAAATGTGTATTTATATTACTCTTGCATCCTATTCTTTCAGACATTATTTTTAATAAATTGAATTAATCTAATATTACTTACCAATGTATTGCAAAGGATTTTTCTTAATAAATTTTGAACAAATATCTACAAATAATTGTGCTTGTTCACGAGTAGGGGGATTTTCGTGACCCCCACAAGAGAGTTTTACATAAGAACAATCCATATCTTCAATTTCAGACTTTTCATAATACCGACTGGTTTTTGTTAGATCAATCCATAAACCTATATTAACCTAAAGCAATTTTATATATTTAATTATTAATATATTTACAAACTATCAAAATAACTTTTCATAATAATAATAAAGAACTAAATATATCTAAATAATTGGAGTTTTACAAAAATTAATGTTCTAACCAAATTCGACTATTCATTCATTTTTATTTTTAGGTATTAAATATTTAGTTATTTAAACAGTTACCAACAGAATAAAAGACAAATATAGTATGATGCAATACCTTCATATTAGCCATAGATGAAAATAACATTTCTGTATTGAACCTATTCAAAACAGGTACTTGATCATCATATTTACTATCCAGTGGAGTTTTAAATGCCACAAATTTTTCAGATATAGTTGTAAAAGATTTACGAGGGCAATTAATCCATCGGTCAGGTACTGGGGGATTGTATGAATAAGATGAGCTAGACCCATAACGCTTTGATCCTGTAAATTTTATTTTACATTTAGTTTTTGAAAAACTTACTGTTCTATTTATGTTATTACATATAAATATATAATTTATTTACCCGACATTTTTAAATAAATATATGTATATTTTTCTTTTTTGAAGTTCTAAGTAGTCAGTTTAAAACAAATGCCATAAATTTTACAAATAACATTAGATTTTGTTTAATATTTGATAAATTGATGTTTAATAAATTTGTATTGTCATTCGTCATCCTTAGACATAATGATTATATTCAAAATTCTACTTTGTAGTTTAACAAAATACAAGACACTACATTTACGACTAAAAGCACGGAAAAAATAGAAAATCGTTTTACTATTTTAGTTTTTAGTTCTTTTTACTTGATATCAATAATAATAACGATAACAGTATTTGTTTACTTTTACTGTCTGAAGATCACGATTTAAGATATAACTTAAATCATGGAGAAGATACAGACAAATATTTTTTTTTCTTTTCCATGATAATCATTTGGTTTTTTACTGTTTTGACGGTACTAACTTCTGTATCAACAAACTTTGTGAAAACTACAAATCAGAAGGGTTTTTTTTTGGCATTTTGTGGTATCTTTATTTACTTTTCTATGCCTATAGGTTCTTCAAAAAATCATACAGAGTTCATAATAATTGTGCGTATAAACTAAAACCGGTATGGCGGAGTATTTGGCCTCAATTTTTGGTACCGAAAAGGATAAGTAAGTATTTAAAACCGGCTTGTTAAATGGCGTGTTAAAATTTCATATTGTTTTGTACTAATGACAATTATCTGTAACAGATATATTGTGTATTAAAAATGTATGTAACGAGTGTTTATGTGATGTAGGTAATCATTTTTTACTTTAGGGTTAATTGTTCATTTTATTTCAAAATTGGTGCATGTCGTCATGGCGATCGGTGTTCAAGAATACACAATAAACCAACTTTTAGTCAAGTATGTTTTGATTTAAATAAATATAAGGTTTAATTTTATATTCTACAACATATACAGCTGTCTTATAACCTATAACAAGCAGTATATATTTCTTGTTAATAAGTATCTTAAATATAAAAAATTTAAATTATTGTATGATGGGCGTAACTAGGATAAAGAAAAATAATATTTAGAATTGTTTGAGTACATAATATATACTATGGAAACACCTTTATATATGGTCTAATAGTGGATGACAGACTTTGTCTTTTCATGAATACTGATAGACCAATAAAATAAATGATAAAAAAAAAGACTTACCATTGTACCAATATATTTCGTATATTTTCCTTTTTTTTTTTTGGTTATTCACATTTGTTGAGAAAACTCCTGAGAAAATTAAAAAATGATTTCCTTAAAGTACCTCTCTAGTCCGATTTACTTTTAGAAAAAGTTGTATCATTGTAAACCAGAACAAAATAGCTGGTAGAAAGGTTGTCCACAGAAAAAAAAAGATCGTAATATTTTACTAATATATTTTGTATATTTTCACATTTTTTTATGGTTTTCCACACTTGTTGAGAAAACTGAGAAAATCAAGTATCCTACAATTGTATACATTTTTGGTAAATTGATAATTAATAAGATCGATAAATGTATACATTATGGTTTATTATATTTAAAGTTTTTAAGCAAATCATTACCACTATATCAATGGGTTTAGCAAACCTGAGGCCCTGAGCTCCCTATTGGTAGAAACTCTAGATGAGTGAGTTTACCTTATAGTTGAAAATGTCATTCTCCTTGTGGGAGGGGATAGGAATATTCCTATGGTACCTGAAGTACGGACTTCTGCTCTTATAATACAAAAATAGTATTTTCTTTTGTTTATTTCCAGTTACCATTGGTTTTATGGTTGTTAAATAATATTAATGATTGATTAAGTGAATCAGCCACTAATATAGATTATTTATGATATATTAAGTCTTTAATTGGTCTCACAGTTATTGAGCAACATTGTGGTTGGTATTCCTATGATTTAAAGTAGATTATTTAAATTCCTCCACGAGATGAGCTAACGAGTTAGTTTATTTTGTATATTTAGAATTTCAGTAAATTTGATTATAATTATAATTTAATTATTAAGTTTTTTTTTTATCTAAAACAAATAATTCCATTGTAATAATTAATAAAATTTTATCTTTGTTAATTCAATTATTTTTAGACTGTTCTATTACAAAATCTTTATGTCAATCCACAAAATTCTGCGAAATCAGCTGATGGATCACACTGTAAGTACCTAATGAGTAATACAAATCTGTTAAAAATATATTTATATTGTATAAAATAAAAGATAATCAATACTAGGTAAATATATTTCAATAATGATCAATTTTGTATTCTTTAATTAATTATTTGTATCAAGCTTTTTTAAAACCGACTTATTTTTTATTAAGGTAAACATATTTATAAACATAAATACAAGTAAATGACGGTTTTTTCTGAATTTAGTTTTTTCAAATTAATTTAATTAACACATGACTTAATTACTAGTTAGTATGAATGGTTTTAAGTCTATGTAAATTAAATGTATTAATTATTTAATTTTTTCCCATTTATGCTATTTTTTTTTTTTTTATTAATCATTATTCATAAAGCTAACTAGTAGTAAAAGATAGCTTTATTATTGTTAAAGATTTAGTCTTTACAAATTATTTTTTCATAATTATTAGGTTTAATGTTTTACTTTTATTTTGCAGTCGTTGTCAAATATCTTGAAAGAGTACGAGCTTGAAGACTACGACTTGTCAGTGGTTTTTTAAGTTTAAATACATTTTTTTTTTTTTAGCCAATTTCGTTGAATATATATTTAAAATAAGAACTAAAATCAATTAGTTTTACTAAAACAATTCAGGTTGTCTGTTATAGGAATGAATATGGATGTTTGCATCAATATGGAAATTTTGACCAGTATAAACGAGTGTTTTACTACTCCTTCAAGATATTTGATAAATATTATCTCTTATAAATTTAGTGATGGAATTTAATAATGGTAAATGATTTCATTTTAGAATGTAAAACTTTTTATCCCTTTTCTTTGTTTAGTACTTAATTCTGATGCTACTTATTTATTTGTTTTATTTTAGAACCAAATATGTTTCTATTAGATTATTAATTTTCTATATTAATATGAATAATAAACAGTACATTATTTCTAAAACAAAAAAACTTAAGGAAAAGGGGAATATAGATTGATTTTGTAATTTTCTTAATACCAAACTTTTCTGAAAATATTTGCAGAATATATATTAGCATATTGACATAAGCTTTATATTGTTTTATTTTCATTAATTTGATAGTAATTATAAATAATTTCATTCCATTATAATTATTCTGAATTGAGCAATATTTATAGTTTTATATTTAACATATGTATTAGCAGATAATAAAAATGTTATTAAAAATAAAAAGATCCCATTTTTTATAATTCTTTATTTACTCTAAATGGTTAAACAATTTTTGAATTACAACTAAATTGTTTAAAATATATTTTATTATAAACGATTCTTTTTTACCAATTCTAAACAGTATATAAAACTTCTTGAACTTTTGTCTTTGAAATATTGGCAACATAATCATATTATATTAATTTTCTAATAAAATACAAAAATATTACTTTACTTTTCATTAATCTAAGAATATTATTTTAATAATATAAAGTAACACATTCTATGGATAATAAAACTCTAGACGAATAACATACTAATTTTATAAGGAAATTTAAGTAAAATTTAAAATATTTAGTATAAATATAATAAATAAACTAAATAAATGAATAGACTTCATTGTTTAAAATATTCAATAATTATATTATGTATGTAGTCATAATTTTAGGTAAATGGTTGGACTAGTTTTCACCAGGATTTAATAAGATAGTATAATAATAGACATATACATTAGGCAAATGATCTACCTTGTTTTCTTGGTCATATTTCATATTATAAAATATAAGATATGTATTTTAATCTAATTTAATGTATATTTTCTAAATATTTGTTTGTATTGTATTTTGATTTATACAATTTACAATTTTTTCATACCAAGATTTTTAATGTTTAATTTAACTGAATTATGTTTTTATTATTTTTATATGTAGTAAAAAGGAAATCTATGGTTTTTTAAAATTATTTTGATATTTCAATACAAATTTCACATTTGTATAATATTATATTTATTTATAATTTTATAATTTCAAACTTAATCATTAATAATTACTAAATTACGAAATTGTAAAGACTTTTCTTTAATCTTTGAACAAAAGTAATTTCATTTTAATTATAATTAACTATGTGGTACAAATAAACTAAGTATGTAATTTAATTTGTAAATTCAAATGCGTACTTAATTAGGTATTATAAGTATTAACTTATACTATAAATGATATATTATTTATTTAAATCATAATTTATTATTTTGTATTCAAAAATGGTATTGTATATGTATTTTAGTGGTTTCAAATGTCACTGATGAAGAAATGCAAGAACACTATGATAATTTCTTTGAAGATGTATTTGTAGAGTGTGAAGATAAGGTAGATTTTCCTGTTTAATATTTAATTTTATTATTTGTTTGTTTTTCGCAAATCAAGTACTTGATTTATTTTTCTTATAAACATGTACAATACACATATTTTTAAAATTGTATTAAACACATTCAATTTTTTAATAGTATGGAGAAATTGAAGAAATGAATGTTTGTGACAATTTAGGAGATCATCTTGTTGGCAATGTTTATATAAAGGTATAAGTATAAGATTTATATATATATATATATTATATATATACATGAATATCTAGAATCAACATTTTTTCTACTATTTATTTTATTTATATATTCAATATTTGATGGTGGATAGTGAGTGGAATTACTCTTTAATTATCATTGAAAAATGTAATTATTTATGTGCACAGTTATACATTATAAAATTCTGTATTAATTTTTTTGTTTTATATTTAAAATATAGTTTCGACGAGAAGAACATGCAGAAGCTGCTGTTAATGATTTAAACAATCGATGGTTTGGTGGACGTCCAGTTTATGCCGAGTTGAGCCCTGTAACAGACTTTCGTGAGGCCTGTTGTCGTCAGTATGAAATGGGGTGAGTATATAAATGAAAAATAATAAAATATAAACAAAATTATTAAAATGGTTAATACTCGTAAATAAGTATAGAAATAAAAATAAATAAATGAATGCGTCTCCTGGAGTATTATACTGACCAATTTTGAATTAAAAATTTATCATCGGATATATTACAGTCATTCATTTATTTCTTTTATTTTTATATATACACTTTATTTATATATTTATTTACTGTATTAACCATTTTAATAATTTTGTTTTTACTTTATTATTTTATTATTTATTTTTTATTTATATATTTATTAACTATATATAAATAAAAACAGGAATATATGTAATATACGATTAATAATTAATTTGCAGAGAATGTACACGTAGTGGGTTTTGTAATTTCATGCATTTGAAACCAATATCACGAGAATTACGTAAATATCTTTATAGTCGTCGGTCACGAAGACATCGTTCTCGTAGTCGTTCACGTGATCATGTTGGAACACGTAGAACTAGATCACCTTCTCCAAGACATGGACATCGCGGTGGTGGTGGTGGTGGTGGTGGCGGCGGAGGAGGAGGCGGTGGTGGCGGTGGCGGAGGCGGAGGTGGTGGAGGAGGGCGCAGAGATAGACGATATTAGTTATGATTTTATAGGGTTTTTTTTCAAATATGTCAGACCAATCATCTTACATTAATTTTTGTTTTAATTATAACTACAACATGATTTCAAATTGACTTTTAATTTTTTTTTTAAAGTTAAACATTTATGATAACTTATTGTATTCATTTAAAGTTCTTGTAATCAATTTTAGATTTAAAAAAAAAGTTTTAAAAATAAGGAGTTTGTTCCAATAAACTGGTTTATTTACACCAATTATATGAATTTAGGTTAATAAGTAATAACATATATATATATATTTATATAAATATATATTAAGTTGTTAATTATTTATAATATAGGAGTTATATCTTCTCCAGTGGCTTAAAAAAAAAAAAAAATTGTCTTGTTCCAATCAAAAAATGACAAAATACCTTTTTTGTTGGATTTTTAGATCTTGTTGGTGTAATTGAGAGGTTATTTTTGATTTTCCAAGAGGTTTTCATAGTAATTAGAAATAAGTAAATAGGACAAACAGGTACATATTTATGATGCACAGAAAGAAAAAAATGCTTAATTGTAATTTAGATTGCTGTTTGGATAGAAGACATTTATTCTTGATGTGATTGTTTAATAAAACAAAATTATCTAGTTCTTAATTCTGTACACCTAAAAACATGTCAAGTTTTATAACTATGATGAAAACTTAAAACAGAAAATATTTTAAAACACCTTATTTGTTTTAAAAATCAATTTTTTTTTTTTTAAATTTTATTTTGTGAATTTATACTTTTTATGATATTAATGCTAGTAGGAGATGTAATTGAATCAATTATTTTTAATAAATTAAATAGTATTTTTACCTACATACAGTAAATCAACTGTTTTATTTATTTAATGAATAATTTAAAAAAATTATTTAAATACTATGTATTTTTTTTCTTTTAGATAAGTATTTTAGTCAGTTAATTTTCGCATAGCCTAACCTTACAATAAGATATCAACTTCATTATTTTATGCTACTACTAATATACTTATCTACAATAGTCCAATAGTCGATAATCTATACAAAAAAGTAATTCATTTTCCTATTTAACTAGCTGATCTCTACCCGTGGCTTTGCCTGTGCCAATTGAAATAAAAATACGTAGAAAGTTTGAACTCACAATCGAAAGGCTAAATGACTATGTTTTTGCAATAGAGATTAAGTACCTACCCATACATGACGACAATAGATAACCAGGTACCTACCTAAATTAATAAATCTAGGTATCTACGTCAAGTGTGAGAAAGTCATGTGCGATAAGGTCGAATATCATAAAGTTAAGTGTCCTAAAGAAATATTGTTTAGGTACTTAATGTATTACATACGTTACTGGAAGTCTGGAACATTTAGAAAAGTTGACCTTTTAAAATTCGGACGAATTAAGCCATTCACCCGAAACACGCACGTCGAACGTAGGTAAACGACTATTCGAGATAACATTACACTCCAAACACCGCACAATAATAATTGAAACAATTGCAGGTTTGCACATTTAATCAGGCATAGTTTCCGACAATTTGAAAACTGATAATATTCGAATTTCGCGAGGAAATGGAAAGTAGATAATGCAAAAATAGCATTACACAATGACATAGAACCCTTGAGAAAAAAATTACGGATCAGAAAAAATATAAAAGTACAATAGATACGTATACGCATGCACAAAATTCTATATTCAGTATATAACAAATAACTATATTACATAGAGTACGTTTATTATTAAAAATTACAATTGAGTACGTATATTATAAAAAATTACAATTGAGTCCGCTTAATGTGAGCGTAATAATGGCCTGGTCCCGGTTCTAATGTATGCATATTACGATACTCATTTCGGTTAAAATGGGCATGTGTAACGGGTCCAATACGTGCTCATAGGAGGATAGGGGAATTTTACCTGTGTAATATCGTTTTTATTTTTTCGGTATCAGAATTACGAAAAGAGTTATTCAATTTTGAATAACACAACAATTTTTAATTTTGAAAAAATGACCAATCAATGTTCTTGTCTTTTAATGAAAAAAATTCGTTTGCTTAATTAGCTCTACAGTCCGAGTGGTTCTCGCTCGTACAAAATGGTTTTAACTAACAAATTTACGGAGGTGTGGCACTGTAGTGTCCTCTTAAGCGGAATCCACTGTATATATCAACGGTGTTTTAAGGGGAATGGTAAACTCTTACAAAAGTAGGTTATCTCCTAAATTGACATAGTGTTAACTCTTACACTAGATAGTTGTAAAGTTGTAAAAAGTAAAATATGGTATTTCAAAATAAGTAAAAATCAGTCATAAACTACAAAAATCAAAAGCAAAATATTATAATACAATTTTTTTTTTCTAGTTATTAAAATAAGTAAACGAAGTACCTAAATGACTATAAGTGTAATGAATTAATAATACTAACTACGTACCGAAAAACACATGCACAAAGCGAGAAAACAAACAATACTGTTAGAAGTACTACAGTTATTCAATTATTTTATTCTGCGATTACTGGGATGGATGTAATAAGCTTTTTATCTTTGAGTGGGTTAGAAAAAAAAAAAAAAGATGAAAAGATTGTTGTATTTCCAATTTACGCTAATAACGTAGACGTTATCGAAATGTTTGAGAATTTTTGATACGATGCCTTATATTAATATGTTTACTAAATTTTATTATATCTTATATTCGTAAGTCTCTGCGAATATTTATCCAAAATGCAACAAAAAAGGTCTCTTGTCATTTTTCCTTTAGAGAACTATTAATCATATAAAACGTCGTGCGTGTTTATCTAAAATAATGAAATCGTAAAATCGTACGTTTTTTCCCACTTAAGTGCAGTTATCTTATATAAACATCATTGTAAAACTAATATACATTCCTTACTACACTGAGAATCTAAAATGTAAAAATGTCTGTGCAGGAGATTACACCATCTATTTTTGGCATGTGAAAAGGGACTATGTACGACTTTACACTATGTTTTAAATACAGGTAAAAAGGTCGTTTTTGTAGGAGTTTACATGTAGTTTTATTTAAAAGGGACTATACCATCAATATATTTTTTTTATTCAGGAAATAAAAAAAAACTGTTTTGCAAAGAAACAGAAAAATAGATTTTATTGATAATACTGTTAGTAAAATTATTTTGCTCTAGCCTTATAACATAATTCAAAATACCGCCAAAAATTATAAACCAATTAGAGACGGCGAAAGAACACCGCCATCGCCATATTTGCGCCGCTTGAGACAGAATTACGCGTGTTGATATCATACCCAGTTCTTTAAATCATGATTAAGCCCGCGGTTTTAGATTAATCAAGACCACAATTAATTAATCTGTCACCAATTCAAAAGATTCACGTAATGATAAGAATAATTTTAGATGTACGACCGATACATAAGTACATAAGTATTAGAGGAGCCGTTCGATTTTGTATTGTGCCGAAAGCGGTCTACTTACAGCGTGACCAAATAACGAGGAATAAAACTGTTGTTTTATTTTATCTTTTACAAAATAACATAAACCTAAGGATAAATTGTATCACGGATTAATTAATAAACACCAGATAGCTCACTAGTGTAGGCGAAATCACGGTCTTAGAAAAAAAAAAAAACAAAATATTTTACTATTATATTACGTATATTTTCCCGTTTTTCTCACTTTTTCCCTTTGCACGTAACAACTGCCGGGCAAATCAAAAATTGACTTCTTTAAAGTACCACTCCCGGAAAATTTCCTTTCAGAAAATGGTCTGCATCGTATACATCGGAACGAGTTTTTCGGCGGGAAAAAGTGTTCGGATATAAAAAAAAAAAAAAAAAAGAAGAAGAAAAGAAATAAACGTCTTTGTGAAACCGTGGACTTCCTACGTATTTTGTTTTTTAAAACGGTAAAGCAATGCATTGCAGAAGACTATAATGACCGAACTGCGGTTCTGTGAACGTACACGTGTAAGTCACACGATTCAACGGCAACAGGCTGCGCCCGCTGGGGTCGCTATACATTAATCCGCGAAGTACAGCGATTATCTAATTGATTTTGCGTTTTTCCGGAAAACATTTCGAATCATGACCCTATTCCAATTTGTGTAGCTCGTAAAAACCGTACGCATTCATACATTTCGCATACGTGTATATTTCACGAACACGTTTTTTTTGGTTTTTTTTTTTCTCCATACCGGAATAATCTAATGGTAAACTTACGATAATCATGTCAAAACACGATTTAAATTGATATCCGTTACACAGTATGCGCGCACAATACACCCACGTCAAGTACGGCCCGTGATTTTTTACTCGGTCTACAGTAGACGTACGCGCCGTCAATTGTCGTTGCCACATTATTACGCGGCATTACACACGGGCACGTCGGCACTCAACGTGTATGGAGTAGCGGGGCGCTGTTAAAACGCCGCCGCACAAAATATACTGCGGTACTCCACATTCGTCGGGCCGTCTCTACCGTTGGTTCAGACTTGTAATTGTTTTTGTTTTTTCGCCGCCGCACAAAATATACTGCGGTACTCCACATTCGTCGGGCCGTCTCTACCGTTGGTTCAGACTTGTAATTGTTTTTGTTTTTTTTTTTTTTTTTTTTATTAACAGATACCGAAATTAACGTACAATATATCTGCGTATTTTATCGAGATTTTATTTCATTGATAATGTCGGTAATGTCGATATCCAATATCGCACCGTCGCAGTTACGGATGTCGATGTAGACTAATCTAAACAAAGGTGTCGGTTACCCCTCTGTGTTTACCGGGAAGTGTCAACCCGGTAAAAATCACTGGCAATACGCGCTGCCGTGCACCGTAAGGTACGTTTATGAAGTATACCTATACACACATGCCCACCCGTGAATGCGTAATTCAACGAGCTTTTTTTTTTTTAACAATTTAACAGTTTTTTAACGACATATATATTTGCAAATAACGCGAGAAACACGAATGGAGCCGGCGCGGCCTGTGGCCGTTTAATCGCGCGACCCGGCTGACTCATTTTAGGACGTTTTTTCGTGCAGCCGGCCGTACAAGTGTGGTCTCCTGCATTCTCGTACTAGTCTCCACGGTACTAACGTATAAATCACAACACACGCGTGATATTATCGTTTTTCGAAAATTTGATCGATGCACAAAATGATATTGTCCTTCATTTAGGAAAAAAAATTCGTTCCAGGCATGTAAAATATTATCAGGACAGAATGAAAGGTGCGTTTGGTTGTACAGCTCTTCAGTTTATTTAAGTGCAGCAGATACATTACAATATTCAATATTGTTTTATTGGTTTTATTTTGCTGAACAGAACAGGCCGTGGCCCAGAGTACCAGAAGTACAACATATTTACATATATTGTGCGGAAAGTTTAAATTTAAGTAATTCTAAGAATTGTGATGCAACAGTTAAATTTTGCCGAATTGTTAATAATGTTTTAGATTTTTTAAATATGAGGAATTTGTATACAAATCAAATTACAAAAAATGAAAATGAAATATCTAATTTTATTGATAAATCAATTAAATACTTTCAAATATTACAATGCCTTAAAGAACAATAATTTATTTCTGTAATAATTGTATTACAGAACATAACATATATATATATATATATATATATATATTAATTGACACAATTATAATAAATGGTGTTGACTTTTTATTAACTTATAAATTAAGGCAGGACCATCTGTTGATATTTTTCTATGCAATCCGTTCCAGACGAGGATTTGATAACAATCCCATAGCCTTACGATTTCAACGTGCATTCAAATGATAGTTAGTACACACAGAGATTAAAGTATCCTCAAGAACAAATTGTTTGGCATTGGACTGGACAATGATTTTGAAGGTCAGTAGCAGTACTCTCAAAAACATAAATAATTATGATTCAAAGATGTACATAGAAATGTAAATGCAGTGTTAAATGATGAAGACTTAAATTTATTTAAACATAAAAAATTTCACATTTTGCAACAAGTAGCTGATAATATTATTGAATACATTGCAAAATATCATTGTGATTATTATTATTACAAAATGATTTGTGATGAATGTACAAAAGTATTGACATGACGCACGAATTATGATATAAGTACTTACTATATCTTAATCCGTGACACGAACCCATAGTGAACCAGGATCATTATTAAATATTTTTTAATTGTTATATGTATTATATTACTGTGGGGTCAGTCATTTATACTTGAAATGTCTGTGTGTTATTCACTCGTTAACATTTTATTTCAAGGAATATAATAGTTTCTTCTAAGGTATTCATCATGATACTATCTGTCTTTCTAACCATGTTAGATCGATAGATATTAATCTAATGGATACGGCATTAGACACAAATAACTAAGCTAACCGTATACATTAGTTTAATATCTATGGATCCAATAATTATAGATGTGGGCAAGGGGACAAACAGTCCAGGTATTAGTATGTCGAGGATTTATTGTGTTACACTAGAGATAATGTTATAGTCTCTGTGATATTATATAAGGGATATTTAATGTATGCAATTCTGCATGGTTTATAGATAATAAAGACAATCAAATTTAGTAATATTTAATATATATGTATATATACATATATACATATATATATATATATATATATATATATATATAATTGAATTATACTTGGCAAAAAAGTTTACATTGATTTGGTGTTTCAGGTTCTTCAAGCTGGATATCGACAATATAGTTCATCTATGTATGATTGTCTGTAAATCCCTGGAGGTCTATAAAAATGTATACAATTTCATCATCTAGTATGTTCATAATAGTATAATTTATTTTTTACCTAGCAGTTGCAAATTCATGTAGAGCACGTTTTACATCATAATGTAATACTTTTACCATGCAAGCGACTATTAAGAATCCAGTCCGGTTTAGACCATGGGTACAATGAACACCTAGGAAAAAACTATCAATAATAAAGAGTTTGTTAGCTGACAGTTGCTGCTTTAAGTATTCAAACTAAATATTGAATTACTTATGTATCCTATTCACCCAGACATTTTTTCAAATAATTAAAACAAATTAACTTACCAATGTGTAGGTTAGGATTACTATCAACAAAATTCGAACAAATATCCAAAAATGAATCAACTTCTTCATAAGTAGGCGGTATTCCATGACCCATTAAAGGAAGTTTCACATAAGAACAATTATTATTGGTAACTTCCGACTGATCATAGTAACGATTTGAATTTGTTAGGTCTATCCATAATCCTAAATTAACCTGAAATGATTTGATATACTTACTTAATATAACATGTTATAAAAGTACCTGAATACAAATTTTAATACATATGATGTAAACTGTAGATTATTGGGATAATTCTTATAACTTGATAATATCTTTACAATTTAAGAATATAGGAATCTGAGGATAATATAATCAAAGAAATATTTAAAGTATTTATGTGTTGAAATTAAAAACAATCATTAAGTATGTTAATAAAAATTAAAACATATTATTTTGACTATTCATACAATATTTAGCATGAATCTAGTTTAGTCACCTAAGCAATTATGCATATTTTTTGAAATTTATAGGGTTCATTTTAATTTTAATACATATTTTAGTATCTACATTGTACTAGTGATTTTCATCTGGTTATTATTTCCTTTAAATTCTTACAAAAAAAAATTAAATTTTTGAATTTACCTGCGAATGGTTCACAGACTTTAGAGCAGTGTTTCCCAACCTAGTGGGTCCTGATGAAAGAAAAATATTTTGATTGTAATGTAATAATATAGAAAAAATAAAAAAAATATTAGTAAGAATAAGAAGAAAATAAGAAAATTAAAATGTAGTTATTTTTTAAAAGATATCTGTGATGATTTTCAATGGTTTGAAAATCGTTTTACTGTTTCAATTGAAGAGTTCAACTTCAGTGCACTTCTGGAAACTTAGAGTATTGAACTTTCTTAACATAAAACTTATGAAAATGAAACTATTATTGATTTTTGGTGAGCAGTATATAACAAATATCCAGAATTGTCATTAAATGCAAAAAAAAAACTATTAATTTTTCCTACTACTTATTTATGTGAAAAAGGATTTTTAATTATTGCCAATATTAAAACAAAACAAGAAAACAAATTAGATGTCATACATGATATGCACATTAGCTTATCTGATTGTACCCCAGTGGGAAATATACAACATTCAGACTCAGTCATCACACTAAATCTCATTGAAATTATTTTATGATCATATTATTTTAACTTTTTGTATTTTATTTTTTAATGTACAAACAATAATATTTATATATAACATAGGATATTAAATATTTCATTATATTAAAATTAAATGATAAATTTGCTTATAATACAAATTTATTCATATTACTTGTATTATCAATATTATTAATTATCATGTATTAAGCTATTATGGAATATTTGATTTTATATATTATTTTTTAATGTGGGTCACATATCCCAAAAAGGGTAAATGTGTGGAATGCCATAAAAAAAGGTTGGGAACTACTGCTTTAGAGTATGTATTATAGAAATAAATATCCAAAAAAGTTTAATTTTATTTGAACTTATTTATTTTACTTCCTTCAGTTTTAACACTTAACTAAGTTAGATCATTAGTCTATCTCACATTAGTATAATTGTTTTTCTGTTCTCATCCTTTTCTAGGAGCGTAACCAAAACAATGCTATATGTTAGGTATAGTTATAAAGTTACGTTAGGTGAATCAGTTTACAGATAATTAAAACTGAGTTTCTTCAGTGAAAAATACATTTGTTACCATTATTTATTTTACTAAAATACAAATAAATACTTTAATAATAATATTTTATAATACCTTCATTTTAGCCATTGTTGAGAAGAGCATACCTGTATTGAATCTATACCTCACAGGTGTTTTGTATTTACTATCCAATGGTGTTTTGAATGCCACAAATTTATTACATATTATAGTAGAATTTGGAGCAAATTCTATCCACTTTTCAGGAACCTTGAGTTTTGTTGAACCTGTACATTTTGTTTTGATTAGTTTATGGGGAATTATGTGCAAAATATTGTTTGTTATTTTAAACATGTCTCTATTCTATGGAAATACATTAACCATGATGTCTCTACTCTATGGAAATACATTAACCATGATTTTTATGAAAAACCATTATTTATAAGGGTCTGTAAATAACTAAATAGCTTTGGAGACTAACAAGATTTCATCTACACTCTAGAGATAAAAAGTGTAAACTTTAAAATAGGTAACATAAATTTAAAACCCAGTCTAACGTCAAATACTGATTACACAATTGTTTATAACATCAATAAATACAGGTTAAAATATAAATTCAAAAATGTATACCTTTGGTTTTTTTTAACGCCATAGTTATAAAATATATCTTTTATTTCTGATTTAAGATCGTGAAAAAATATTCTAGAGTTTCCAGGAACCGTATAAAATACACAATTGACAAGTATACTTAAATAAAAACGTATAAAATTAAACAACAAAAGTTTAGCAATAACACTTGGTAGCTCTTCTAGCGATCACTAATCAATATTCATTTAGATAGTACTATCTTAAATCGTGGTATTATAGATACCAAGGTTGGCGTTAGGTGAGCATGTGAACGATGTACATCCCTACTGCACCATAATGATCAGTGACGTCACCCGTCGCGGTCGGCGGTGGCGCTTTGTTGCCGTGCACGGTATATGCGTTCATACAGTAACAGTAATGTGACCATAATTTTTCGTCTTCAAAGCGGGTCACCTGTACATAATTAATAAGAAAACCATATAATTTTGCGTAAAATAACAATTTTTTTATTAGAAAAAAAACATTAATTATTTATATAAAAAATGACAACAGAAAAACGCAGCTAATATATTAATCATAATAATAATAATGTAATAATAGAGTACATTATTCGGCTGGTTTTCTGTATTTGTCGGATCCACAAATTCTGTTTTAAAATTGCCTGTTTGGTTTTTATGTATGAATGGAACTCTTGACAAGATTCGTTTGTGTTAGCCTTTGTTATAAAATTGGCTTTTAATATAGAGACTCCCAAATGAGTTTTTTTATTGCTCCATATTTTATTCATAAAAGAGAACACTCTTTCAACTGGAGCGTTACTGCCTAACAGACACAACAAATATTCTACAATTGTAGAAAAATTGACTTGTGAGAGATCATTGAGATTAGATTAGAGATTAGCATCTCAATATCACCAGTACCATCATGTGCAACACTAAAATCTGTACGACACTTTTCACACGTGACGTCGGAGGTATCACTTCTTTGTTACACAAACGGATACTTGGTTTGTAATTTATCATTAAATGAGCACTTGCGTTTGGACATTTTAAAAACTAAATAATCACGTAGAGTCGTAAAGAATGTCAACAAACTCGAGGCACAACGCGTGACAAGGCGACGGACCAACTATTTTTTTTATAAGCTAACAATAATATGTGTAGGTAGTCCATTTATTGCCGATTTCCGCAGTCGAGGCGGTGGCAGCGATAACAACAATCAGCTACAATTAGGATAATTAGGTACTTATTTTTATATAATTTTTATCTATATGGACTATGGGTTTTAGTGTTTTACAGTATACATATATGTAGGTATACGTATACTGTATACTGTGTAAATTTATAATTGTGATTTTGTGATCAATAAATACCTACCAAAAGTCGACTTTTCTTAAAGCGGGACATTTGTAGGTTCTTTGCGGACACCGGGACACTTAGCTCGAAAGCGGGACGTATGGTCACGTCAAGTAACGGTCGTCTATTACGAAAACGACTAGCGGCATAAAAACTAGTTCCAAAATTCAATGAAAAGGTTTCTTTTCGTTTTTCTATCGGAACAATATTTCAGGTAGAAAACGTTGTCCGTAAACATTTAAAATTAAGAAATTGTGAAATCACACGTTTTTCTTAGGTTTTTTTTCAGGCTTATCGATATTTTTTTGAAAATCTTAAACGTACATCATCCATATACCAACTAAGTACAATTTTCTTTGAGAAAAAGTGCTATACTTATACATCGAAATAAGTTTTCTATGGAAACTTCATATAAACTTCCTATAACAGGAGAAAAAGTGCCTATAGAACAAAAAAAAAAGACTGACATACTTCTCATGTGGGTACTGTTGTAGGTAAAAAGTTGGGAAGGTAGAGAGGAAATTGAATTAATTATTACTAACGAAAAAAAACGATTCTGAGCGGAGTTCGATTAATAGTGTTGCTTTATCAACAATATATATGTCATATTATGGTAAAATAATAACATATGTATTATATAATTTATTAATAATATTTGTTTATTCTTGTACCTATTTTCCCGTTTTTCTTATCTATTTGGAAAACTGGAAAAATCAAAAAATTACTGCCCTAAAGTACCTCCCCAGTCAGATTTTATTCCAGAAAAAGTGCTATCATTGTAAATGAAATTTCTTAATGCACTATTTTATGCCCCTTTCATAATACTTATAAGGAAAAAAAAAAATGGCCATCACCAGTTTACTGCGTTTCGGCATCTGCCTGCGCTTTCATAAGAACCAAAAAAAAAATTTATTTATTGCTCCCAAAATAAAGTTCCCTTCTGTATAGAAGCTATGCCTAGGAATTAAATTTAACTTTAAAAACAATCAAAAACAAAACATTTTTATTTTTAGCAAAATTACTGGATAAAATATTAACATTAAATTATTACATGAAGTAATAATAATGTATTTTTCTAAGTTCAATTATATTTGTACTGAATAAATCATGCTTTTCTTGGGTTTCAACAAAAACCTTTTGAAACTAAAATTATTTTGTTGTTATGTGTGTGTGTTGCCTCGAACGATATTACCTCGAAGGACCACGGAGTGTAAATGTTTATATTATTTACTCAATTTATTTTAGCGCCTAGGTGATAGGCAACTCAACCAGTGCATTTCCTTGCACGTTTGATTGCTGTCGAATTGTCATCAGGGGGTTCGACTCCCTAATCTCGACATCTTATAGCTAGGCAACTGTATTTGCTCACCTGGTCTGTGTGTTTGGTTGCCTTCGTATCCGCGTACTGATGCGGGAGAACACACTTTTCGCACCTATCTCCTTAACTAATAATTGAACTTAAAGCTAACCTCACCCTCCAACCGGTGGCGATGTCACCTATTGGCTCAATCACACTTCTCGGCAGCTCGAACAGGTCACTGATGTTGTTGTATGGACTGGAGCAGCAGCACGTTCAACGGTCCCGTCGGGCGGACGTAGTAAAAAACTAACAACACGACAGGTTCGGCGAAAAAGGAATTTTAATCGTTCAAATAATTTTTACATCAACCCAGACAGCAGTCAACGGAAACTGTCTCGTCAAAACAAAGTACAACCACGGCGCCGAGCCGGTCCAGATAAAAATAATTAAACATGAAAGTAAACGATGAAGAAATCGCGCGTTTTCCATACTAAACAAATAGGTACACAATTTTACGAGCGATCGCACGACGACGCGAATCAACGACGGCCGAAAAACGATAAGACCGTTTTATTTCACACACGGGTGGTCTGTCCCGTGGAGAAAGTTACATAACGGACCAGTCGCGTCCGTACGCCGCGAACTTCGGACGCCTGCCTGTCTTATCACCTAACGTTGACAGATATTAAAAATTATTAATTATAATTGCTATACATTCGTATAACGAACATATACAATATTATTCGCGTTCAACCGCGTATCGGTTGCGGCGCGAACAGTGTGCATTTTGGAATGGTTTTTTTTTTTTTTTTGTCCGACCAATTAAAGGTGGCTGGTTGAGGATGAAACTCGTTTAATGTCTACAGTGTAGACTTTACGTGTTTAATATCACATACAAAGAATCTGTTATTTAGTTTATTACCGTAGGAGTTAAAAGAAGACCGCGAGCCAGTTTTTCTTGCGTTGTACTACGAAATTAATCGTTCATCATTAAATTTCGCCGAATGTGCTTTGGCAGATAGAATGCGATCATATAGAAGTACATACAAATATTAAAATTTATTAGTAAAAATTTGCTGTTCTTTCTTCACGGCCATCGTCACGTAAACGCCGTGTTCCCCTGAAGTCGTTACACGTTGCTTATCACATCACCGGAATACGTTAAAAACTGAAGACCTTTTTTTCTTTTTTTTTTTGACTTATTAATAGATGAAACATACAGACGATAACATAACTCATAAGATGATCAACGCACTTTTTAATTTAGTACTGCACTAATAGTGTAGTACTGCATTTGCTCGGTTGCCCTGACTGTAAAATAAATATTATTTGGGCATATAATATTATTATCTATCTATTATATTATATATTATTATTAATATTATTTATAATTTGTATGCATACAATAATACATAGGTAAAAATAGGTGTATTTTATCAGCAGATTCATTACTAAGTGTCGGTAAATTTTTCACTGGTAAGTAAAAATAATATTTTAATCACGTATGTAAGAATATTCGGTATATGATGTATTTACTTCCTTCAGAAAATTTTTGGTTTTTATCAAGTACCTAGATAAAAATAAAGTTAAGATATATTTACCTTCCTATGTGCATTTACCGAAGACTTATGAATAACATACGAAAGTGCAATAATTTTTTTTTTGTATAATCAATAAAATATTATATTTTGAATTTTGAGTAAATTGATGATGAATTTTTTTCAGGAACTAGGAAATTAATTTAATTTAATTTATTAGAATTTTAAACGTGTTGATTCTAAGAAGTAAGAACAGTTTCCAATTTTAGTTATCTTACCTTCTTCCCAACATCCCACTTACAGTAGTAGCCGCACCCGTATCTTCTTTTTTTTATTAATATGTAATATGCGTATTCATAAAAAAAAAGAAAAAAGAAAAAGGAACGAGGAACGTAAACGAATTCCTTTTTAAAAGAAGCTTTCCTAACACTGGGTAAAGCAATACAAATTTATATGATAATAAGATTGACGGTCCCGCGCTGTACACCTAAAGAATCTACACGAGTCACTCGTTAAGTCCTTTAAATATTTAAAGGAACTGGACCACAAATTCGTAGGTACAAAGCTCTAAAGTTTCATTGGTCGGGAAGTCACGTGGTACATAATACTTCAAACACATTTCCGAATGTGTTCCAGAAGATTTATGGTCCTGTTCTATCTTAGAGTTAGACAGTTATACTATTAAATATAATTTGGTATATAATCTATCTATTATAACCTATGTAGGTTATCTGTTTTAATTTCAAACAACAATATTTTTTCAATAAATCTTTACTTTATTTTAAAAAGTAATTGTCATATAGTTACAACAACTCGACATATTATTTTACAATATATTTTAATATTTATAATATATTAAGGTAAAAAAAAAAAAAAATTGGAAGATAACAACTTTATAACCAAAAAAAAAAACAGTTGGTTTATTTACACAAAAATATGTATGTATATTCATAATAATAATAATATATTTATAATTTATTTAATAAAACTTATACATATTTATTTATAACACTTTTATACAGTTGGTAAACTAATATAGAGTGGTCATATATAATAGTCTCTATATGATACCCCCTGTCGAATGAACTTATACACCTATTCAATTGTTAGGTATTCTACAAAGTTTTGATAAACTAGTTTTTTATGTTTAATATAATATATTATACATACATAAGAAAGAACCGAGTTTGTTAACATTTTAAGTTGACAACACTTATAGTATAAAGAAAAACGAAGAAAAAAAAAATTAAGAAAAATATCCCTATAGGCCATTTTCAATTATATATTTTATATACATAAAGAATAATTTAATAAAACTGTAGTTAAAAAAAAAAAAATTAAATTCTAAATTATATGTATCAACAGTGTTTTTAATTTCTTAAAAGACGATCTTTTTTGATGATATACAATTGTTATTGGAAGAACAATTGTTTTTTAAAGGAGATGTTATTATACATGACATAGGTATATCATTTTTTTTTACAGCTGAATTTATCCTACTTTTATACAGTTATGTTTTAGATTCTGAGCAAAGCGAGTATAATTTATTGATTTTATTGCAATGTGTTTTGTTTTCTGTTGAATAAATTGCGAAAAATGTGAAAAATTACGTTAATTGTAGTATTGTAAGTATAACAGTTAATATTGTATTTTGACGGGCTATTATATGAAATAGTTTATTAATAATATATGTTTATCCAACGCAGTTCAATTTTATTATAGGAATCACCTCTATTTATATTAAGGTGTTTCATATGGGTAGGAGATACCTACTTCACAGAAATAAATAGGTAATTATGTTATTTTTGTTAAAAACCCTGCGTACAATGGTACGACTTAAATTAATTAAAAGAATAGGTATCACCTACTAGTGGTGCACGGTAAAATTATTTGAATAGGCCCCAACAATGTTTGTTATAAAATAATACAATAACTACTATACTAATAATATAATAATAAACAATTGTAATTTTATATTTCAGTTGACATTATTATTATTTTATCGTTGTCTACTAGGTACCTATTGTAACTGATATCCGAAATGTATCTACCGATTACCTATTTTGTATTCAAAGGTCGCCGCCCGTTAATTATTAATACATTTATAAATAAATAAATACACGTTATTATAAGTTATAAAAAATAACAACAATAATAAGAATGTAACACAATACCTAATACCTTTATAGCAATAATAATATAATAATAACAATAATAATGATGATAATGATAACAATAATAACATTAAATACATAATAATCGAAATAATGATAACAATAATAAATATTGTAATGAGCAGCGACGTGGCGAAGATTTTTTTTTTGAAGCAAAGGCCTAAGTCAATCAAGTTTGGTGGGCGGGCCATAGGTAGTCAGAAGAGTACACTACATGTTCAATAACATAAATAAATTAAATTGCATCAATATTTTGGAAATTTTCATTTCTCCTAAACTTTTTAATGTTATTGTTCAATATTTTGTTGAAAAATATTCACTGTCCTTATTGCTTATGTTTAATATGTGTTGAATAGGATGTTATTAAATTATTTTTATCTATTATCAGTTATTTTACTAGTTCATAAATCTTCAAATTGTTTTGAAATAGTGATGCCGAAATAATTTGCATCGCTTTAGTATTTGAACCCGACATAAAAAAGAAAATCAAAATTAAATTTAAAAAAAAAACAAGATAAAAGAATAGTAAAAAAAGCATAATAATAGGTAGTATAAAATTATCGAATTTCCTACGGATGAATGATTTAAAATCACATAACGCGATTACTAGTCAAACCGATGATATTAAATATTTTGCATGTTTGCTCTATGTCACTATCAACCGGATACGGTGAATTTTACAATACATTTCTAACTCTGATTTATTTTAAATATATTGTACAATCCTTCAATAATATTTTTTACCGTCAATAATATTGCGCAATATCAATATAATTATAATCGTGTAGAGTCCAATTAAGATCCCGTAGAACCATGTTAGAGCAATTTAATTATTGTTCATAAGAGGGTTGTTGGTAGTGATGTTAAGTGTAACTGTTAATTAAATATTGAGAATTGCTGGGCCTCATCAAAAAAAAAAAAATGTTCTACACGCCATTACCGACAATAAGAATACGTAATAATTGTATAATAATAACAATAATAATAATGATATTAATAATAATAACAATAAACATAATTATAATGATAACAATAATAATATAAAGATGGGTCACGAGAAAAACATAAATGTATTTAAGCTTTTAAGAACGGGCCGATGAATATAATACATTTTGTAATTTTACCGTAAGAAGCTTACGTGCTGATGGAGTTGGGCGATATAGACAAATAAATCGTCAGGGTTTTTCGTAAAGATTAAGTTGTTGAATTTGTTTTATGATAATAGTATAGGCGCAGATATATAGGTGATCAAATGGGACTCGACAAATATAGGAGACCATTAAAACGCTCCTCAAGACAGAGATGGATGGACAGAGTACAGCAGGACTTAAACTTTCTGAGAATATACAATGGTGAAGAAATTTCTGCTGATAGAGATAGACGGAGGGTAATAGTGGTTGCGTCAAAAAACCCGAATGACCTGCATTAGGGCAACGAAGAAAAAGAAGGTGATTTGTAAATATTAGTATTTTGTATACAGATAAAATAATATTTGGAAAATGAAAATCCGTTAGTTTGAAATTTTAATGCGTATACTGATTAGTGATTACTATGGAACACACGATGATTTACCAACATTGGCGAAATTTGCAACAATTCGAATGTTAACAAAAAAAAGATATATTTAAACTATATTACTTTGGTGTTTTTTTTTTTCAATAAATAAAAAAAACGTAAGTGTATATAATAAGTACGAATAAAGTAATTTGTATTAATTGTTTAGATTGTATAGAATATTTTATTTCGAATGACGCGTTTAATTGTTAATTTTTCTGCAAACGTTGACCACGGTTAAGATCTGATACAATGTAAAATAATAAAGTAGTTTTTTTTTTTTTTTGTAAATTTAAAGCGATCATTTGATGGCAAGAGTGATGGTGAATTTGGCTGACAGCCGTTTCACTCGCTTGGTCTCTGCACATCACGGGCAATATTTATAAGTAAACCATCGCGGTGTGTCCATATAGCAATAAATACATTGTTTATTTAATTAAAACATTTGCCGACAACATTTCAGAAACGGCACGGGATTGACAACGTTCCTACGCGTGGACGTGTGTGGTAAAACACGGTATTACTATTTTTAGTACGATTTGTAATGTTCCGTAAAAATAATATGTATGTATTTGTTTTCAGGATTTTTCGCTCGAGGAAGAGTGCTACCGTATTACAAAGCGTGAGATTGGGTCGTCTGTATAGTCATAAATAGATATACCGTTTGACGTATATATAATGTGTATAGTGTATATATATATATATATATATAAAAAAAAACAAATATTTTTCTCAAAAGTTTTTCTTCTATCTGTTTTCCATATTATTATACATTATAATATTATATTATACACACACGCGCGTTCGCGGGGGAAATAATAATAAACGCGCGAGTTTTTTGTTTTCCATCATTTTCGTATACCGCGGTGGCGAGACCGGTTTTATTCGTATTAATATTATATAACATTTTTTTTTTTTTTTTTAATTTTAATTGTTGAAAGCGCGGTCCGCTGAGAAATCGGATTTCCGGCGGTAATCGTGGTTCGTGGATTTTGACGGATGGGAAGGTTTTCCCGGCCATCTTTTGAAAACGACAGACGCGAACATTTGAGTGGCGAGAACGATGACGACAGCCACTAAGCGGGCCAGCGGAATCAACTGGATAGCACCAGACAGCACAGGGTCAGCAGCCACCAGCCGGCCACGCAGCAGACCAGCGGACCCGAATTGCCATCGTGCACGGCCGCGGGTTGTTCTCCTGTATAAAAAACAAAAAAAAAAAAAAACCAACCAATGGGATAAAATTATCAATATAATTCAACGTTAAATTCACTTTTTAAACACAATATTATATTCGTATGTACGTGTTATTGTTTTTGGACGTGTACAGTGATTTGTACGACAGGCTTTTAAGTTTTGCACTTTTATTCGTTCTTATTTTGAATGCTAGAACTAGTTTATTTATTTTAATATTTTTGTCTGTTGTCTGTGGGTGGACAGCTTTATTTTTAATTCCTCAGAAGAATCCTCGTTGGTGCTTCTCCTCCAAATGACCCCCAAATAAAAGAGGAGTCATTGAGAACAGTGTAGTTTGTGCGCAGGTGCGATGTAACAAACTTCGTATCCAAACATATATTGGAGGTTTTAAAATAATTCAAAAGTAGTTCTGAACAAAGTCGAAGACGAGGAAGAATACGATTATAGAATAGAATTCCAATAAACAATAAAGTTGGAAGTGTAATTTTTTTTTTTATAGAGCCTGTAACAATTTCATTTTCGTATATGTAAAGATATGGTAATTATTTGTATAAATATTCCGGAATAGTATTGGCTTGATGTCACAATTACAATTATAATATTTAACGGATTCGACATAGTATCTAATAAACAGTGTAGTGATTTGTAATTTTTTTTGCATTTATTTCACTCTCGTTTTTTTTTTATCTATATCTCTCTGTAATAATACATTTATGTAATAATGGATGAAATTATAATCACAATATTCCCCAGGTATATAATCCTTCCTTCGATGTAAAACAAAAAAAAAAAAAAACGAAAAGGAAATCGGTTCTGTTTTTTTACGGCGGGGTACAGTGCGGAGAATATGTTTTTACCGAAGGTTTCCCGTCAAAATCTCTCTTCGGGATGATTAACATTTTCTACTAACACGTAATATATTATGTATTGTAAATACAGTTCTACTGTTTTATTCGGCTTAGTAGAACGAGAATCACACACTCGACCCGATGTCAAATTAGGTTCAAACAAAAAAGTTAAACAACGGGACCACGCAGTGATCCATGACAGCATATTATGTATTTTAAGGGTAGTTTTGTAATTTGTTGCATTGTCATCAGATGTTGCCCTGTCAGGAGCAACATTAAAATCCTATAATATTATACAAGCAATAATTGTATCTATATAATGTATACACGCATCTATCTAGGTAATTGGTATCTCTAATTTATGGGATTTTCCTGAGAGTTGGCAACTAAAGGTTTTAGAGCATAATATATATATATTGAACGGGTCATTTTTTTAGGGGGGAAAATTCGGTGAAGGGATACCGGTGAAACAGGGTGTCTATTGTTTAATTTATGCGCCTTCGTATACCGTCAAGAACTTTCGGATTATTGCCATGTAGCAACGTTAATTGAATCTATAAAAGAAAATTGTTTCATTGTTACTTATTTATTATTTTGTTATTTACCTATTTATTTTTCAAAAATGGATTTTATTAATTAGTATACCAAGTCAATCAATTTGTGCGTATCCTTAATTAACTCACAAAAAAAAAAAAAAAAACATTGAAAAATACTGTTGGATTATAATATTAGAATCAGACACTAGATTAGAATATTTTCACAACTCATTACAAATTTTAATGTTTCAAAAAAATATTGTCTAGAAGTTTATAATATAGTAAACATGTTAAATATATTTTTACAAAAAATATACGTACATAACTATTACATCAGGTATACTATACGGGTAATAACTGATCAGACGGATAAAGTATTTCCATTGAATTAACCACGAACTTCTGACACATAATTTAATATGATATATTCGGTGTTTTCAGTGGCATACAATTTATTTAATTTCGTAAAGATACTTTTTGCTGTAAATCGTTTCGTTTCGATGTATTACATCAACTACGTCAGTGGTCCTTCTCAAAGTTAATGTATGGAAAAACCTTCGTTTCGCCTTTATGCGCAATGTATTTAATTTCGTTTTCAAATTAATTTAAGAAAAAGGTTTAACGTCCGTATAATCAATTTAAAAAAAAAAAAAACATTGAAAAATACTGTTGGATTATAATATTAGAATATTCGTTTTGTTTAATATTCGTACGGGTTTAAAATGTTTAAATATCTTTTTCGAATAATTATTGTAAAAAAATCAAAATAATAATAAACAACAACCGTGACTATTTATTATTATATATTTCAGCGCGTGTAGGTATTGTTAATTCGCAATTAATATAATATTATAATTGATATTTCTGAATTTTCGATTAATATTGTGTAATATCATAAATATATAAAACATAAACAGCTATAAATAAACCGAATGATAATTTTTAATGTTTGTTTCCGACACCATCCGAATAAATTGCATCATTTCCCTCATATTTTGATTTAGATTCAGACGTTATAGTTATAAAATTAAAAACATGTTTAATGAGACAAAGTTTATCGCATTATGTATTATTTAATCACTATTCCAAAACTATTTTGTAATAATAAAATTTATTGCACGATTATTATTTTATAACCGCGCAAAATGTGTTTCGTTACCAGTGGCGGCGTGAACTTTTTTGTTTCACGACGCAAATATAGTTAGAGATTGACCACCACCACCTAAGTTTTATTGGACATTCATGGGGATAAAGCTCCCTTCCACTGTTTTATCCATTTTTTTACATTTGTTGGGAAAAGTCCTGAGAAAATCGAAAAATGACGTCTTTAAAGTATCTCCTCGGTTGAATTTTCTTTTAGAAACATTGCTATCATTATAAACTGGAGCAAAATTGCTGGTAGAAATGTTATCCACAGGAAAAACATGCGAAATTTAATCGATTAAGTTTAAAACTCTGTGGGATTTTTTTTAAAATTAATTTATTTTATTTTATCTATTAAACACTGAATTTTTAATACATGAAAGTCAAAGTGAATTAGTGAAATATATTTGATTAATATAAATATTTATATATACTTTATATTAATAACAATAAAATATTAAGAATCCAGTATCAGTTAGAAATAATAATAATAATAATTTTTTTAGCTTGGGGGTACCGCCACCCAATTGGTCATGAGGCCATCGTCTCATGAAATACCCTATCACGCCGCTACTCTTCGCTACGATAAATAACAAATTTAAAAAAAAAACACCAACATATATGATACAATAATAACTGTATACCTACATAGAAAAGTTTCGATAAAGGCTTTTAGACTTGCGGTTTTTTGTCAAGCGGCCAAAAGAATGTCAGTAGGAACCTTTAGCCCATTGTTGATGGTTTATAGGTATAGGTGTATAGTCACGATAGCAGCATCAAAAGCGCAGAAAAATTAATTGATCGGACGGGCATATAGGACGCGTGTACATTTTTATTTTAATTCAATACCAAAATTTATGACTGAAAAATCTATAAATTATCGCAATAGCTAAAAGTAGCTAACCGACTTATATTTATAAATACCTATTTTAAATCAAGATTTGCATATCACTGGGATAAACTGACTAACTTAATAACCAGCGGGGATGGATTGGGCCATCGGCAATGATGAGCCATGTACTGATAAGTTAAAACTGGCCGCTGAAGCAACAACTATTTTATATATATTTTATGGATAGATGGTTTTTTTTTTTTATTGTTAGGTTCCTCGATATTTTTTCATACAAATGGTCACAAAGCAAGATGACAATAGACAATCTAATATGTAAAAATTAACGTTCGTTTGTGATCTACAGACTCAAAAACTATCGAATAAATTATAATAAA